CGTTGTCCGTGCTGAGATTAGCTTGCAAGTGCCAGTGCTGCTCGAAGTTTGCGGTGAGTCGAAACTGAGCTTGAAATGCTGCGTGATTGTCGCCAGTGCTGCTCGAAGTCTGCGGTGAGTCGAGACTGAGCTTGAATGCTGCGTGATGAGGCAGTGCAGGTGCGTGCCGTAGGACCAGGAAGCGCGGTGAGTCGGCTGCGATGGTCCTGTTGAGGCTGCGATGCTGGCTTGCTGTGGGACGACTGTCGATGACTTGCTTTTATCTGCGAGAATGCGGGGATTGTGGTAGCCGAAGTTCTTGATGCGCTGATGATGAATCAGAAGGTTGCGTGTTCACATCACGTCGCAGGTCACCAGTTTGGAGAAGGCTTGACGACAAAGGGAAGATCTTCCACCGAGCGGATGATATTTGCTCGGTAGACCGACGGTCCGAATGTTGTTGTTCGGAACTTGTATATATGCGCTTTATCTTGAAAATGTCGTAAGCGAGATTCAGGCATCTGTCAATTATCTTGCGTTGTATGATGGCTACCCGCCACAATTTCATTATATATGTACGTGTATGTATATGTTTATGTTATTTATGTGTGTAATTGTGTATGTATATAGTTTGATATTATGTATTAGTGTTTATTTTTGTTATTTTTATTGCTAATTAGATTGTACTCATCTACCCACTAATGTAAAGCTTTCCTTCTTTGAGAACGGTTAGCTGGTAGATAACTCAATTGTTGAGTTAAGCTCGCCATTTTTTATATCTTATCCCAATTACTGTATTTTATTAACAGTGTGTACAAATAAAGAATAAAGAAAGAGGCTCGGAATGAATGCGTGACCTAGTTTCCTTCCTTCAACACTCGCACAAGCTATAATTATCGGTACTATGGCGTATTGTGAACGTGCTCAGGTAGGTATCACCGCCTTGTCTTTCAGTTTGGGGGAGGGAGGCAGTCGTTATACTACTTTAAGACTTTTTTTTAAAATGAGTTCTCCTTTGAGATATGCGTTCTAAGGTCGCAGTATAGTTACAACGGCTGCCCCGCCCTTCAAACCGAAACGCATTACTGCTTCACGGCAGAAATAGGCGGGGTGGTGGTACCTGCTCGCGCGAACTCACAAGAGATCCTACTACCAGTAAAGACCATTTTGAACATACCTGTAGCACGGTTGTCAACAACATGTAATAATACATGGCACATACCTTTTTCAGGTGTCCTCTTTTGTCAATACGCAGCCGGTCTTTTTTGATGTTCGAATCTCGACCTCTAGACGATAATTAGCATCTGACAAGTATCTAATAAAATAACAAAACGTTGAACAGGTCAACAACAAACGGAGAATCAATACTCGGAGAGTCCGTGGCCGATATCCGGTGGGGTGGTGGAGACGGCGGAGCTGGCCGACAGACAGGTGCTGCTCACGGGGCACGAGGACGGCTCCGTGCGGTTCTGGGACGTGACCGGCGTCGCCATGACCCCCCTGTACAAGTACACCACCGCGCAGCTGTTCAGGTGGGTGCCGCTCCGACCCAGGGGGGGTGCTTCACTTTTATGGGAATCTAAATATCCTCTAAATTATTTTCTTATAGTAATAGTGCTTTTTGAGCTATAGTTCTAAAGGTAATAAATAAATATTTACTAACAATCACGCCACGTTAACCGGTCCCGTGCCAAGCTCGTAAAGAATTTGTGTTAAAGTTACCAGATAACGGAAATAAATGTAAGATTTTTATTATACACATACATATATTTAATATTATTATACATCCATAACCCTGGAAAAGACATTTTATATTTATCATACAAATATCTTCCCTTTGCGGGATTCGAACCCGCGACCCCCTTGTGTAGTGACCATGTCACTTACCACTACACCAGAATGACACCATAATGATGGTAATACCTATTACTATTGAACCAGCGAAACAAATCTCAGTCACTTTTCAAACAGACTTCTTACATTGCTGTTATTGCCGGTATAAATTCAGATAGGTTTAGCTATTATTATTTTGTCATAAAAAGTTGAAGCATCCATAAATAGCTTACAATATACGTATAATGTAAGCTATTTATGAATGCTTAACCTTTTTATGACTGAATTCCTAGAATAATTCTTATCAGCGACTTGGCTTCTGAATGTCTTAGAATCTAAAACAACGGCATACAATAATATTGGACAAAGTTATCTTAATTTATATCGGCAATAACAACGATGTAAAAAGCCTGTTTGAAAAGTGACAATGATGTTGGAAATGAGATTTGTTTCAGTTAACGGGTTTCGTGTTGAATTTGTTTTTTTTTTTTACTTCAATATTTCTACTTTGAATTTATTTCTCAATTGTCTTCTTAAAAAGTAAATAATGCAAACAACAATGAACCATAAAATTTTTGAATTCACATTGGCCAAGTAATTTATTAGGTACTATGATTATCATTATTTATCTAAATTCCAAAGCTTATGTGATTATAATTATTTAAAGTATATTTATTGATACATATTATATATATATATATATAGCTGTCTACGATGATGGTTTTCAGCTCTAAGACTTTCTTAGTGCTCTTTGGATTTTTAAGCCAAAATAATACAACACAGATGTTTGTTATTTTTTTGTGTGTGTATAATATATTATAGCTTAACTGACTTAGCTTTAATAATGTTTTTCTACCCTCGCTTTTATCGCTTACTAACGAAGCGGCCTCAAACGTTCGACCACAAGGTAAACAAAGTATTTTGTAAGCACGTTTACGCCATGCAAGTCTGCGTTTGCTTTAACAAGATCATTTTTCATTTTTGTTGCACTTTCATGTATGTCTTATTAATCGGCCATTTATTTGTTTTTTGTCGATATTTACTACACCTGAACCCATGGCTCGTCGAAATAGACGTGGTAATTTGAACCCATAGACGTCAATCGAGTGCCCTCTCTACTTTTTTTTAACGCTTAGATGGGTGGACGAACTCAGCCCACCTGGTGTTAAGTGGTTACTAGTACGTAACTAACGTAAATGCGACCTTGATGTATAAGTTCTAATGAAGTATAAGTGAATGAAAACTATCGAGTTTCCAAAAAATCAATTATATGGGTCTGTTTATTTTGAATCTAATATCAATTAGGATAATAATATGATTATGTTAAAAAAATGAAATGTTGTCAATTGTAAAGAGAAAAAAAGGCGACATTTGACACAATAGCGCCTCTCGAAAATTCAAGACAAATAAATATTGGTTTATTTTTTTATCAGTGGTGAAGAACTTGGTGAAAACAACGACAGTCAGACCACAGATGAAGAAGAGTGGCCTCCCTTCAGACGAGTCGGCACCTTCGACCCGTACAGCGACGACCCCCGGCTTGCGGTCAAAAAGGTAAAAAAGCCCTTTGTGTGTCGTCCTTCCCTCTTTTTTATTTTTATATTTTATTCCTTAGATGGGTAGACGAGCTCACGGCCCACCTGGTGTTAAGTGGTCACTGGGTCCCATAGACATCTACAATGTAAATGCGCCACCCACCTTGAGATATAAGTTCTAAGGTCTCAGTATAGTTACAACGGCTGCCCCACCCTTCAAACCGAAACGCATTACTGCTTCACAGCAGAAATAGGCGGGGCGGTGGTACCTACCCGTGCGGACTCACAAGAGTTCCTACCTCCAGTATGCTCATCACCCCATAGTGCTAGTGCATCCATAGGCGACCTTCCCTTACACGTTCCACTTCAGACCAAGTTCGTCTGACTGTGCTCATCCCCCTTGAAGGCTAGGATATCTGTGTTGACTTGAACCAAATCGTGATAATTTCGTTTCCCAGGTTATCTTGTGCCCGTTATCTGGAATGCTCACCATCGGCGGAGCCGCCGGCCATATTGTCATAGCCAGTCTCAAGACCGCTCCGAGCACCACCGAAGTCAAGGTAAATATTTAATAATTTTTAATAAACAAATTTCTAATAATTTCTTGAAGAGTTTAATGGTAATACGTACATAATTAAACGGTAGAATGGGGAAATGGTAGAAAGAGTTCTACGTGCGACCTAACCTAAACATCAGCCCGCTGAGTTTCTCGCCGGTTCTTCTCAGCGGGTCGCGATTGCAATCCGGTAGTAGATTCATTCGCGAAGCAGCTGCCCTTGAGTTGTTAGATCTCCTTTGGAGGCGCTCGGGTAGCTATTAGCAAATCCCACCCCTTCTGGCTGAGCCCTTGCTCGCCCACCCGTCCTGATGAAACTGGAATGAAACGTGCCCGGATGAGTTCATGCAATATTGAAGTAGTAATTAATTATTATTTGTTTTTACTTTGCAGTCGGTGTCAGTGAATATAGTGTCAGACAGAGACGGCTTCGTGTGGAAGGGACACGGGCAGCTCACGTTGAGGGCCGGCACGCACACCTTCCCACAGGGATATCAGGTTGTTCTATGTTTCATTATAACCATAATATACATAAAATCAAACGTAGCAGAATTCGGTGTGTTTCTACAATGAAGAAAAGTATTGAAGTAGAAAGGAAGGTGGTATCTAAAGAAGAAGATAAATATGAGGCTGTCAGTGCAAAAGTGGCTTAAGCTTACCAAAGTTAGCATGAAGATAATGAGGTTTGAATTTACTTTTACACTGTTTCGTAGACAAAAACAATACGCGCAAACATAATATTTACAAATCCATCTGTTATATATTATGTGTGAAACTATCGGTAGGCTGGTTTTGCATCAAAATTTATTTATGTTTTAAATAAATTGCAGTATAGTATAAGCACGAATATGAAAATTGTGGGCTAGGCCACTTCTGCGCTGACGGCCTCATATAAACATATGATTCTTACAAATATTGTTTGTTGTTTGGTTCGCGTACATATGCGGTACTACTAAACGTATCTTGTACAATATTATGTGTTAACGAATCAACGTCGCGTCATACATTGATGGCTGTGATTGGCCAACGATGACGTCATATCGCACGAACCAATCACAAATCAGGAAACGCAATAGTGGCATCTATTGTCAAAATTAAAAAAAAATTATTACACGAATAAAAAAGATGGACGCGCGTGTCAATTCTATTTTGTAAAATAATTAAAAATAATATAATGAGTATTTGAAGAAGTAAACGCATTTATTCATTTTCTTGGCCACCTCAAGATACCTATAAGAAATGGGCGCAACATTATGTACAATAGTTGACAGATATCGTAAAAGCACAGTACAGTACAGCTTTGAAGTCGCGGTCGGTCGGTTAGTCTGTGCTCGTCATAAAATTGATTTGATTGTGTGAATCGTCAGGCGACCTCGGTGGTGCAGCTGCAGCCCCCGGCGGCCGTGACGTCACTGAGCGCGCAGTGGGAGTGGGGCGTGGTGTGCGCCGGCACCGCGCACGGGCTGGCGCTGGTGGACGCGCTGGGCCCGGCGCCCGCGCCGCTGCTGCACAAGTGCACGCTCAACCCGCACGGTACGGACCCCTACTATTTTTTATTTATTTATTGCTTAGATGAGTGGACGAGCTCACGGCCCACTTGGTGTTAAGTGGTTATCGGAGCCCGTAGACATCTACAACGTAAATGCCGCCACCCACCTTGAGATATAAATTCTAAGTTCTCAGTATAGTTACAACGGCTGCCCCACCCTTCAAACCGAAACCCATTACTGCCTCACGGCAGAAATAGGCAGGGTGGTGGTACCTACCCGTGCGGACTCACAAGAGGTCCTACCACCAGTAAAACCTCCTCAAACTCCTCAAGACTTCAACACATCCTACCATACAAATGACGCCCTGCCACTAGTAAAAAGTGACTCTACGTAACCCTACGTGGATATACCATCCTAGTTTGGGACATTCTATATTTGTTTTAATTAAAACCCTGATGAGAACTTATCGAATAAAATTTCATTTTTGAAGTGAAACTTCTTTAGGCGCGTTGAGAGTTAAATTTACTCGCGACAGATTCGTTACGGCTAGAGAGAAAAGATACAATTTAGGATGAGCGAGAGTGAGAAAATAGACGGAGCGTCTCGTGAGTCACCTATTTGATTTCATATAAACTACTACATTGCAAGGCTAACAGTTTGAACAGTTTAGTTGCAAAAATATTTACATAGAGGGTATTTTAAATAAAAGTAATGTGTTTTAGTAAAACCTAAGGATTCGTTCGGTAATTATCGAATACAACCTCTTTCTAAGCTAATGTTATTTCTCGAGGTAGGTTGAAGTTTCACTTCTTTCATGTGCACCAAGTTACACGCGCATCAGTCTTTTTAATTAATAGACTTCTTTAATGTAAACTTTTTGAACAGATCACGGATCCGGTGACACGCCAATATCGAGAAGAAAGTCCTTCAAGAAATCCTTGAGAGAATCGTTCAGGAGGCTTCGTAAAGGACGTTCACAACGGCGACAGACGACATCGAACCCCACCTCGCCCACACAAGTGAGTTTACCTAGAAACATCTGTTTAATGATTATTTTATTTAAAATAAGTGTTTCTTTGTAAACGCTTTAAATTAAATACACAAAATTTTTATATAACATAATACGGACGAATCCACGGTAGCACCTCAAATATCACTCTTTGTTTAAGACCATCGTTTTTTTTTCAGCTTAAGGGAAATTATGTATGGAGAAAACATTCATTATCGTAATTTAAGTTTTAGTGTCTTTTGTTTTTATATCGGTATATATTCAAATATGGCGGTAAATAGATGATAGGATTGCATAAAATCACCATAACTTTTCACTCTTTATTTTCAACGTCACTGGCGCTACCTTCAGACTTCCCCTTGCATACCCATTCTAACCACTAGACCAACTTCTTGTGTCCTGCTGTGTTTATATATATTATATAAAATGCGCCACCCACCTTGAGATATAAGTTCTAAGTTCTCAAGTATAGTTACAACGGCTGCTCCATCCTTTAAACCGAAACGCATTACTCCTTCACGGCAGAAATAGGCAAATGTGGTGGTACCTACCCATGCGGACTCACAAGACGTCCTACCACCGGTAATTACGCAAATTGTAATTTTGCCGGTTTGATTTTTATTACACGATATTATTCCTTCACCGTGGAAGTCATGCGTGAACATTTGTTGAGTACGTATTTCATCAGAAAAATTGATACCCCCCTGCGGGATTCGAACATCGGTGCATCGCTCAACACGAATGCACCGGACGTCTTATCCTTTAGACCACGACGACTTCAAAACAAATTGAACGTTACAGCCGATCCCGAAGAAGCCAATCGACAAAGCCGCCTCGGAAACCGACGCGGAAATCAAACCGATCGAGCGCGCGGTGGAGGCCCGCTCCACGGACGACGCCTACGGCTCGATGGTGCGCTGCCTGTACTTCGCGAGGACCTTCCTCATCAATAGTCAGTATTTTAATACGTTATCGCGAACTTAATACTCGACCGGTCTGATTCATAACAAAAAAACTTGTTGAATTACTTACTGCAATAAAATCGAAAAAAAAAAATTGATTGCTTTTTGAAATTTTTCTGTTATTTTTCACACTTAAAAAAATCGCCTCCTACTGTGTTTTGATCAATTTTATATTAATTATTATTGAATATACAATGGTGAATAAATAATGTAGTTTTGAGAATTTCAATGAAGAGAAGATCTTTCACCGATAGGCTAATATTGCTCGGTAGAATGATGGTCTGTATGTTGTTTGTTGTTCGGAACTTGTATATATGTAAAACTTATCATGAAAATGTCGAAAGCTAGATTCAGGCATCTGTCAAATATGTTGTGTTGTGCGATGGCTACCCGTCACATAATAAGTACATAGGTTTTCTGAAAAAGCTTTGGATTAGGTAAAATGTTGATAATGTAAATGGTTTCAGCCCAGCAATCGACTCCGACGCTATGGGCCGGCACGAACAACGGCACCGTGTACGCCTTCACGCTGCACGTGCCCAACACTAACAAACGGAAAGAGGAACCAGTAAGTTTCATTATTTTTTTAAGGGATTTTATGACCTGGTTACTAAGACTTTTAAGTCATGTCTTATTTTAATTTATATTCTTATTTTTATGAAAAACTAGCTAACCCGGCAGACTTCGTAGTGCCTCAATCGATAAATTAGACCTACATTTTTGTATAAAATAAACTTATAACAAACAAAAGGAATCCGTCCGACGGGGGGGACACCAAAGGAAAAACAAAATTGTTAGTTTTATTTAATTCCGAGCATTTTAAACCTTCTCTGGACTTCCACGAATCATTCAAAACCAAAATTAGCCAAATCGGTCCAGCCGTTCTCGAGTTTTAGCGAGACTAACGAACAGCAATTCATTTTTATATATAGAGATGATAATATGAAATGAAGATTAAGATTATTAATTTGAGACATTAATTAACTGGGATGAAATGAAATGAAATGATAAGACATGATACGGGATGAAATATAATCTCAGTAAAATAGTGGTCATTTACTGAAATTTTTTCAGTGAGCTTTTTGGAGGATCCCGAGAAGTTACGTCCAGCGACTTTGTTTCATTTTCCCACATTTGTGTACTTTCACAGATATTAAATAGTTAATAAACCACCGTTTTTACACATTTAAGCCTGAAGAAACACTAAATAGACAAAATAAAACAAATCACACAATTTCACTTCTCACGTTTCCGCCAAAAAGTCTCCCAGTATCTAAGTTTCATTTTCATACTAGGTGTAGAGAAGCACATCAAGAAAAAGTATTATAGTCTGCGCGCAATCTAATAGCTACGAATCAGATTTCGCGTTAGGGTCGACGACCCCGTATGTCATTAGTTTGCTTTTCCTCTTGAACTCCTGTTCACAATTTTTTTTTCATTTCTCATGTTCCTTTGCCTAGTTAATTTATTTTTCATAGTACATCACGATTGTTTTTAATTAATTTTACGGTACCATATTATTACTCGCGTTTCTGTCTCACGCCCTCTATAAATACGCCTTGAATTACCTAAGTGTTCTTAAACGAGTTTCGTTACGACGCAGGTAACGTGTCAACTAGCGAAAGAAATACAGTTGAAGCACAGGGCCCCGGTCATAGGGATCACAGTACTCGACGGCGCCTCCGTACCTCTGCCCGATCCCCTAGAGGTGAGTCACTATTATTCGAACACAATTAAATTGCTGAGAGAAAATACATACTAAGACTAGCTTTCGCCCGCAACTTCGTCCGCGTGGAATAAATAGTTCACAAATAATGCTTTATTTTAGAACAAATTTGGTTAATATAAAAAACGTTATAGTGAGCCAACCTTAACATATAGACATATGCTGTCGCGGACTTTTTTTTAGATCTTTTAAAGGGGAACAATTCTGTCATACATTATTATAGCGAAACTTTAACCGTTTCAGCAGCGGACGCAGCGGAAGCTCTCAAAAGGGAAAAAAACCCGATTTTTGAAACATTCTTTATTGATGCTCCGCTTGTATTGGTCTTAACGTGATGTTATATAGCCTATAGCTTTTCTCAATAAATGGGCTATCTAACACTGAAAGAATTCAAATCGGACCAGTAGTTCCTGAGATTAGCGCGTTCAAACGAACAAACTCTTCAGCTTTATAATATTAGTATAGATATGCAATAGCTTGAAGCTATGACTCTAAAAAACTGGAGGAAATAAGTTTCGAGTGTGGCGCCAGTGTCGCACGTCTTTGTGTCAGCTAACTGCGACCTACCGTCGAATAACCTTAATACCCGTCTACTTGAAAGTAGCGATAATTTGTTCATACAGATACATTCTTGAATATTGTCTTACATCATAAGTATACTTGAGTTAAATTTTAAATAATAATGTTCCTAGGTGGAGCGAGGTGTATCCCCACTACCGGAGCCGGGTACACATCGTGTAGTCATCACGTCGGAAGAACAGTTCAAGATATTCACGCTGCCCTCGCTGAAGCCGCACAACAAGTACAAGCTGACCGCGCACGAGGGCGCTCGGGTACGTACACAGTGACGTCATCGTAGCGCGTGTGACGTCACCGTTCGGGCGTCAAGTGTCCATGGCTGTCGGTTTAACCCTTTGGCTGCCGTGTAGGTCACCGGTGACCTATGTGGCGCACTAAAGAAATGATGCAGATTTCTGTTACTAAAGCGCCCGAATATCTGGTAATGAATGGGAAAGACGAATCCGAAGATACTGAGAATGAATCTATTTCTAAGATACCTAAAAGACCAAAATAGGATAGGAAAAATAATGGCAAATTTAGGCAATCCAGACACTTAGTAATAGAAATCGACATAATTACTTGAGTGCACCGCGTAGGGCACCGGTGACCTACATGGCAGGTAAAGGGTTAAAGGACACGAAATCTTGTCTTATTCCCCGTTATGACTGTACATATACGTCGTCCACCTTGAAAATGTGTTATGAAGTTTGAGTTTAACGACTGATCAAATGTTTTATATATGGAGTATAAAGTTGCTTCGTCATTCTGAAAGTAGCACCTGTAACAGAAAAGTTGAGATGTGTGCGTTTAGAATGGTATGGAAAGAATGAGACGAAATGAGAATGAGGTTGGTAAGAGAGTGTTCAACTGTGAATGTGGTAGGTACTAGAGGAAGAGGTAGACTTGAGAAGAAATGAATGGATTGCGTGAAAGACGATATGTGTAAGAGGAGAATGAGCGAAGAAATGGCGCCGACCCCAGGTGACTGGGAGAAGAGCAGGAGAATGATGATGATGATCCACGTCATATCGGATCCTCCCGATCCACTAACGGTGCTTTTAGGTACCTCAAGCACCGGTCATCGTTCTCGTCGAACCCGTCGCTTGCGACGAAGGGCTCCACGAATAAATTAACCCTCAGACACAGCCCACTGAGTTTCTCGCCGGATCTTCTCAGTGGGTCGCGTTTTCGATCCGGTGCTAGATTCTGCGAAGCACGGCTCTTGCTAGGGCCAGTGTTAGCAACGTCATCAGGTTTGAGCCCCGTGAGCTCACCTACTAGTTAAGGCTGATATAGCCTCTCAAGGCTATCAGCTTAGGTAGGAAAAAATAAAGATGACGAAAGTTGCTTCGCGGCAGCTACTCTTCGGCCTCACCCTAGCACCAGCAAAAGGAGTCGGTGGCTTTAGACGCGGTAAATGAGTTGTCGTGTATGTCCCAGGTTCGGCGCACGGCGTGGTCGCAGTTCTCGTGCGGCGCGCACCGGGAGTGGTGCCTGCTGTGCCTCACCAACCTCGGGGACTGCCTCGTGCTCAGCCCCGAGCTGCGCCGCCAGCTCAACGCCGCCGCCGTCAGGAAGGAGGACATCAAGTACGTCGCGTGCCCAATATCAATATTTATTTAAGACTAGCGACCCGCCCTCGCTTCGCTTCGGAAACATTAAATTTTATTATTAATAGCTGAGTCTCGCGATGTTACCCGCGGTTATTGTCGTACCGCAGGTGACGCCGCGGAGCGAAGCTTGTCTAAAAGAAGTAGCCTAAGTTACTCCTTATATCATCAGATACCTATCAGTGAAAGTCTCGTCAAAATCGGTCCAGCCGTTTCAGAGATTAGCCGAAACAAATAGACAGACAGACAAATATTGTAAAAAATGTTATTTTGGTGGATGTACCGTATATATGCATATGCATGTAGTAAAAAGCAGTTATTTCAATATTACAAAAAGACACTCCAATTTTATTTATATGTATAGACTAGCTGTACCCGCTCACTTCGCTTGGCATTTAAAATTAACATTATTATTTCTCACCCCCACAAAGATACTTATCATTAACGCCCCCGCAACTGGTGTAGGGAGTCCAACACTCATGTAAATATTAGCCTATCCATTAATTACATTTATTTTCTACATGGATCAAGTCAATCGGATGCATGGTTAGTTATAACGGAACATCCGTAAAAATCACTATAATTTTATATATTAGTATATAATATTAGGCTAACGGGGTCGGGGTGGGTGTATCACAGGAGAAAATGTCATTCAAAATGTATTATTAATAGACACTGCTGTCACTACAGAGTGGCGCGCTCACGTGATAAATCGTTTTATAATTATAGTTTAATTGGTGATATAAAGTTGACACACAACATTTAACGGAAATTATGCTCCGGTACCAAACTTGAATCACAAGCTTTTTAAATTAGCGTGAAATTAAGTTTTTTATGTACGCAGCGTTCACTTCTGTGGATCTTAGATTGTAGGGATATATATCTCTACATTAACTATGCAAGGGTCAGAATTAATAATAATACTGAAAAATGTGTTCAAGAATAAAGAACATCTCGGAATCACAATTTTTTTTTTAAACAGTCAACACGTTAACTGGTCCCGTTTTAAGTTCGTAAAGAACTTGTGTTACAGGTACCAGATAATGGAAATAAATGTAAGATTTTTATTATACACATACACATATTTAATATACATCCATAACCCTGGAAAAGACATTTATATTTATCATAGAAATATCTTCCCTTGGCGGGATTCGAACCCGCGACCCCCTTGTGTAGTGACCATGTCACTTACCACTACACCAGACGGCCGTTATATACAACAATATAGTATTTATTTGTTTATAATAGCTCCGCGTATATAATTTGTTTCAGTGGGATTTCGAGTTTATGTTTCTCGAAGCGAGGAGAAGCTCTCTACCTGCACTCGTCTTCCGAATTACAACGGATTACTTTATCTGCTACGAAGGTGAACAATTTACTGTATTACATTACTTTTCTTAACCTATTTTAGTACCTCGAGGGGTCATACTAGATGCACTGAGCAAGTAAGAAAGCTCACGGAACTCTAACCTGTGGTACATTACTAATAAATACGTATAGGACTTTATGGCGGGATCGCGAGGAGTGAAGTCGTGTGATTTGTTTTATTTTGTCTATTTAGTGTTTCTTCAGGTTTAAATGTGTAATAGCAGTGGCTTATAACTGTTTAATATCCCTGAAAATGCACAAATGCGGGAAAACGAAACAAAGCCGCTGGACGTAACTTCTCGGGATCCTCCAAAAGCCCACTGAAAATGGCTCAGTAAATANGACTTTATGGCGGGATCGCGAGGAGTGAAGTCGTGTGATTTGTTTTATTTTGTCTATTTAGTGTTTCTTCAGGTTTAAATGTGTAATAGCAGTGGCTTATAACTGTTTAATATCCCTGAAAATGCACAAATGCGGGAAAACGAAACAAAGCCGCTGGACGTAACTTCTCGGGATCCTCCAAAAGCCCACTGAAAATGGCTCAGTAAATAACCACCATTTTACTGAGATTATATTTCATCCCATATCATCTCATCTGATTTCATTTAATTTCATCCCAGTTGAGTAATGTCTCAAATTAATCATCTTCATTTCATTTCACTCCATACTATCATTTTTTCATAAAAATAAGAATATAAATTAAAATAAGACATGACCTAAAGGTCTTAGTTACCAGGTCATAAAATTTCTTTAAAAAAAACCTATACTTTGAATTCTTCGTGACCGTACCGCGCGACGCGATAGTATCAGGGCTCGATTGCCGCAATGTACATTGTATTGAAACGTCGATCGCACTGTCCAGGTGACGATCGCGGAGTGCCACGTGCTGCTGGCGCCCTGGGCGGCCGCGCTGCGGGGGCCCGCGCCGGAGCCGCCGCTCACCAACGGGGAGCATAAGGTAAATTTTTTTTTATTGCCCGCGACGCATGCTGTCGAGCATACAGCCCACCTGATGGTAAATGGTTACCGTCGCTCATGGACGTCAGCAATGTCAGGGCCAGAGCCAAGACGCTGCCTACTAAATGCACATCACAAGGGATAAATCAAAGAGTAAAACAAGTCGTCGTGGCCTAAAGGATAAGTCGTGCTGTGCATTCGTATCTAGCGATGCACCGGTGTTCGAATCCCGCAGGCGGGTACCAATTTTTCTAATAAAATACGTACTTAACAAATGTTCACGATTGACTTCCACGGTGAAGGAATAACATCGTGTAATAAAAATCAAACCCGCAAAATTATAATTTGCGTAATTACTGGTCGTAAGACCTCTTTGAAGCCCGCACGGGTAGGTACCATCGCCCCGCCTATTTCTGCCGTGAAGCAGTAATGCGTTTCGGTTTGAAGGGTGGGGCAGCCGTTGTAACTATACTGAAAAAAAGTTGCTTAATCGACATTTTTCCCACCTCGTCCACCCATCTAAGCAATAAAAAAAAAATGTATGTCAAGCTGCGTCTCATGATGACTGCTTAGTGAGTGTCTAGTGCCTAGGGAGACTGTGTACTCATAATGGGATTGACGTAACAGGAAGAGGTGCCGGAGACAGCTCATGACGTCACGGCGGCCTCGGCGGACATCACCGTGGACAGCGTGCGCGACCACACCAGCGCGGAGCACCCGCCCGAACTCAACATCAACTTGCAGGTACCTCCGCGACGCCCGTGTAGTAGATATACGTGCATCCACGGATGTAATGGGTCAGATTAGTATTGTTTCTTTATATAATTGATATAAAAATACAATATAGAGAGACTGACACCCGTATCTTTAGTCGTTTACACGAGCTTAACTCGACTCGACTCAACCTCCAACGCGCGTTTTGGTATGATTAGTCGTAAAAATAAACTCCATTCAAACGTCCTTGGAAAATTTTCCTAACCGGAGTGAAGTGATCGAACTGTCAAGTTAAGGTACGTCGCGACGTACCTTGAACGTTCCTCAAGGCTGGTTTTCTATCAATGTCCAAATAGTATGTGGACCGCAAATGGAAATATATGATATTGTTGTGCAATGGCCTGGATCTGTGCATGATTCCCGCATATTTTGATAATTTAATTTTGATAATATTTATTAATAAAGTAAATAGTTCGAGGTTAGACATTTGAAACTCTTTATTTTATTTACCTACATAAGAGACATATTTTGTTTACTACCTGATAAATAAAGTCAATGCGATTATAAGTTTTATTTATATAATAATAAACTGGTGGTTGTGGAAAAGCACTTCAACAACACGATGCAACCAAAATCACACAAAAGCGGCGAATAAAAATACAAAGCCGGATCCGAAATCTAAAATAATAATAGGTTAGAAAATAAATGATACACTTTCAGATTTACCGTACGCACACATATTTACGATTAACTCAGCAACCAAAACATCAAACAAGTTCATCTAGTGTCAAACATGTGTCAAACAGACAGCGGCAGCTTGACTTTGACATTAAACAATGACCATAGACTACAGAACTCTATGGGTTTGATGCTAGCTTGATCAAATTTTCATCATTATCACCTCACTCGAGGACAGTTGAGGAATATTGTAATGGTCGACTAAAAATACCAAACTCGAGTAAGTTTCGAGGGAATGCTCGAGCATCATTGGATGAGTTAAGAGTGGAGGACTATTTTACGAAACGTCTAAAGATACGGGCATGAGACCCCGAAAGGGAGGAAAAAAACTACATAATAAGCTAATTTGTAAAACGCATGAATATGTACTAGTGGTCCCGCAGTAGTCAAAATGCGACTATAATTAATTGAAACTATAAGTTTGAACAATATTAAATTAATGGTTCTATTTTCAAAGACAAAATCAAAATTTCGCCAAGACTACACTATGGACAAATAATATTCAAGACAAACAATATTACCCTATTCTCAATTTGACCACAGACTTTAAGCAATAATATATTCTCTTTAAGTGTGAGAAATTTCATACTCCCTCATCCGCGCAATTTTCGTAAAAAAGGGTACACCATTTTTGCTTCACGTATTAATATATAGACAATGCGTTTCAAATATGAATGTGCATGGACCTGCGCCATATTGTGACGTCATAGCTGTAAAATCAAAAAAAATAGATAAAGTCAGTTAAAGAAGGTAGGAATTTTTAAATATGAATTTATAATCCAATTCTTCAAGCTTGCCGAGTCCACTCATCCCACTGCTTGAGTAATCATCATCATTGTCGCCCACCTATAGATTATAGGGCCTGACAGTGTTGCAGCCTTGATTTTTAAATACATAGATGGGTTTTTATTTGATATAATCTAAATTCATGTTTAATTTACCTCGACCAATACTCACCACATCAAGAAAATTATATAGTGTGTAATGGTTCATTAAAACAAACATATTAATAGTCTTCATAATTAAACAAAAAAATCACTAAGAAATAGAAGATAAAAATAATTTTTGTTGCTGTCCATACTTTTTTATCGAACTTTGACAGATCAAGGTCATTGACGAACACATTGTTATTTGAAACGCACTATACAAGAATTACTATGGTGCATAAAGTTGCGTTCTCATAATGCTAGTCGTCAGTCAGCAGTATCACTAGTTCACGGTGATGATTCCAGTACACTTACAAACCGAGCTACCTGTATACGATATTTATTAAAACTTAATATGCTTAGAGATTGATTAAATTAATAAATTATGACTAATAATTTAAATCAGCTGTGAAGTTTTTGTGGTAAAATAAAGTTTTTGAATTCTTTCCCTCGTGGAATGCACAAGAGCTTAAATTTAAAACGCTTCAAACTCCACATTTCTGAGTGCATCTGAGGTCTGCGTTAGTGGCGATATTTAGGATGATGATTGAGGAATTTTATGACAAAACCAAACATGTCTGTTACGAAGTTAGTATTATCATATGGTTAGTGTACGGTTGCTGATGCAATGTAAAGGGTGTAAATTGCCCTTTATTAATAAAACAAGTTCCAATTTTACTCCGTATATTGTCACAAGTGTCTGTCGTGTCGGGTGGGCTATGTACGACTGACTAATGCAAGCGATGCACAAACTGTGTCCCTACGGTTAGTATTAATACCACGACTAAGGAAGTATTTTCTCGACAGAACACGCAAGTGAATACGAGTTCGATGGTAATAAAGACAACGACACGCACAACCGTGAACGAGACCAACGCGGACGGCACCACCACCACCACCACCACGACCAGCACTAACAACGCCAACGAGAACAGTGAGTACACGGGATTGTCACGCTTACCGCCATAGCAATTAATCAGCTTTTTCTATATCAATAAAAAATGTTTTTTTTTTTTTAATACAGACCTATAATTTATTTTATACAAATTCAAGACACGCTATGTCGTAGCAGTCAATTTAAGTCAATTTTGAAATAGGAAATCGACTGACACGTAAGTTATTATATAAAATTGGATTTGTAAACGATAATTTTATTAATCTGGTTCGCCAAGCAAGCTTTAAGCACGACGATGCAAACATGCAAAGCTTCGTAAGCTGATATCCAAAAATAATTTGCGAGCGTACGAAATGCGAAAGCAGTAGGAATATGCATGAAAGCAGAATTTTATTTGCTTGGAATTTTGCTTACAATATCTATAACGAAATAAATTTATTCGTCCCCAACAAAACATTGGTTCGTAAAGTTAATTAAATGTCAAATATTCTTCACCGAAATTGGAATATTAAGTTATCGTGTATTTTGTTAATTGCATACACAATCTCTCTGAAATAACATAAATTCCAGTATTTATGTTATCTAATAGAATATAATGTTGAAACAAACAAAATATTTCGATCATTAAATACATAAATTAATAAAAATCTAATGGCTCCAAAAAGTTAATTTTATCATTTTTGCCTTGGGCGAGAGATTTTATATAGAACAGCGTAACAATACGAGGAATGGTAATTGAAATAATTATAATATACCGCTTTTTACTATAATGTTTAAATGTATGTATACAATGTCGAGATTTGTGTTTGTTTGACGGGCGCTTTGTGTTTTTGTTCGTAGTCCTAGAGCACAGTCGCGAGGAGGGAGTCATCACCCGCATCGAGGTATCACAACACTTTGCTTAAATATTTATGATACGCTTTCACGACGGAATGATTATTAGAATAGAAGTACATAACTTTCTAGACCAACGATTCTCAAACTGTAGCACTGGACCCCTGACGGCAAATTGTATCGGTGGTGACGGCAATACTGAGAAGTGAAAACAGTTAACTTGTAATATTGTCGTAATGAATTATCTCTACAGTATGTAGCTTAAAATGAACCTTATCTGATATCATACTAAGGTTGTAAATTATGAGCGTTAGTTTGGTAGAATAAGAAAAAGTTTTATTAAGGGAGTATGGAAACGAAAAAAAGTTGGGCCACATTGTTCTAGAAAGGTTACTTAAAAATATTGATATGTTTGAATTTTCATTCCGTCGTCGAATACCCTCCACTTTTCCTTATTAAGCCTATCTCTCTAGCATGCTCTTTTAAAAATCTAGATGTTGTGTTCTATTTAGAAATTTTAATTTAATGTAGTTTAATCTAACTTTCTCTACTAATCTCCAAGTCGTCGTACATATACTAATATCTAACGAACATAAATGTGGAACTCATTGTTGTGGCGTCCGCTCGCGTTTGTGACACGTCGTCTCGGGGTATTATAATCGATTAGAGAAAGTATATTAACATTCGATGTCCGGAATCGTTTCGTAACTAGACCTCGGAAAGCACGGACGGCCGCCACGACAAACCGAGAAGAACGTGAGGTGGTATTCATGAAGCGGTGTGCACACAGACGGGAACCGTGACGGTGCCGGCCGGCACAGATCCGAAGCTGATCCTCGAGATGTTTGATCGACAACGGTCCCCCCTGGCGGTCCCCGTACCGCCCCCCACTGACGCGCACTGACACCCCTCTGTCCCCCCGGTGTCTATCCACCGACGAGTCACGTGACGTCACCGGCCCCCTACTGAAGCGTGACAACCCCCTAGTTTAACGTTTAAATTTAAAGGTATCATCGATAGTTGTGTTATTAAAATTTTCATTTTTATTACTATAATTAATTACTTAGACAGCTAAGTATACTGCCATGTTTGGGTACGGAAAATCTATTTTTAATTTCAATTATTTCAAAACAGAATTAGCTACTACTAAACATTGCAAAATGCAAGAAATTGCATGATTACATTTGGGTTTTTTTTTCGATATTTTTAGGCTTTTTACTGGTAATTAAAATTTAGTCGGTAGTACATTGTACTTAATTGTAATCAATTCTTCGTCTAAATATATTATGAAACTTTTAAATCTGATATCTGAATTATACTAAAGATTCTTTAATGAATCCAATAATGAGCAGACAGTCGAGTACAATGTTTCTTTTTTTTTTTCAAATAAGCCCATTTCTGCTTTTTCATTTTATTAATGATCATAAGAATAAGTATGATAGATTAAAAATTCACTTCGAAAAAATTCAACTTAATAAAAAAAAATCGAATAAAACAATAATTTGTAGTACAAAAATCTTAAGCCATACCATTGTTGTATTCAATACAGCGATTAGATTGTGGATTGTATTAAAAAAATAAATAGTCCTAAGAAACGAGATGTGAAATTTTATTATTTAGCATTTTAGTTTATTTCGAAGCATTCACTGCGAATGTTATTATGTGCCTATTTATTTTCATTTCTAATAAAAATAAGTCCTGTTTTTTAGAAAAAATAATTAGCTATAAGAAATAAATACGCATTGACAATTTAGTAATGACTAGAGTTTATATATTGTATACAAAAATTTTAAAAATAGCATTAATTACACTGTCATGCCTGAAATTTATTTAATTTTGAGACATATTTATTCATATAAAATTGTTATTCTTTAAAGTACATAGTTTGAATTGTTTCATTGTAAATTCAGAAATTAGAACGATTCTAATATTTTAACGGTCTTTTTAAGAAATGCTTCTTTTTAATAAGAATATGTAGGTATTTATTAATTTTAAGTACCCACGCGATTTTTATTAGCATTTTTAGCTTCAATAAAGATAATGAATGAACTACTAGAATGAATTACTTTGCCGGGAAGAAACACTGGAAAACTGATTCCTATGAAGGAAGGTTTTCGTTAAGGCAGCTCTTTGAGGATTAATAAATTTAAAATTATCATCACAATTCGTGATATTTATTAATGATTGATTCAATAAAACGTTGTTTATTTAGATATAAGTTGTACGTGCCTACATTTTTTAGTTTTTTGTATTAATAATATGGTAGTTAGTTAGAAAACAAGTGTCACATCATGTTTTCATTGTTCGCAAGGTTGATACTATTATATTATGAATGTACAATTTTAGAATGATTTATCTTTGACTATTGCATTTTTAAAACTGATACAAAATGCTAATGCCATTTGTATCGGGCGTTCTTACAGGAGATTAAATGCTAAGAAAAAAATGTGGTTTTACTTCAATGTGTGTGTTCAAGTGTCTATGAATCTGGTCTTCTGAAAGCTATTTGGTTTGTCTTTTTTAAGACTAATGTTTAAGAGCTTTTCAATTATTGTTTTTCTTCAGGTAGCCAGATGAGTGTGACCCATTCTTTCTTCGAATCTCCGAATCATCTCATTTGTTGAACCTTGATCCTGGATCCAAACTCTGAAAAATAGGGTAGATGACAAAACCCTAACCCATTTGGCATTAAGAGGTTACTAGAGTCTGTTGATACCAATAATGTGAATAATGCTGTTAACTTTCACTTGTAAGGTCTCAATACCGACGGTACAATTCGGTCATTTAAATCGCAATTGACGTCTTAGCCAAAAAAATAAGACGTCTGATGTACTATCAATGGGTATGATGCTATTACATATTAAGTGTATAATCTATGGCTATTACACTGAAGTTTAAATCCCGCAGGCTGGTATAATAATTTCATTTGCAATGGAATCACAGGTGTAGGAAGTTGAAAAATGAGCTCACAACAACACTACCACAACTTTTAGGAAATGAGGTTGGAGAACTGGATTCAAGAATAATTTGCAAACATAATTTGCATTGTTTGCAACTTACGTTACTATACAATTGAGCCATTCACTCTAACACACCCTACCGTGCAAACAGCACTTAAAGCAAGAACTGCAAAATAGAAACAGTCTACAACGAACGGATAGAGAAATGAAGTAGCAGCAGTAGTAGTAAGAACAAAACAAAAAACTTGTGTTTCGAATCGCATTTAGATGCATTCAACATTATTATTTTTAGAGGAACCATACTTGGATTTTACAAAATTGATCTTTTCCATTTTTCTATGCGGAGCGAAAACCTGGACCCTTAAAGAGACTGATCGCAAAAGCGTGGAAGCTTTTCAAATGTGGTGCTGGAGGAGAATGCTCCGAATACCTTGGACAGCGAATAGAACCAATGTGTCTATCTTAGAACAACTGCAGATTAAGACTTTCCATACTTTGCCTTCCCCGCGCAATCAAGTACTTCGGTCATATTGCTCGGAAAACACCTGATAGCTTAGAGAGACTATTCGTGACAGGTAAGATCGACGGAAAGAGACCGCGCGGGCGTAGTGCGACATGGTGGCTCGATCAAAACTCGCACCACACTAAAGATCCCATTTAACGAAGACCTTCATGCGACCAATAATCGGAGGCGCTGAAGGACAATACAAGGAATAAAATCTCGTTGAAACACGTCATGACCCTCAGCAGTGAGGAAACGACCCGAGGAGGAACGAGGCTAAATACACTGGATTTTTAGAATGCTAGTATTATTTTACAAATTCCATTTTTCGATATCAATTTTCCTTGAAACTATTCATTTTGAAATCGATGTGGCTATGATTGAAGTTGTATCAACTGTCGATCACATAAGTGATCAAAGATTGCATAGATTATACACTTAATATATTTGAGAAAAGATTGTATTATCTATGGTTGATGAGGCCATATACAATCAGGCAAAATTCTACATAGGTTACGAATTTACGAATCAAACAAAAAAACTTTTTGTTTTGTTGTGGCGTGTTGAAATAAATTTAGGTTCCTTCGTGTTAATCATTAACTTGATATTTTTGTCCAAAATCTAATTAATAATGAATGTATGCAGAACTTGTCTTGCGGACAAAACTGACAAGGACATATTTAATGTAAAGATGAATAAAGAGTTTAAAAACAAAACTTTTGTTGACATGATGATATTTTGTCTGGATATAATGGTAAATATTGAAGTTAAGCTTGATTTATACTGTCGCTTTTAATAAACTGGCTGCCTAATAAATTTTAAAAAATAATTCTGTCAACATGAACCACAAAAATTATAGTTTACTTTTATGAGATCTCTTTTTTCAGGTTGTTAAAAATCCAACCATTACAACAAAACTTTGTGCAAAATGCTACAGAAAAATATTATCATTTCATAAATTTAAATCGCTGGCCATAGAAAATGATATTTATTTAGAAAGTCAGTGTACATCTGCCAAGCACCAGATTCCACTCAATAACAATGAGAATGAGATTGGGCCCACACAACAGTTTAGTATACAAATGGTTGACTGTCTCTCTCCTGAAATGAACAACAAAGATATAATATTCAGAGAACAAGTCAAGACAGAAATGGTATCGGCTCATGATGCAGAAAATGACAGTATCGAGTTAGGAAAATCAGAGCCTCCAGAGTTAGAGTCTGATGATGAATACTTGAGTGTANATAACAATGAGAATGAGATTGGGCCCACACAACAGTTTAGTATACAAATGGTTGACTGTCTCTCTCCTGAAATGAACAACAAAGATATAATATTCAGAGAACAAGTCAAGACAGAAATGGTATCGGCTCATGATGCAGAAAATGACAGTATCGAGTTAGGAAAATCAGAGCCTCCAGAGTTAGAGTCTGATGATGAATACTTGAGTGTAATTAAAACAATTAAAATGGAGTATGGTATGGATGGTAAAGATGCTAAGATCAAACGTAAAAATGGTTGGTATGTTAAACAACATAATTTTTAATAAATAAATAAAGTTCTAAACACTAAGAGGTTGAATGGTTTCTGATTACACATGATTGCACTGTAAATTATTTCAGTGAATATTGCAAGTGCTGAAAAAGAAACAGGTTAAAGATATAGTTAGTCTAATTTTAAACTACTTTTTACAGCTACTGTAAGAAAATCAAATTCCAAAAAGATAGATAATCCAAAAAATAATTTTAAAATGATGTGCGAGGAATGCGGACTTACTGTAAAAGATTTAAAAGAGCATATGAGACAACATCTTCCTCCAGACGAGAGACCAAGAGTCAATTGTCACCTTTGTGAGGAAACGTTTTCATCGGCCAATTCAAAATACAAACATGTGAGACGTAAACATATGAACATCAAACAGAATTGTAAAATCTGTAATAAGGGTAAGCATAGACTTAGAATTCTTTTTCCTCTTATTCTAAAGTAGGTTTAAAATTAATAAGTACTGGTTTTGTGCGTTATACTCAAAATTAAGGTACCATTATTGGTAGTTGACTATTTTATCAAATTTTGTGATAGGCTTTTTTAAAGGACAAACTGCCATATATAAAAAAATCTAAATTACCTATTTAAAAGAACATTTAAAAAAATATACAAAATCAACTGGCTACTTGAACTTTAGCATTGCTGGATTTCATATTTTTAACAATGATTCTTCCATGTGGTGTCCATCTAGGGGTGTTCAAAATTCCCCCTGCTACCGGCGGGAAGTCCGGAAACTGTAACGCCCCCGTCTTTTTATTGCGGCTCCTGCCGGGCCCCGCCTTCGCAGGCTGGGACGGGGAAGGATCTTCTGGTTTTTGGGCTTTCCAGTAGTTGGTGCCCTTGCCGGAGTGGGTTTTGGTGCCACTGTTATCTGGGGCTACCTTGCGGGGAAAGCGGCAGGACGTGTCGCGCCTGATTTTGATCCGCCATAGGTTTTCACGGCCTTTGCAGTCCTGCCAGATGCCAGTACCGAAGGTCTATGTTTCACCTCATGAGCGAGGGACAGTCTCGCGCGCTCCACAGTGGAGCTCCTCGCCTCCAGCATGACGAGCCGTCACCTCAGTTCCTCGACTACGTTGGGGTTCTCAGTTTCGGGCAGAAGAGGGACAGGGGCTGAGCTGCGTTGCCGCTCGACAAGATCGGCAACCATCGTTCGCATCTCGGCCATGTCGACGCGTTACTGTCCATTCTCCGCCCGAAGCCGACCGTTTTCGGCCGAAATCTGTTCGAACCGGGCGTGCAGCAAGTCTGGCTCTTGCCGCAAGTCCACCGTCTCCGCTGTTTGTAGTGCGGTCCACAACTTCCTTCGTTTTTTCCTCCAAGGAGGCGGCCGCAGCCTTCATCGCCGATACATAAGTGCCCTTCAGACCCGCACCCGATTTCGCCGCAATTGTAGAGACGATCTTGCCGACTACATTGAATGTGCGAAGGAGGTCAGAGGGGACCTACCTCCATCAGGAATCGCGCGTTCAACCTCTCCTATTTGTCATATTCGTTTGTGTCACGGCAGGCGGCCCTGGACTGCACCGAGAAGGCAGCAGCCATATGAAGCCTTTTCACAATCCATGGCGGGCGGCGCTGCAGCAACCGCCGGCCCCTCCGCCATCGCCATTTACTTGGCGCTAGCAGGCTCTCCCTTCGATGAGTCGGACGGAGCGGAGGACGCCGGCTGTCGAGCCGACTTCCGCTTCCGCCGAGTCCGCTGTCGTGTGCTGTCCACAAACAGCGCCGGCGTCTCCCGCCCACTGGACGCATCGCCTCTCGAGGAGCTTCGCGCCGAGCGCAGCGAGAGAAGGCTGTCGTACCTCTCCAGTAGCACGGTGGGAACTCTGTCCCTTACGCGACCTGTGCTGTCGCCTCCTTCTTCGTGGCAGTGTTTCCCCCCTCCAGAAACGGTGGGGCAGCGTGCAGCCGAACGCTCGACTGCACGGAGGGATTCTATTGATAAAAAAAAAACTGAGCAATCACTTGTCCTGATCAAAACCTCAAACCTGGATTTTGCATCACAGATGTCGAGCCACTTAAACAGTCCTATAATAATAATGTTCTCATATAATTTTCAGCTGTCGCAAACCTGAAAGCGCACATATTAGTGGTGCACAATACGGAATCACTGCCGTTTGAATGTATAGCATGCGGACGCGGGTTCATATCGAAGTCGCGCCTTGACGTTCATATGGCGGTGCACACCAAGGATCGCCCTCATAAATGCTCATTTTGCATTAAACGGTTTAGGACTAAGATTTGCATGCAGCTACACGAGTAAGAACTATTTGCCTTTTTCTTTTTTGAGTTGGGGCTTAAACAGGCCGGGATGATATTATCACCTTAAATTGATATTGAGGTATTAAATTGATATTAAAGACCTCTTGTGAGTCCGCGCGGGTAGGTACGACCACCCTGCCTATTTCTGCTGTGAAGCAATAATGCGTTTCGGTTTGAAGGGTGGGGCAGCCGTTGTAACTATACTGAGCTTAGAACTTATATGTCAAGGTGGGTGGCGCATTTACGTCATAGATGTGTAGATGCTCCAGTAACCACTTAACACCAGGTGGACTGTGAGCTCGTCCACTCATTTAAGCAATAAAAAATAAAAAAGAAGTTGTTTCTTATATGTGTCTTCAATGCTCAGAACATTGGAGAAAATCCTACGTTGGACTATGTTAGTGTCGTTTAAAATAAATGTGTGAAAGTAATAAGTCTTCGAGATGCTCTGTTGATGTCCGGACACCCTTTGGTCTAACTCATTATTCTTTCAGGCGACAAGTCCACAAAAAGGAGAAGAATCATCTCTGTCAGTTCTGTTCGAAAACTTTTTTCAAAAAATATCACTTACAAGTGCATATAAGGTAAATAAATATAACCGACACGTATTATGTACTGATTGTGTTATTATATCATTTCTATAGAACAGTATTAGTTATGATTAAGGTCCTTGAATAACGTAAAATCTACCTAGTATTGAAAATTTAGTTAAATTATTAACAAATTATTACAAATTAAGTTAATTAACAAAACGACAAGCTAAAACCACTGCGAAGGGACAGAGTGAATATCGCTTGCGACTAGTTATGGTACTCTGTGTTGTACTACGCGCTGCTGTTTGTGGTCACTGAAGCGCTGAATGCGCAGAACTATCGCAACTGCGATCATAGTTTACATAATTGACAAGTTTTTTTTTTATTGCTTAGATGGGTGGACGAGCTCACGGCCCACCTGGTGTTAAGTGGTTACTGGAGCCCATAGACATCTACAACGTAAATGCGCCACCCACCTCGAGATATAAGTTCTAAGGTCTCAGTATAGTTACAACGGCTACCCCCACCCTTCGAACCGAAACGCATTACTGCTTCACGGCGGAAATAGGCTGGGTGGTGGTACCTACCCGTGCGGACTCCCAAGAGGTCCTACCACCAGTGAAGTTCCGGCATACAGACCATCGGTCTACCGAGCAATATCAGCCGCTCGGTTGAAGATCTTCCTTTCTTCGTTATATCCAAAGTCTCTCAATCGTGAGCATTATTTCTTGTTTTCGTTATGAAGAACAATTCTCTTGCGGTCGCGGTCCATACGTTAATTCTTTTGTTTTGTTGTTCTTGTTTAATTGTAGTGTGTCTTGTTAATTGTTTTGTTTTGTTTATTGGCAGAACTCACACGAAGGAGAAACCGTACGAATGCAACGAGTGCGGCAAGTGGTTCAGCTCGAAGAACGTGCTGAAGAACCACAAGCTCATACACGAGGACGTGAAGAGATTCGCGTGCACGCTCTGCGATATGTCGTTCATTAGAAACGGGTTAGTGCTGGATGTTTTTTTTTGTTATCTAATGATTTCACAGGAGACTTACAGGATACTGAGTTTCTCGCCGGATCTTCTCAGTGGGTCGCGTTTCCGATCCGGTGGTAAATTCTACGAAGCACGGCTCTTGCTAGGGCCAGTGTAGGCAACACTCCGGTTTGAGCCCCGTGAGCTCACCTACACGTTAGGGTGAAGCTAAAATAGCCTCTCAAGGCTAGCATAGGTAGGAAGAAAAAAGAAGACTAACACATTTGTGTTATACTTGCAAGGAAATAATCTCTCGATCTATTTAAAAGTATAGAAAAATCCTAGATTTCTTAGACAGGCTTATTACAAAAACTATATTTTAAATTACAATCTGATATCCCAATCCCAATATATATTTGCAAATTTTGCGGGTTTAATTTTTATTTTTTTTCCTACCTAAGCTGATAGCCTTGAGAGGCTATTTCAGCGTAACCGTGGCTAGTAGGTGAGCTCACGGGGCTCAAACCTGACGACGTTGCTAATACTGGCCCTAGCAAGAGCCGAATCTACTAGCGGGTCGGAAACGCGACCCACTGAGAAGATCCGGCGAGAAACTCAGTGGGCTGTGTCTGAGGGTTAATTTACTCGTCGAGCCCTTCGTCGCCAGCGACGGGTTCGACGAGAACGATGACCGGTGCTTGAGGTACCTAAAAGCACCGTTAGTGGATCGGGAGGATCCGTAATGACGTGTTTGGGGCGACGTCGACTGCTTTCCATTCTGTCCGCAGGATCGGGAATGTAATTAATTTTACTACACGATTATACCCTTAATCGACATATCGCAATAGTCTATACAGAGGTCAGCGGCTAAGATGGGTGAGCCAGCTCACGGCCCGCCTGATGTTAAGTAGTCACCGAAGCCCATAGACATCAACTATGTAAATGCCACTTGCCTTGAGACGAGTTCTAAGTCTTAGTTTTTAAATTTTGAATTTTCTTTTATACATTCGTTTTAAGCGATATTCAGATTTTTACATTCTCTTTTACGATATTTGCAGCACGCATTCTGTCAATGTCATGTCAAACGCCAAAAGGTTACAATAGAAAATCATAAAAAAAATTAATAATATGGTAGTTATTTATTCTTAAATTTCCTAATTTGGTGCGCAATTTTCTTAATATTTTTTTTGTTAACAACCTTATCCTGACAATAACAAACGTAGTAAAAAAAAAAAAAAAATTTGTGGCCGGCGTTCTGATGTTACGCGCGTACATAAAGTACACAGATTCATTTTTATATATAAGATTATTATTTTTCCTTGCAACGTGACCGGAAATCTCGAAAATCCTACTTAGGCAACTTACCTACGCTGGAGAGTGTCGTGAAGACTTTAGCTCTATGCGTGTGATATTATCTGTGGCGCAGGTACCTGCATGCGCACATGCTGTCCCACAAGAAAGAGAAACGCTTCGAGTGCCAGTACTGCGGGGCGAAGTTCCACCGCTCCGACCACAGGAGGCGCCACGAGCACACCGTGCACCGCCGACACCTCGACAGCGCTCTCGACACACCCTTCACGGCCATATAATACCAAAGGGGACTTTTTGGCGGGAACGCGAGGAGTGATTTGTTTTATTTTGTCTATTTAGTGTTTCTTCAGGTTTAATTAAGTGTAATAACGGTGGTTTATTAACTGTTTAATATCTATGTAAAAGTGCACAAATGTAGAAAAATGAAATTAAACAAATTCAAACATTAGTTAAATAACTATAAAATATAAAGACCAAATAGATTAATAAACACAAATTGTCGTCGATTTTATTTATGTTTATGACCATAATAAAAATAGTTTAATACAATCAAAATACTTAGGATAATTTTCGCTTCGAATTTGTTCAACTGTCTGGGGCATTTATCGTTTCCTGCGCGGTATATATAGCGCTACCGGTCGCCAATGCGATATAGTCGTTGACATCAGGGGAATACGGTCGAATGTCCCACTACGAATCGACATATCTACTAATTTTCAAGCAAAAAATATGAATATAGAGAAATATGAATAGACGCATCTGTCGACAAACTCATACGACACAGGAAAGCCACATTTTTGTTTATAATTCAATAGAAAATAGTTTTCAGCTTAAGGAAGTGTGTTGAGGCAATAAGAACATTGTGCTCAACCAATACCATTGTTATATATTTAATTAAACATTAAATGTATTATTTATTGGTAATTCCGGAATGCACGTATCTTGTTAACTTTTGGTGAAGGTTTGGAGTGTGTCAGTGAGTATATTATTATTAATATTTAAAAAAAATGTATTGTATAAATAAAAGAAATTGTTGAGTAAAAAAGTTTATTTTTATTCCACGTAAAATACAATCCAAATTAAAAAACACACACACACAAATACATAATTAAAAACTCAAATAATGTGAATTCAATATCTGTAAAGACAAACCTTTTAAACTTGGTAGAGATTTAAGTTGACGATTGTTTCATAATGTCCAGATCAGTGTGCTTAGTTTATTAACGTTCTCGATAGCGTAAAAGTTAACTTAAATTTGCATGAACAGCGCCCCTAGCGGCAAACGAACTAGCACTAAGGACACAAAAACGAAGCCGACTATACCTTTGACATCAACGATAACTTTGAATTTTCGGTAGGCAGCGGCTTGGTTCTGCCCCTGGCATTTCCGAAGTCCATGGACGACGGTAACCACTCACCATCAGATGGGCCGTGTGCTCGTCTGCCTACACGGGCAATAAAAGAAAACCTCTCATTATAATTATTGTTTTTTTTTTCTTGTAGCCAGGCACATGATTATGAGATCATTTATATATAATTAAATAGGCAGCTCGTTTCGTTTTTATATTAGTAGCTATCAATCTATTAATATGTATATAGCTAGGTCAACAAAATGTATGTTTATGGTATTCAATAATTTAAAAAAATACAAATTAAATCTAAAGAAGTATTAATTATTATGGCCATCTTTCAATCGAACACTATTTAATAAATAAATACATTTTATATATAGGTTCACAAAACGAATAACATTTAAAAAAGGAGAACGCTTTTCGTCTTCTGCTTCTAATTTCGGCATATACTACTACGGCTTACAAATGAAACTCAAGTCAAATTCGTTAGATGGTGTTATGCCAAACCCAACCCCACAAGTGTAACAACTGCACAAAGTTACATCAAAATCGATCTGGTATTATAGGAAGGCATACGTTATAAACATGCAGACATATCTATAAAAATAAAAAATCAATTTCCACATGAATGCCCATTAGCCACCATTAGCACCCCTTGAGAATGGTTCAATCGATTTAGCTGGGTTTTTTTCTGCATTGTACCTTATCCCTTAAGGACAAGGTTTTGTAAAAATATAAATCCACCAAAAAAAATCGTGCAACGCAATCTCAAATATAAATTTAAAACGTCACACCTTTTTTGTACGTATATAAATAATACTCACAAGATATATAAATATGCATAAAAATATTTTTTTATTCTAAATATTATGGACACAACGGTTTTTCCGCGACGTTGTCAGCATTCTCCTCGTCGATACATAGACAAGCTCCGTCCTCGGGTAGGCCCGCTGAATTTTCAGGCGCGTTAATATTCAACATATTTAAAATTCCTTCGAACGTGTCGTTCAATTGTGGGAATTCCGTGTTCATAGTTTCCATGACTTGTTTTAGTTGTTCATTTACCGCCCTGGCTTGCGTGTATTCCGCTGTGACTGTCGATTTCGATTTTTTGACGCGAAACGATTGACGTTTCACGGCCGTCGCTAATTCGTTGCCGAGACGCTGGCTCCTAATAACACGTTCTAGCAGCTGTTAGAAAACATACAATATTACAAGAATATATAGCGATATATATATTTAAGAATAAGAATATGTATATATATTTGTCAATCACTGCACGAATAACAAAATTATACTCTTACTAGCCCTACTCACCCGCTTCGATGCGCACATAAATTAACATTATTATTTATTGTCATTATTATTAGGGAGTCCAACACTCATATAAATATTAGCCTATCCATTAAGTACATGTATTTTCTACATGGATACCAAGTTTCAAGTCAATCGGATGCATGGTTCAGTAGTTTGTTATAACGGAACATCCGTAAAAACCACTGTAGACTTATATATTATTATAGATATAGATTTATGGCAACGGACAGTTGGGAAAAAGCTATGAGGCTTAGTACATGGAAGAACAGTACAGTAACAGTGTCTAAAGACGGCGGTAGCCAAACAAACTCTTACAAAAATACTATTGATATACTATACCCATGACTTCTGTCGCTCAGTGTCCTGACACTCCTGGATGAGTGAAGCGACTTGCTCCTCCAGCTGCGAGTTCATTGCACCCGTTTCAAACACTTCCCGATCTAAGCGCTCTTGTTCCTTTTCGAGATTTTCTAAATGACTTTTCGCATCAGCTAAATCCTAATCAAATCATATTCTTCTGAGTTCGTGCGTCTATCACCCCGACAATAAACGAGATAATGTATGAACTACGGTAGATGCAATATAATAAAGTGTCAAATCATTAACAGCTGTAAACGTCATTTAATAAATTTTACAATTCGTACATATAGTTTTTCATATGTTATTATTTTCTATTATCCCCAATATTATATAATCAAACTTTTTAAATTGAATTAATTTTTTTTTCCTACCTATGCTGATAGCCTTGAGAGGCTATTTCAGCTTCACCCTAACGGGGGCTCAAATCGGAAGTGTTGCTAACACTGGCCCTAGCAAGAGCAAATTCGCAGAATCTACCACTGGATCGGAAACGCGACCCTCTGAGAAAATCCGGCGAGAAACTCAGTGGGCTAAATTAATGATAAGTAACAGTGTGGGCACATGTACTTACACGCAAACCGTGCACTTGTTTACGATACTTTGAAAACTCGATTGTAATGCTTCAACCCGGAACACGGTAGTGTTTTGAGAGCAAATAGAGACAGGGTGGTCGGACTTATTTGTGCGGATCACAGTACAGGGTGTTGTATCGACCACTTGATATATAATTACGCCAAATAAAATTTGCATGTTCTCATCTTCACACGATGCTATTTCTTTAGCGTGGAAGCTAATCATGAACGCATGTTAAGTACGTATTTCATTACACTTTTATCACATAACCTTTAGATTTAAATGAGGGAATAATATAAATCTAGTTATGAATAAAATTTCAATCGACATAACAGTGCAATTTTTTTTAAATATACCTTCGTAACTCTAGCGACATCGGCTCTAGCCAGTCTCAACTTGTGTCGGTAGACAGACTGCGAGGTGTGTCCGGAGTGTCCGTGCGCCTTCTCGACGGCAGCGGCGGCTCGACACTTCTCCATGGCGGTGTCGCGTCGCGTCACGTACAGCGCTAGATCATCCGCCAACTTCTCGCTGGTCCGACGAAGGTGCTCTCGACGAACCTTTGACCGAGAGCACGACTTTTTTTTCTGCCTATACTGATAGCCTTGAGAGGCTATTTCAGTGTCGCCTTGACATGTAGGTGAGCTCACGGGGCTTAAGCCGGGAGTGTTCCTAACACTGGCCCTAGCAAGAGCAGTGCTTCTCAGAATCTAACACCGGATCGGAAACGCAAGTCACCGAGAAGATCCGGCGAGAAACACAGTGAACTGTGTCTATGGGTTAATTTACTCGTCGAGCTCTTCGTTACAAGCGACGGGTTCGGCGAGGATGGTGACCGGGAGAGCACGACATTACATATTCAAACAATATATCTTTGTAACTCAAGTGACAGAAGGACCGACAATGAGGTGATGCAGAAAATAAAGGACATAATTAAAACTCAAATAATGGCGGATGCATGGACGAAATCAGAAGGCGCATGGCTGTCACGAGGTCGGCGATGGACGGGCTGAGGAAAGTATGGAGAAATAGAAACATAACCAAAACTACAAAGATCAGGCTCGTTAGAACACTAATATTCTCTATATTTCTATACGCTGCTGAGACGTGGACCGTGCGAGACGTGGAAAAGAAGAAAATAGACGTTCTGGAAATGTGGTGCTGGAGAAGAATGCTTGGAGTTTCGTGGACCGACTTTCGTACAAATGTCTCGATACTTCAGGAACTCGGCATCAAGCAGCGTCTATTTGGTATAGTACAGTCTCGAATGGTGAATTTCTTTGGACACGTTTCGCGACGAGATGGCCGGTCCATAGAGCGCCTCATTGTACAGGGAAGCGTTGATGGTACAAGACCGCGCGGGAGGCCACCAATGCGGTGGACCGACCAAATTAAAACTGCAGTGGGAGGTCCCCTAAATGAGTGCAGTAGAATGGCCTCGAGCAGGGAGAGATGGCGCGACATCGTGAGACGCATCAAGTCTGCCCCTTCCAACACTACATGACGATCACGACCACTCTGTCAAGAGTGACACGACTGAGAAAAAGAAGAATTAAAACAATTTTTTTTTGTCATCAAATTATCTCCAACTATTCTAATAATTATTCATATAATTATTCAATTATTCCTTCACCATAGAAGTCAATCGTGAACATTTGTTAAGTACGTATTCCATTAAAAATTTTGTACCCGCCTGCGGGATTCGAACACCGGTGCATCGCTCAACACGAATACACAGGACGTCTTATCCTTTAAGCCACGACGACTTTCAGACATCATAACAGTAATTGTTGTCACCAATCAGTTTTAAATTAAAATAAAATTATTTTTTATTGTGTTTAGGACTCTTGATAATTGAAAAAAATACTACAAAGAAGAATTCAAACACTACACAATGACCCCGGAGGATGATATCATCACCTTGCTCAACTCAGTCGTTCAGACAAGTTTCAAGGGTGGGAGAGCTGTTGTATACAGTATATGTCAATGGATTCCAGTAATGATCCAACACCAGCACAACTGATCTCGTCTTTAGCTAGATTTTGTTTACATCTAACCTCCATTCGGTGTATTTCGTTTTTCATTTGTCCTATCTCGCCGGCGGCTGATTTGGCGGCTTGCATGTTCTTCTTCAGTTCGACGGCTAAAATGCCCTGTCAATCAGAAAGCTGTGAACGAAGCCACTATCCGCTGTGACTGAACAGACTCTAAAATAAAGTTATTTAGAAGAAAATTCAAATAACACGTATTTTGTTAGTATAAATTAAACAGCTCCAAATTGTGTTCCATCTTATTTAAAAATGGATTTCCATCGATAATATTATCAAATACAGGTAAATAGAGATGAGTCGGATTTATTAGAACAGACCCGAGTATTTTACGAGATTAGGCTGCACCTAATCCCATTTTGTGGCTTTGGATGAGATTAGAAATTTGGATTGGATTAGGATTACCTAATTCAAATATTAAGTATTTCTTAAGATTAGGAACAGGTGGATCTAGTATCTGATTTACCGAATACGACCCACCGCTACAGGCAAAGCTTGTTCGCTATTTTTGATGGTTGATTTATTTTGCTTTGTCAAAAGTTTTTCCTCCTATGGGCAGTGAGCGACCAAACATAGGAATTCATGGTTTTTGCTACAACACGAGAAAGCGCCCCCTGGTAACGGATACTTTGCCATCAAAGCCAAAAGAACTTTCTGGACTGCACTCTGCTCAAACTTGCCTAAGCCTTCCTCTTTACAGTCCCGATTGACCAATATTTACTTTTTTACCGCCAAAATGAAGATAGACTGACAATTTTTGATGGGTTTGTCTTACATGGGTGCGTAACTAAACGTACTTGTTGGAAGTTTGGCGACTGACTGGACGCACCCATGCCTTTATTTCAAAATTAGTACAATCATTCACATATTTGTTTTTATGAATTATGATTTATTTATTATTATTAATTATTTACTATTAATTATTATCGTCTCGTAGCATGCATAGAGCACTAAATTTTTATAGCATCAAATTGAAGATCGCGGACAACATAATATACATTTTAAATATAATACAAACTTACTTTCCTCTGCCAGACCAAAGCCTCCCTCTGTACGCGATCGAGCTCTTGAGTCAAGTTCATCTTCTCCTTGTCCATCGCATCAATATCTTCTTCCAGTTGAATTATTTCTGCCTCCGCGTCCTACGATCATTCCATTTGTACTAACCAACGTCGTGACAGTTCGAACAAATGCTAAACAAATATCTAAAAAAACACACCCATGCACGCACGCACACATGCACGCACGCACACATACACCCACGCACACATACACCCACGCACACATACACCCACGCACACATACACGCACGTACACGCACGCACACGTATACGCACGCACTGACGCACAATACACAATGTCAGTCACCTTCAAATTAGCAGAATACTCGTGTGTAACAGAGAGGTTACTCTTCTGCGCCGTATCGTTCCGTTCGTTCGCCTCCTTCCTCGTCCTCTCCAGCACTTCGAGCCTCCCTCGCAACTCTCGCAGCGATCTCTCGACTTTACCGCGCTCTTGTTGAACAGTGTCGCGCTCCGCCTGTATCCGCATAATCTTCTGCTCACATATTTGAATCTCTGTTAGTTGGAAAGACAGAAATTCCGATAATTACTTGAGTAATTTTTTTTATACACTAGTCGTGCTCTACCGTTTTTGCAATTTAATTTTTGTTTTTGTTTTTTACTTTCTTTTTATAATCTAATAGCATAATGTTTAGATTACGTAAACATCAGTTTACATTTCGGAAACATTAGAAATTGTAAAACTAATAAGCGCAAGATTAAACTTTAAAAGCAGATTTTAATTTTATCATTTCTTTCGTCTTCTTTTTTTTATTATTATTGCTCTTGTAGGCAAATGAACATACAGCCCGCCTGGTGGTGAATGATGACCATCGCCCATGGACTTCAGCAATACCAGGGCTAGAGTCAAGCCGCTGCCTGTTGTTCTATACATCTATATATCTTCTCCTTCTTCGTCGCTTCCTCATTACTGAGTTGCATATATCTTACGTTTGTTAATCAAGTTGATGTCAGTGGCCATCTTGTGGTGTTGCTCGGTCAATTTGACGACGTGCCCTTGCAGACGAAGCCACTCGTGCTGCATCCCCTCGGTTCGTTCGCGCAACTCCTTGATCTGCAGCTCCAACTCTTCGATGCGACGCTCTTGCGGCGACTTTAACTGTTCAAAACGTTGTACACAAACATCTAATTATATTAAACTAGCGACCCGCCCTCGCTTCGCTTCGCAAACATGAAATTTTTATTATTGATTATTTACGACATCACATTAGAAATAACAGTATTTCTCAACTATTTAATGGATGTTATTATACATATAAACCTTCCTCTTCAGTCACTCTATTTATTAAAAAAAACCGCATCAATATCCGTTGCGTAGTTTTAAAGATTTAAGCATACATAGGGATATAGGGACAGAGAAAGCGACTTTATTTATACTATGTAGTGATATCTAATTATATATCTAACAAATATTTTGAAGTCGTCGTGGCCTAAAGGATAAGACGTCCAGTGCGTTCGTGTTGAGCGATGCACCGGTGTTCGAATCCCGCAGGTGGGTACCAATTTTTCCAATGAAATACGTACTCAGCAAATGTTCACGATTGACTTCCACGGTGAAGGAATAACATCGTGTAATAAAAATCAACATGGCTCTGTACCTACTCACATCAAAAATTTCCTTCAAAGCCGTGTACTTCTTCATCACGATATCCAGTTCCCTTTGCTTCCTGACGATGACCATCGCCTTCTGATCGTACTTCTCTTGAAGCTCTTCCAGCTCCTTCTCTTTCGCCTTCACTTGAGCGAGAGTTTCGTCCATTACCTGCTGGTTCTTTGCTTGCCTGTTGCGATAGATTTCGAGGTCCATCATCATCTTCGCGTGTTGGTTCTCCATTGTGGTTAGAGATATTTCCTGTGATAGCCACTTGTATTAACCAAACCATAGTAGTACGTGATTGTGTGTGAATTCTTAATGGACATTAGTGAAACAAAAACTAATATGGACAGTTTTAATATTAAAAGTATTTTAATCTGATCGTTTGATAAACAGCAAGGGATTGTGTAAATGACAAAACGGCGTGTTTTGGTTTTTTTTTTTATTAACTGCACTGTTTAAGTAACTTAGACCTAATTTTTTTCTAGATTGGATAATTGTAATATTATTTGTACCCGCTACTAATATTAAATATTTTAAAAACCATTTTGATAATATACATTCTTTTAAAAGCCCAAACTCTGAATTTCTTTTGACTAATCTCAGTGATCAACGGTTTTAAATTCACAAGTGATTGAAAGGGTCTACAAACGCCAAACTATAATCATAAACTAATGATTCCGAAATGTTTTTGACTGCAGAGCGAAACTATTTAAATGATAGCATTGGTTTTTTTTTTTTAAATTCAAAATTAATTTTACTTTTAGACCAACATTCGAAACTTCTACGTTTAAGAGATCCACATTAATTACTTTACCTGTTTTCTGGATAGCTCCCTCATCTTCTTGATACCGTTCGCCATTGATTCAACTGCTTTATCATTCAATAAACACTCTTGTAGATTCGCTAATATATCATTTTCCAGTTTGAGTTTGAGCTCGTTTTTACGATCGTAATCTTTCTCTGAACTCTTCAAAATGTTTCGCATCGTTTGATTTTCCTGAAAATGTCAACCACACTGAGTAAAGTAAATATTGTTGCTGACAATTTCCCTATCATTTAATGTAAGACAGATTTCTAAAATATTCGTGTCGGGTCATACATACATGCGCCACAATATATCTAAGTCGCAATTGTCACAATTGGAGTCTCTAAGAGTTAAAGATTCTATTATATAAAAATTGAAGTTTCTTTACTACATTTATATTTCATTAGTTCAATCAAGCAGTCGCTTACGATTTGCGCAATATAAAACTTACAGACTTAATCATTTCCTGATCTCTCTCTGTCATCTCTATAGCTTCAGTTAGTTCTGCGATTTGAGTTTCCAAATTAACCCGTTTCATGTCTTCAGTGTCAACTACAAAAGAAAATGGTTCATTATTATTAATATTTTTTATTTTTTCCGAAATTGAAATAGTTTTTTCTATCAACTTAAAGGAAATAAACATCACTAATCTATACAACACATCACAGATGAATGGAGACTGCACGCAAATTACTTATGCATTTATGGAGATAAGTGTAAACAAGCTTATAACCAAACTGGTTGTGGAGATATATGTTTGAACAAATGTAGAACCAAACCGAAAAAACTTTATAGCGAAACTAATATGGACATAAATTCACCGTTGGGCAATGTTTATGGTTCAAAAAGAAACTTGATTGCATCATTTCCTATTTCAGATCCTTCACCGAGCCAAAATATCTCTCCAACTCACATAATTTAACAGCCCGATCCAAATCATACTGCAGCTTGTCCTTGTTCATGGCGATTTCTTTTCCTTTGTTCATCTCCTCCATTGCAAGTTTCTTTGTAATCTCCAAATTGTTCAGTAGCGTGCGATAGTTTTCTTGAAGTGTTCTAAAAGGTAACACCATTATTTTACCCTCCCCAAACTAGAATTTGACAAAACAACATAGTCTTGGCAGTTAGTACAACTAAATAGTTCCAATCCAAATAATCCCAATTGTATGTAAAGTTTGTAAAAGCTCAAGTAATATATGTGTATTACTTTTTTTTTAATCTCGAAGTTGGATAATTCTAAAGAGTATTAATTTTATATTTATTACATGACTAGCTGACCCGGCAGACTTTGTAGTGCCTCAATCGATAAATAAAAGACCTAAACTTTTGTATAAAATAAACTTAAAACAAAAAGACAAAGGAAAAGCAACATTGCTATTTTTATTTAATTCCGAGCATTTTCATAATTATCTATACCTTTTAAACCTTCTCTGGACTTCCACAAATAATTCAAGACCAAAATTAGCCAAATCGGTCCAGTCGTTCTCGAGTTTTAGCGAGACTAACGAACAGCAATCCATTTTTACATAAAATGTATAGATAGATAGATAGATTACGACCATTTCACTCGATTGTTTTCTAATAAGCCCTGAACCTAACTTCAAATCGTTTCGCTTACTTATTTCACTGCAGTACTGTAGTACCGACCCTAAGTAAATCCCGGTGTGCAATTCCAGTATTCTAATACTCGTAGAGCGCTGAAAATTAAATGTAGTAGTAGAGATAACACAACTACAATACCGGTAGTCGTCTCTGACAGCATCGTAGACACGATCTCGCTGTTGGATGTTAACAAGAACAGAGTTCCAGAGACTGACTAGACGCCGTTTGTCTAGCTCCAAGTCTTCCAGTTCTGTAGCATACGCTGTCACCTATAATACAGTTTGAGATGCACTTACTGTCGCAGACTGTCAGCAAAATAATGTATACCTATATATTCTAAATCTTACATCAGATGATACAAAGCTGAAGATACAAGCTGCTAGAGATTTTTTTTTTGTTGTTGCTTAGATGGGTGAACGAGCTCACAGCTCACCTGGTGTTAAGTGGTCACTGGAGCCCATAGACATCTACAACGTAAATGCGGCACCCACCTTGAGATATAAGTTCTAAGGTCTCAGGTATAGTTACAACGGCTGCCCCACCCTTCAAACCGAAACGCATTACTGCTTCACGGCAGAAATAGGCAGGGTGGTGGTACCTACCCGCGCGAACTCACAAGTGGTCTTACCACCAGTATTACGCAAATTATAATATTGCGGGTTTGATTTTTATTATACTATGTTATTCCTTCACCGTGGAAGTCAATCGTGAACATTAGTTGAGTACGTATTTAATTAGAAAAATTGGTACCCGCCTGGGATTAGAACACCGGTGCATCGCTTCAACAAGAATGCACCGGACGTCTTATCCTTTAGGCCACGACAGCTTGCGTCTGTTCATCATCTTTGAAAACTCATCGCAACAGAGCTCATCATTAATTAGTATTTATTTATTTATATCTTACCGGTAAGTGGTTACCGTGGTTACTGTGGTTATCGAAACCCATACACACCAATGTAAATGCCAGCACACACCTAGAGAAATGAGCTCTAAGTCTCAGTTTGACAGAAGAACGCCTGTCCCGCCCTTCAAAGCGATATACATTTACTGCGTCGCGGCAGAAATAGACAGGGTGGTCTTACTAGGCGACCATCACTCACCAATATACATAGCAGGTATCAGTCTGTAACATTTTTCGATCACACTGCATAAATGACCTTTCTGGAGCTCATTCTTGTGGTACAAGTCGCTCTATGATACTTAAACACTACATTCTCGTCGTGCGATCACAGTAATATTACCCACGGCTTGTATCAAACTATTTATTAATTCTTAATCCAAATTGAAATTCTTACGGAAGATGGGTTAGAGACAGATCACAACTCGCAATAGAACGCCATATTAAATTACAGACAGACTTGTATGATTTGACACTACTTATATCCTTCATACACACGAAAAGACACAGACGGTTTCATGATTAATAGAGTCACCATAGCCTTAGATACACAAATAAATAATTTAATAATATCACAAACCATCCGCAGTAAATTACTACTTTGATACAAATGCGTACCTTGTCGTTGACTTTCTCCATTTCGGAATTCTTGATCTCGAGTTGTTTCTGGAACATTTCTAGTTTCGACTCGAGCTTCCAGACTTCATTACTCAGGCCGAATATGAACATATCCTAAAGCAACGAGTTAGTTGAAATGTGCGTCCAACAATTGAACTTCAACACTATTATACTTACTAATGAATAGGACAGAAAAAAAAATTTTTTTTTTTTATTGCTTAGATTGGTGGACGAGCTCACAGCCCACCTGATGTTAAGTGGTTACTGGAGCCCATAGACATCCACAACGTAAATGCGCCACCCACCTTGAGATACAAGTTCTAAGGTCTCAAGTATAGTAACGACGGGTGCCCCACCCTTCAAACCGAAACGCATTACTGCTTCACGGCAGAAATAGGCAGGCTGGTGGTACCCACCCGCGCGGACTCACAAGAGGTCCTACCACCAGTAATTACGCAAATTATAATTTTGCGGGTTTCATGTTTATTACACGATGTTATTCCTTCGCCGTGGAAGTCAACCGTACGTATTTCATTTGAAAAATTGGTACCCGCCTGCGGGATTCGAACACCGGTGCATCGCTCAACACGAATGCACCGGACGTCTTATCCGTTAGGCCACGACGACTACAATAATTCTAGAGACATTGTTTCTCATTGTTGTTTTTCGTATGGGCGAGTATTTGTATAGAGTAAATAGTACTATCGTTATGCAATTTAAATTCTGAAATATCGCCTTGTCGTTTGCGGTGTACCCTCTAATACAAATCTCAGTCAACAGCATCGTAGCTTTTTTAATTCTACATTAAGTTATTCTTACCGAGTCCATGTTCCCCCAGACCGGGAACCAGCGCTACACTAAAAACGATGCCTCGTAATCAGTAAATTGAAATAATTTTGTTAGAAGTTTTGATTAATTTAGTAAAACATATTTGGGCTAGCTCTGTGTAATTTCTTTCTCTTTTTTTTTTTAAACTACCTCTCTTCTGCTCGATAAAAATATATTATCTCCTACTTTGTCACGTAACTAAACACACCCGACCTAATAAATAGGCTTAAAAGGCGACAAATCCTAAGTCTTGATAGACACGGTTGACGGAGTGGAGCAGTCTCGATGGAGATTTTGCTCTGACCGCCTAACAGCTCTCAACACATCTGCTCATAGTCTAGCTGACTGATTGCAAGATAAAGAAAAAAAAATCTACCTACTTTGACCGAAATTCTAAAAGTTACAAACCAGCTCTCGTTTTTCCTGTGCGAGCTGTCGTTTCTCCGCCTTCATCTTGTCTGACATCCGTTGACTGACAGTCAGATCTGACTCTGTCTCATCACGCCACTCTTCCAGTTGTCGGCATAAAGATGTCAGAGCTTCTAACTCCTCAGTTGCTTCACGTTCTACACCGAAAAAATATTATTTTTATTAGGGTACATAAACACAGATAAGTTTTATGTAATTAACCTAATGAACACAGTTCTTGTGTGTACGGTCTAAAATTAAAAGTTGGGGACAGTGTTCAAAAGTGTACTCTACAGAATTCTTGTTTTTCAAGTTTGGACTTTGAGCTTCTCAAAGCTACTTTTCAACTTACAGTCACTACTACTGATAATTGGATCAGATGAGGGAGATTAAAGTTCTAAATAATTTATAACGGCTCATTTGAACAAAAAATAATTCCATTCCTCATTGGATTCTATCAAATCATTGTCCGATTTAAACGAATGATGCTATTACTATTACTATAAGTAAGTACCGTTGTCATTTTTCATTTATCATTGATCATTTGTAACTAATCATTAAATTTTAATTAGGTATTGTTGAAGTTACGGGTTTTTATGGCTGTACTCCGTCATCTCTCTCATCTATGGCTTTCGATTGAATTCGCACAGGGTGGGAGGCGCATTTACGTTGTAGATGTCTATGGGCTCCAGTAACCACTTAACACCAGGTGGGCTGTGAGCTCGTCCACCCATCTAAGCAATAATATTTTTTTTAACTCAGATTTAATTAACCAGTGATAAGATCTTGTTCAAGCTTCTCCTTGGCTCTTTTGTATTTCTCGTTCGATTCTCGAGCCCTTTGTTCCGCTGCCTCGCGTTCCGCTGTCCTCTCAGATAAGCTACTCTCATACTCCTCAATCAAAGCCTGCACAAATATTTGTTATAAACAATAATTTCCACCAATCACGTTATAGCAATAGCAAGCTTAATTAAATTATGGGAATGAGAAAGACTGGCAATTAAGAAAACAATTTAAGGTTAGTTTAGTTTAACAAATTAGTCTTCTTCTTAGTCGAGTATTTCATTGCTGAAGGTCGTGTCCCTGAAAGCCCTTCGTGGCTCTTTGTACCATCAGCTTCCATTTGCTTCGGTTTTCGGCTTCTCTCAGGGCGGTCGCAACAGAGAGTCCAGTGAGCGCAGTTATCTGATCCGACCAACGACTAACAAATTAGAATGCTATGTTATTTATAATTCCTGACGTACTCAATAGCAAATATAAGTAAGAGTGTTCGTGCTATCAGTAAAACAAGCGTAAGATTAAAACTATTTCACAAAATCGTGTTCCTACGATTCATCCCTGTCATCGTTCGTCGAACCCGTTGCTTGCGACGAAGGGCTCGACGAGCGAATTAACCCATAGACACAGCCCACTGAGCTTCTCGCCGGATCTTCTCAGTGGGTCGCGTTTCTAGTGTTAGCAATATCGACAGGTTTGAGCCCCGTGAGCTTACCTACTTGTTAGGTTACGCTGACATATCCTCTCAAGGCTATCAGCTTAGGTAGAAAAAAATGTATACACAATAGAACAGTAGCTAACACCATAGATATTAAATATCGGCGATAAGCCAGGGTTTTCATACGTAAGGTCTATCACAACGATACAATACAACTCTACGAAACATTAATATTGCGTGAATACTACAAAAAGCACTGTCTTAATTTTTACACAATTAGCCATTTTTTTGATAATGATAACGATTCATGAAAAAACAAAAAGATATTTTCTTACTCTTTGCGCATTTGTATCGTGATCGCTTCGATAGATCACTTCCAAGTCCTTATCGTAGGCTAGCTTGCTCAGGCGAAGCTCTTCACGCTACGATACAACACAATTTACAACATTACATATAGGTACATTTCATAATTAAAATAATATGAAATTGATAATAATAACAAAATGAAAGATGAATTGGACTCGTCATTCTCACGTGTCATCTAAATCCTCGTAATGTGTTAATATTTTTCCACAGATTTTTCAATTACTTTTTTGGTCAAGATTCACCAAGAAAAAATTTCAATGCATACAAGTACAAAAGTGAACTCAAATTTGTATGGAGTTGGAACGGCTTCCCTTCGTTTTCCGCTAAGGGCGCTGTTCATACATATTTGAGTATCGCTATCGAGAACTTTAAAAAACTCGCACTAATATAGAGCAAGCATACGTTGTATGAATGCATTACATACATGCATATAATTTAAATAGCTCAAAATATCAATTTAACAGCACATAGTTGAGTGATCGTTTTATCAGGTGTTCAATGGCTTCGGAGTCCATGGACATCACAACGCGAACGTTGCTCCATTTGAGACATGACGTAACTTAAATTATATCAAAACGCATGTATGTTTTGCGGTAGAAATAGGCTCGATGGTTGTACCTACCCGCATGCATATACGTGGGTAGTAGCGTACTACGGGTAGTAATGCGCGTGCTACATAGTAAAACGTATATTTATAAATTTTACGATTTTTATGTTCATTACCGGATGCTATTCCTTCATCGTGAAAGTCGTACTAACCAAATTCAGAATCTCCTCTTCAGCAAGAGCGTTCTCCTTCTCGAGAAACTGCTTGAGCGTATCCTGGAAGCGCTGCATCAGCGGATGAGTTGATTCCAACACTGCTGGCATCGCACCTAATTCTCTTTTGCTGCGCCAACTTAAAAAAAAAATTATGGGTAATTTAATTACTTCTGTGTATGTATAACCATTTCACATACTATACGAAGCTATCACAGTTAAATTGATATTAAAAAATAAAAATACGCTTTGTACGTTTTTTTATTGATTTTAGGGAGTCTTGTGAGCCCGCACGAGTAGATACCGCCACGCAGCCTATTTCTGCCATGAAGCAATAATGTGTTTCGGTTTGGAAGGGCAGCTGTTGTACAAAACTGAGAAAGAGAACTTGTGTTATGTTGCTGTTGTCTATTCTCCGGTAACCACTTAACACCAGGCGGACAGTGATCCCATTCCGTTCAGGAATAAAAAAGAAAGTCAGGGTATAGCTAGGTTAGGCCTGCAAGCTTACTGGTCGAAGGCCTCTCTGCCGGCCTTGTTGCAGTGGCACTGGTCGACCGGGCACCGGCAGCACTTGCAGATCCCATCTTCGAACGGAGGAGTCACGCACTCGCACTCTTCGACTTCCTGTTCGAAAAAAAAAACAAATATGACAAGACATTGACAGTTAACAAAACGCGGCGATCGACCTACGTATAACACTGAATTTCGTGTTACAAATACTTTGAAAAAATAAAAGAAATGCTTCGAAATAAAATAACACAGTCGTCGTGCCCTAAAGGATAAGACGTCCGGTGCATTCGTGTTGAGCGATGCACCGGTATTCGAATCTCACACGCGGGTACCAATTATTTCAGTGAAATACGTACTTAGCAAATGTTCATGATTGGCTTCCACGGTGAATGAATCGTGTAATAAAAATCAAACCCGCAAAATTATAATTTGCGTAATTACTGGTGGTATGACCTGTTGTGAGCTCGCACGGTTAGGTACCACCACCCTGCCTATTTCTACCGTGAAGCAGTAATGTGTTTCGGTTTGAAGGGTGGGGCAGCCGTTGTAGCTATACTGAGACCTTAGAACTCATATCTCAAGGTGCGTGGGGCATTTACGTTATAGATGTCTATGGGCTCCGGGAACCACTTAACACCAGGTGGGCTGTGAGTTCATCCACCCATCTAAGCAATAAAAATTAAAATACTTTTTTTGCGCTTGTAGACATTCGAGCATACCTGATCGTCACCGTTGCCCATGGATTTCAGCATGCCATGTATGTAATACTTAACATAATCAAATCTTACGTGCGGAAATATAATTCTCTCGTTCCTATGGAACAGGCAATTCTCCTCGTGGACCACAAGATCATGTTCGTCTCTTGGACAATCACAGGTGAGTGGCAGCGGTGATTCTGTCGAACGGCTGTCCTCCGTGCAACCGCAGTCTATGGATGTACCAGATCCTCGGAAATCGGACATGATTCGTAATATTTGTGCAGAAATTAAGAAGGGAACACGCGTGTTTCGCGGGATGAAAACAGCGTTGTTTGTTGCTAGGCAACGACGCAGCGTTGCTAAGTTGCAAATGTGTGCCATTGAAAAAGGATACAACCTCATTCTGTAATAAAATTTGCCGACTCGCTCTGTTATCCTGGTTTCAACTCTTTTTAGTGCGGAACTTATTACCACATATTTTGCACAAATAGTTAACGGATTTTTGAAAAAAATTAGGTGCCTTAAATAAAACTATCAATTAAAAAAATATATACAAAAGGCAATGCTAATTTCACAGCAAAATAATTGTCAGTTGTAAATGTTATTATATTAAATTTATTAAACATGTCATACATGCGCGCGCTAAGACAATACCTAATAACTATAACCAAACTGCGCAAATAGTCTGTATTCCGACGCTCCGCACTTTATACTTGTTAATAGGAAGTCGATCCGTCGACGGTTCGCGCTCAAAGGATTAACACGTAGTCTAATCGCGATCTGTAACGAGTTGTCCTTAACATAGAGTTAAAAATCGTAAGTACCGAGGTGCGAATCTATTTTGAATCATTCGTTGCCAATTTATAATTAATTTAATTGCTGTTCATTTAATTAAAACACTTATACTTTCACTCAATAAACGGTGTAACTATTTTGATTTTGTATCATAAACAAAATCCATATAATTATATTCTATACATTTCATGTTCACACGTAAAGATGGGTTAATACCGATATTTATCAATATTCGCTAATATTAATGTATTCATGATGTAATATTATAATACCTTAACGAATACATGAATATCCTGATATCTTAATATACTTCGATAAAACGGGTAAACGAGTTAAACTTAATATGTTATGTCCGTCAGAAATGAGTTTACCAGATTTTGAAAAAATCCTCTCACATGGTACTGAGGTGGCTAGTGGGTACACAACAGTTATATTATTATAATCCACGAACCGTTTGCTTAGAAAGTCATTTCGATTCAAATCAAACTTCATAAAAAAAAAAAAAAAAACTTTTAATAAATGTTTGAGAAGTCCGTAGAAGATAATTAAATACCACCGCAAAAATATATTGTCATCATAATTTATGACGTAAAAACACTTAACTTAGGTGTGGCAGTATTACATTTTGTGTAAAAAGAAATTAATTTATGAAATTGGTAAACAATGTCAATTACTGTACCTACTTTCGTTTTTCAAATCATCGTCTTAAAACCAATTAATTCAAAGGAAACAGAAAATAAAATTAAAATAATGAAAATAAAGCTCACCGATTTTATTCCAATAAATGTAAAAATGCAATATTTTGCCTTGATTAGAATCTTTACTTGAATCAAGAAATGAAGGTCCAAACATTAAAAAGTAATGCATTAAAAAATTCCCACTAGCATCTTTGACATGTAAAAAGTTGAATTAAAAAATAGTTCTTAAACTCATCATGATATGTACTTATTTTCATTGCTCAATATGTAAACATGTAGTTTATCTCACTTACTCTTAGCGCATGCAGTATTGTTATGAATGTGATAGACAGATATCCGCGAGACACGTACGGCGTATGCCAGTATATTTTCGAGTGATAGATACAACCCGACCGATGTGAGTTGGCTATTATTATGAATAGAGTGAATACGGAATATTAGCATATCAGAATTCGACGGATTACCGATACACGAATACAGGCTGTATTACGAATATCATAATGAATACTAATATATCGGTCTCACCCTTATTCACACGCACGTGGATCTAGTTCTAGTAATGTCGATTTCCACTAACTTTAGTTTATTGTGTTTATAGACAGCACCTGATAATGTTTTTTGTACCTACGTCTTTTTTCGTTTCCGCGGTTTCTGGAACCTATAGACGCGGTGTCGGTTGTTAACCGCTAAATATCGGGCGGGTAGTGAGCTAGTACACCCATCTAATATTACTCTGCTTTGCATGTACGAACTAACTGTGCTGGGGCTCGGGATAAATAAAACAGTTCCACCAAAGTACAAGTTAACACTGTATTAACACTTAGAACGCTTAAAACACTTACACTTTAAAATAATCAATTTACTTCTTCCGCTTCACGCTTCGCATCCCTAAAATTATCTAGAATATTCCACACATTTCAAGTATTGTGTTTCCACTATCTGACAATAGATGGCGTTGTACTTCTCGAGCGTTCTAGATGCTACTAGATCCTTCGATATTCGTTCGACTATTCGGCGATAGACGGCGTTACTCTTACCGGCGTAACAGAACGAACGAACGATAGCATAATTATTAGAAAATAAAACAGTATGTGTAACATATTTATTCGCGGGGTATATGTTTCTTTCATATGCCACGAACATAGCAACCGTGAATACGGAATGATAATTGACACAATATGGGATTATGGGGGATACGTACGTAGGTGAGAAATTAGAAACATACTTTAGGCATAATTGTAATAAGGTCTATTTTACTTTTTTATTATTGCATTATATTTGACATATTATTTGACGACACGCTTTATAATAAAACAATGTTTCCAAGACATAGCATAAAAATATAATAATGATAGGTGGTAAAAATGACAATGTGTTCGAAGTATATTTCAAATAATGGAACATGGAAAAGAAGGTTACAACACGCTTACTTTTTTTTAAGAGATTTTATGACCTGGTAACTAAGACCTTTAAGTCATGTCTTATTTTACTTTATATTCTTAATTTTATGAAAAATGATAATATGGAGTGAAATGAAATGAAGATGATTAATTTGAGACATTAATCAACTGGGATGAAATTTAATGAAATGAGATGATATGGGATGAAATATAATCGCAGTAAAATGGTGGTCATTTANACTCTCAATTTTCACTCTTATACGATCAACCCCTATTTTTCCATCCGCAATAAGGTTGCAAGATGGCAATCAAATATTATAATTGTAGTACGATAAATTCTTATTCAGAGTTTATAATTTCAAGTTCCTTTAATTATGATTTTTTTTAAATTGAATTTGATCTCCCGCGCTCGCCGGTCGACTACTGATCAACTATCAATTGATCAGTTATCCCCGCCAGGTGTCACCACTCATCCAGCAAACATCACGTAGTAGGGATGGGGACGAAGCCGGTCTCCTGTCTTACTTACTCACTATACATCATAGATTATACACTTAATATATTTGAGAGCTACACAATACTATACATTTTTCAGCCATGTTTTGTTGGTTTTATTTGTGTATCAATAGTATGTTCAGTAGGTCTGAGAATCGGCTACTATCTGTTTTTCATACCCCTAAGTGAAAAGGGTTGTCCACCCCAAACATTTATTTTAATTTTTTGGATATATTTTTTTGTTTATAATGAGGTATTATGTGGTTAAATGAGGTTTTTATTTCTACAGTAGAATTTCCCTAGAAATCTTATTTAAGGCAACACAACGTTTGCCGGGTCAGCTAGTATATATCTAAATATCTACCTACTCATAGAAAATAAATATACCTACTTCATTATAAAATGGCGGTTGCCATGACAATGCACTGCGTAAACAAATCGAAGATATATAAGTACGCCCAAAACTACTGTTTATTTAATTCATATATTAAGTGTATAATCTATGATTTAATTAAAAGTCAAGAGTTATATAAAATGGTAAGTTATCTTGAAACAATACTGAAATAAAAAAAGATTAGTGCCCTCCGTTCCTAATGTTTAGAGTGAGAAATCAAATTCTATTTATTTTTATTTCAATCTTTAAAAATTCGTTTATTCTTTGAGGTTAGGACCTAGGATACACACACTACTGTACAGTTATCAAGTGAATAAATACACTTAACGGGATTGCATTCGTATATGCCTAAATTAAATTTAGATAAATGTTCAGATACTCCAAGCATTTGTAGAAAGGTTAAAAAAAAACTTTAGTAATTATAAATCAACAAAATTAATCTATGAATAGAAGATAATATTCCAAAATAACTACTATAAATAAAGGAAATTAACTAACATGTTTGACTTGTATGAACGCTGTCCTTCGTATAAAAAATTCCGACCCATACCAACCGATCGACGCAATGAGAGGAAGGATATTTAAAATACCTCTGTGATCCTGGTCCTAAACACTTCATAGTTTTATGATCATCGGTCGTTTAAAAAACTTAATTAATTTAAACTCCAAATAAGAGCAACAGCAAAATAATATAATACAAATGTTCAGATATTATCAAGATCGAAACCGGCGTCCGAGAGTCGCTCGAGCACCGCCAGCAGTTCAGTAAAGAAGAACTTTCCAGAACTCGAAGATTTTCTCTTGAAGAGAGATTATGTCGGTGCGCTGACTATGCTAGAGGTACTACTAGCACTTAACATCTCCTTACCACCTGTTTACTATTTTGTTTACCCCTTCCTTACTATATTTCTTATCATTTGATGAGTATTTTTTTTACTCCAGTCAATATGAGGACGAACTCGCCATGCCCTCCTCACTTTTAAGTGGTCAAACGGAGCATATAAACATCGTAAAGTGAATGTCACCATCAATTATAAAATTTACTTGTATTGTGTATAAGTTATTTTTCTATTCAAACTCAGAACTTTGACTGCTTCGCGGCAGAAGTAGGGGTAATACACACACCCTTGCGTACGCATAGTAAGCTCTAGTAACTGCGCAAACTTATAAACTTTAAAAGTTTGAGTTTTTGTTAAGAGAAAATACATCGTGAATACTTGTCAGATGCGGAGCCACGACGGGTTCTAATAATTTCTTACTCCACATCTGTCATGTGACTAGTTTGAGTCCCATGAGCTCACTTACTCGTTTTGTGAATCTAGTATAATCCTTCGAGCTCACTAGAAGAGGTAGAAAAAAAAATGTCGCGCTTCACGCTCTTGGGTTCTGTTTAGAATAATTTTAAAATAATAAAATTAAATAATCTTAGATTTCATTAACTCTTTTGTCTAGTGGTTAAGTAAAATTGTGTGCTTAATCACAGAGTTAGGGCTCCACTCGATTCAATTAAGGTCGCAGTCATTATCTATGCAACGATACTTGACTTAGGTTGAAGATGCAGGGCGATTGCACGTCACAAATAGACCATCCAATCACACAAAATCTTCATTTTTGACAGAATTTTGTTGTATTGTCCCATAGTTCTTAAAACACGAAGGCAACAAAGACGTATGGTGCGACGTGTGGTCGGCGTGGTGCTGGTTCCATCTCGGCGACTATCAGCGGGCGGCAGACGCCTACGTCAAAGTCAGAGAACACAACAAAATAGATGAAAGAATAGCTGATAATATAGAAATGGATATTGCTGTGTGCTATTTCTATTTAGGTAAGATTATTGGCAACGAGTGATGATCTATTTTACTCGTCAGGTTACGCTGGCATAACCTTCTAAGGTTATCTAACTACAAACGTGGGTAACAATTTTTTTTTTCAATAATCTAATTCACAGTGAGTGAGTGAGTGAGTGAGTGAGTAAGTGATTGATTGAGTGAGTGAGTGAGTGAGTGAGTGAGTGAGTAAGTGAATTTTCTGGGTAGGCTGATGTAGCGACGGTCCGAATTCAATTGTTCAGAACTTGCATAAACACAAATTTATCTGGAAAATGTCGTTAGCAAAAATCAAGCATTCGTCAAATATCTTGTGTCCTATGATGGCTACCCGCTACAGCGAATAGTGGTATTTAAATCGATACACTAAAATAATTAGAGAAGTATTTTTGTCATTCTCTAAGAATGGCAAAAGTCTTAAGGCGTGTGTGTGTGATAAATGTAAATTTTCACTTGTTTATGTAGGTACTAGCTACACCCTAATTATATTCTGAATATATAAATACTTAAATTCCTTTTCTTAGTTTCCAATGCAAACATATTATTATCCCGTGAAATATATTTTTACTATTTATTTATTGAAACATCAAAAGTAAAAGAAATATTTGAAGTATTTTCCCACTGGTGTAAAAAATATTTTTTCATGTTTCATTCTTCAGGGATGTACAAGGAATCGCAAGAGGCCGCCGAAAAAGCTCCAACATGCACCTTGAAGGTAGTTGATTTTAATATTATTGTATGACGTATGAACGAACTCTGTCCTCATGGTATTAAGCAGTTACCGGAGCCCATAAACGTGTGAACATGAATGCGGCAACCCATCTTAAGACAAGGGTAAGGTCAAAATCTCAATTGAACTATTTGTGGCTATGGGAATCCTTCAAATTGGAACGCATAATTTTTGTCGCAAAAATTTTCGCAAAATATGATAATGGTAAACAGTCGTCGTCGTCCTACATATGTTATTTCGGATTCTCCCGATTCATTAACGGTGCTTTTAGGTACCTCAAGCACCGGTCACCGTCCTCGCCGAACCCGTCGCTTCCGATGAAGGGCTCAATGGGTTGATATGACTATATACGTAAACTTTAAATTAAAAAAATATATTTGTTGAATAATATAATCAATGATTTAAGTCGAACTACACTTCGCCATACAGAACCGACTACAGTTCCACTTGGCTCACAAGCTCAACGACGAGGAAGGTCTGATGCGTACTCACGCTGCCCTTCGAGATATACCGGAAGACCAGCTCAGCTTGGCCTCAGTTCACTACCTGAGGGCTCATTACCAGGAAGCTATTGATGTTTACAAGAAGTTGTTGCTCGAAAGACGGTAGGTTAGACCATAAGTTTGCAGGAAACGGGAAAAATAATAGTTTTAAATGTAGAATGTGGTATTCTTCTAAGTTTAAGTTATACGAATGCTTGTTTACTGAGCGATTCTTTTTGTACTAATGACATATTTAAACACTGGTCGTCATTTATCTCTTGTCATACCTATATAAAATCACTTTTACGGTTTAATCTCGCGTCTCTGAATATCAAATTGTTATTCCCTGCGTTTTGGATACGGTTGACTGTTCTATAACATGATACAACTTTTTTGTTTTCCTACCTAAGCTGATAGCCCTAGCGGCTATGTCAGCGTAACCCTAACTTTAGTAGGTGAGCTCACGGGGCTCAAACCTGACGATGTTGCTAACACGAACCCTAGCAAGAGCCGTGCTTCGCAGAATCTACCACCGGATCGGAAACGCGACCCACTGAGAAGATCCGGCGAGAAACTCAGTGGGCTGTGTCTGAGAGTTAATTTACTCGTCGAGCCCTTCGTCGCAAGCGACGGGTTCGACGAGAACGGTGACCGGTGCTTGAAGTACCTAAAAGCACCGTTAGTGGATCGGGAGGATCCGAGATGACGTGTTTTGGGCGACGTCGACTGCTTTCCATTCTGTCCGCAGGATCGGGAATGTAGTTACCGGCGGCCACGATGAGAGGGTTCTCGTGTCGTGCCGCTTTATCGAAGTGGCGCATGGACGCCGACTGCAGATACTTACTGATGGACTCTAAGTCCAGGTCGTCATGGAGGTCGACGTTCCTGACGAACCACGGGGCTCCGACGGCTATCCTGCAAAAACGGGATTGAATAATTTGAAAGGATTTTAAGTGTATGCGGGCCGCGTGAGCGAACACTACACTTGCATAGGTCATGACGGGGCGTATGCAAGTTTTGTAGAGTGTCACCTTATTTCTAAGGGACATTTTACTTCGCCTACATATCATCGGGTAGAGACGTCCTAGAATGAAGGCGGCACGGTCGCGTACCGTCTTGATGTGGGGGCGGAATGTCATCCTACTGTCGAGGGTGACGCCTAAATATTTGACCTTCGGGGCCCACGGTATGGGCTGGTCGAACATCGTGATTGGGCGAACGGCGGGGGCGGGGGTATTGACGCGCCTAGTCGGGAGAGGGATGCTCAGCGTGGTGTTCGGAGGGCGACCCCTTTTGAAGAGCACCGCTGTGCTTTTCGTGGGGTTAATGTCGATGCGCCACTTCCGGAACCACTGTCCCATGGTGGTAGCTGCGGTCTGAAGTCGTCGATGAAGCAACGCCTTCTTCCTACACGAGTAGTAGATGGCGGTGTCATCGGCGAAGAGCGCCAGATGGGTCTCCGGAGACCGGGGTATATCGTTGATATACAAACTGAATAGTAACGGGGAGAGGGCGGAGCCTTGCGGGACTCCGGCTGTGACGTGACGGGGCCGGGAACGCGTTCCCTCGACTCGATATCGGAACGAACGGTTCGACAAGTAGTCTCGTATGATGAGCACGAGTCTGTCTGGCACTCCCATGTTATACAGTTTGTATATCAAACCGTTGTGCCAGACTTTGTCGAACGCCTTCGCTATATCGAAGAAGAGGGCTCCTGTCGGAATGGGTTTGATACAACACGGTTCCACAGTAACACGTAAAGAAAAAAATCCCTAAAACCGTCTTATAACACAGTACTTCTACAATCTACAGCACGATAACGAAATTTTTGTTTAAAATTATTTAAAAAATTATATAATGTACTATGAACACACAATACACGGGAATAATCGAAACTTTATTGTTTATGTATAGTATAGTAAGTAATGTAGTTTATGTATAGTAAGTAAAAATACATACAGGCATAGTTGTGATATTTCATTCAGGAAAATTGCTCTCTTTTTTGTACTGCCTCTATCGACTAAGACCACGAGGAAAATTTTCAATTAACATTCGAAAAGTCAATATTGCAAACTGTGTACTTAAAACGATTAATTGCAGATACAAAAGATACGAAAATGACGATATGGATTGGATTAAAGTTTTGACCCACACAAGCGGGTAAAAATTAAAAATGAATCTAATAATAGTTAGATTTAAACGTAAACATTTCGAATGTAATATTATATTTATTGTGTAGCTAAAACAATATTAGAATTAATCTCATTTAGAACACATTACGGAGATAGGTAATTAAATTAGAAATAGAATAGTAGTAGATATTAAAATTTGTAGATGTGTGGAAAAATATAATTTAAACTTACTTTACGATTTAATCCGGACAGAGAACCAATGTTGTCGACATAGCACCGCGGATTAGTAAGCCGAAATGGTAATGGGCCGGCCACATTAGCCGGAGTCTTTTTATTTTTGTTTTAGTCTTTTTATTTTTGTTTTAGTCTTTTTATTTTTGTTTTAGTCTTTTTATTTTTGTTTTATCCTATCTGTGCTGATAGTCTGAGAGGCTATATGAGAGGCAGCGTATAGGTAAGCTCTCGGGGCTCAAACCGGAGGTGTTGCTAACACTGGCCCTAGCGAGAGCAGCGCTTCGCAGAAACTACCACGGGATCGGAAACGCGACCACTGAGAAGATCTGACGAGAAACTCAGCGGGCTGTGTCTATGGGTTAGTTTACTCGCCGAACCCTTCGTCGCGAGCGACGGGTTCGACGGGAACGGTGACCGGTGCTTGAGGTACATAAAAGCACGTTAGTGGATCGAAAGGATCCGAAATTACGTAGAGGAGAACCGATAACGTAGTCCAGGACTCTCTAAGGCTCGGCTGAGTGACAATCTATGCAGAGGGACTGACAAGAGTTGGATGAGAGAAGCCGAGAATCTTACGGGGTAGCGTGTAATTCGAGAGGCCTATGCCCAGCAGTGGGCTTCTATAGGCTGATGATGATGATGGCGGCACAACGGCAACTTATCATTTTACGATGCAACTGGTGGTAGGACGTCTTGTGAGTCCGTACGGGTAGGTACCACCGCCTTGCTTATTTCTGCCCTGCAGCAATAATGCGTTTCGGTCTGAAGGGTGGGGCAGCCGTTGTAACTATACTGAGACCTTAGAACTTATTTCTCAAGTGGCGGCATTTACGTTGTAAATGTCTATGGGCTCCAGCAACCACTGGGCTGTGAGCTCGTCCACACATCTGAGCAATAAAAATATATATAATATGCAAATAACAATATTTTGAACAGGAGCTACATGGCATTGAATGTGTACGTGGCGTTGTGTTACTACAAGCTGGATTACTACGACGTGTCTCAAGAAGTACTGGGGGTGTATCTCGCCCAGCATCCTACCTCCACCGTCGCTGGGAACCTGAAGGCTTGCAATCTTTTCAGGTTGTTTTTATTTTAAACCACAATAGCTAAAGTCCACGCGGAGTGGCTATCAAAACACGAATGCCGCCTGCCACCTTGAGACATGAGATCGATGTCTCAATTGTAATGTTTAACGGCCACCATTGAAAAATCTGTGTTTGTAGTTGTCTAGTGTGAGTCACTTCTTCATGTCATGTCGTGGTTATCGAAAAAGGCGACAAGGAGACTCACTAAATTGCGCATTTCAACAAAAATGGCACCTATAATTCCAAAGAGGTCTAATGGCACATTTAAATACAATTTGAAAGACTGTGCGTGACCTTTAATTTCTAAATTCTCATAATCGTAATAGAAATGTCCATAAAAAAGTGCAAATCTTATTGTAAGCTCACGAAGCTTGTTAACGCTATTTTCCGAACTTTTTTCTGACGAGATTACTAATCGTGAATTTCTTTTTGAAGGATAGAAGATAATATATAATCCTAACTAGTACTAATTATAATTGACGGTGGAATTTAATAGGCCTAAGCTCCCGACCGCATTACGCAGATGCCTTGTCACATTGTTTACCCCTACACACTATCATGCATAGTAGTCTAATATAAACACGAACAATTAAAAAAATATATATATCACTTTTTTTTTATTTCCCCTGTAGGCCGATGAGCATACGGCCCACATGATGGTGAGCGGTTACCGTCGCCCAAGGACGTCAGCAAAGCCAGGGGCAAAGCCAAGCCGCTGCCTACCGTTAAATACTACTCTTTAAATACTCTTCACAAGTCTAATACCTGATACTTTTTTGTTTTGCAACCTTGTAGGCTGTATAACGGAAAAGCAGCCGAAAACGAATTGAAGCTGATATCCTCAGACCAGCACACGTTCGGGCAGGATCTGGTCAAACACAACCTTGTCGTATTTAGAAACGGCGAGGGAGCCTTGAAGGTGACTCATGTTTTACACTAGATATCGTTTCAATAGTACATTATGCTTAATTTATTATTTCACAACGTTGCCGGCGGCTCGAATTAAGAAAATAAGCAACTCTTTTAGGGGGCTGGGTGTACAACTTTTCAACAAGATCGCACTAACCGTCCAATTTTTGGAGCCTCTGGGTCTGCGGAGGGACTTCGGTTCCCTCTGTATTTTGTAGCGTATGTTCCATGGGGAGTGCTCTGAGGAATTGTTCGAGATGATACCAGCATCTCGTTTTTACCATCGCACCGCCCGCCACCGGAGTAGAGTTCATCCATACTACCTGGAGCCACTGCGGTCATCCACAGTGCGTTTCCAGATATCTTTTTTGCCACGTACCATCCGGCTATGGAATGAGCTCCCCTCCACGGTGTTTCCCGAGCGCTATGACATGTCCTTCAAACGAGGCTTGTGGAGAGTATTAAACGGTAGGCAGCGGCTTGGCTCTGCCCCTGGCATTGCTGAAGTCCATGGGCGACGGTAACCACTCACCATCAGGTGGGCCGTATGCCCGTCTGCCTACAAAGGCAACTAAAAAAAAAAATTACTACCTGTTCATAGATTTAAGAAAACTGTCAAGGAACGTTTGTGCAACAAGGCATATTATAAAGTTAAGGGTTATTTACTAGATGGCACTACGGGGGAATGAGGCGTTCGCTCCTGGCCTTTTCATTTTTCATTATTATTATTATTATTATTATTATTTTTAATTGTATTTTTTGACTTGTTTTTTCCTTTATTGTAAATATTTTTATTTATTTTAAAAAATAAGTAAATATGTATTTGAGAAAAAACAAAAACAAAAAAAGCCCGCTGAGTTTGTTTCGCCGGTTCTTCTCAGGACTGTGGCTTTTTTTGGAACCGGTGGTAGAGTTAACATTTTTATTTATATTTTGATATTCAACAAGTGTGTCATACTGAAATCTAAGTTGAAATAAATGATTTTGAATTTGAATTTGAATACCTCTTGGGATCTCTTGTGAGTCCGCGCGGGTAGGTACCACCATTCTGCCTATTTCTGCCGTGAAGCAGTAATGCATTTCGGTTTGAAGAGTAGGACAGCCGTTGTAACTATACTTGAGACCTTAGAACTTATATCTCAAGGTGGGTGGCGCATTTACGTTGTAGATGTCTATGCGCTCCAGTAAGCACTTAACACCAAACGGGCTGTAAGCTCGTCCACCTATATAAGCAATTAAAAAAAAAAACATTTTTTCCGAATTAAAAAGTTAATTTATACAGAATCAAGAATGGTGGTGATTTCTTTTCTAAAGCAATTTTTAAATGGCAACGGAATAAGATATGTACATGTCTTAATGGACTTCCGTAAACAATTTTTTTGTGTCAACAATTTTTTTCTGTCAAACAATAAAATTAATTTCTTTGGAGTATATCTATCTAGTCGTTCCTTAACTTACATTTAAATTGGAACTTCAAAACAAAAATACTGAGTTGGTTTTTTTTGTTGATATTTACTAGAGACGACACCATTGCTACTTTATAAACACGTTTCTTCTAATTTAACTCTTTTGGCGTTAGAATTTTTTAATAAAAAAAAAAAAAATGTGTCGATTTGAAATTTCTTTATCTAATCGCTGTGATATCCAATCGTTGTGTTGTGGTTTTTTTTTTAATTCACGAAGCTTTTGTTTTTATTTTTTTACTCAGACTTTAATATATAATATAAATCAAACAAACCAAAAAAAAAAAGTGCTTCCAATAATTATTTAATTTTTTTGCAGACCCTCCCTGGACTAGTAGACGTGGTTCCAGAAGCGCGTCTGAACTTGGCCGGGTACAGGCTCCGCAACAGGGAGCCGCTAGAAGCGAGGGTCCTGCTAGAGCCCTTGCACCCCACGTCGCCGCTACACTACATACTGCGCGCTGTGGTCGCCGTCAGGATATACAACGACACTTCCGATGTGAGAAACATGTGCATACATGCGGACACTAGCCGTCGTGGCCTAAAGGATAAGACGTCTGGTGCATTCGTATGTAGCGATGCACCGGTGTTCGAATCCCGCATGCGGGTACCAATTTTTCTAATGAAATTCGTACTTAACAAATCTTCACGATTGACTTGCACGGTGAAGGAATAACATCGTGTAAAAAAAATCAAACCAGCAAAAGTATAATTTGCGTAATTACTGGTGGTAGGACGTCTTGTGAGTTTAATTTTTCGTTTGTTATTTTCTTTTTATTATTTCAGATTAAATATATAAATTCGACTAATTTATAATATATATATAGGTATATATATTATTTATATTATTCCGTGATTGACCACCAAAAAAAACTGTAAACTATTCGATACTTCGGAAGCAATGAATGCGAGTGTACATACATACAAACCTTATAATTGTTGAAGAATTGTAAACCTAATTTATATTATCTGTAATGTCAAAAATGGTTCACATTTTGCTCACGTGTGACGCCACCGTCTTTGCTTTATAAAAAGTGTTTTTCTTCTTTTTACTATTTGCATTAAAACCGCTACATATTTTATTCCGGAGTATTATTTCAACAATAATAAATCTTAAAAATAGTTTTAATTATGTCCGCGAGTTTACAAAAACCGACAAATAATAATAATAATAATAATGAAATACTATTTGAAGGATGAGCAGATGAAGCTAGCTCAGCAGAGTTTCCATCTTGTGGGCAGTTCTGCGTCGGAATGCGACACGATCCCGGGACGACAGTGCATGGCGTCCTCTTACTTCCTCGCCGGACATTTCGAGGAGGTGCTGGTCTACCTGAACAGCATCAAGAGTTTCTTCGTCAATGACGACACATTCAACTTTAATTATGCGCAGGTTGGTTTTTGTAGAAAAAAAGAAAAATTAAATACAATTTTTTTTTTTTTGCGTTGCTGTAGAAATAGATGTCCTTTATAGTGGGCAGAGACAGCACCGTCGCATCTGTAGTGGTTATTTATAATAGAGCATATAGTTATAACAGATGCCTGACTCTCGCTAATAACATTTTCAAGATCAGTGTGCTTAGTGCGAGTTTTTTAACGTTCTCGATAGCGTAAAAGTTAACTCAATTTTGAATGGCGTTGGAACGTTTGCCGCTAGGGGCGCTGTTCCAAATGCATACAAATTATAGTTAACTTTTACGCTATCGAGAACGTTAAAAAACTCCCACTAAGCACAGTAAGCACACAGTTTGCATAAATACAAGTTCCGAACCGAATAACACAAGTCTACCGAGAAATTGCACTCGCTCGCTGGGAGATCTTGACTTTGTGGTTACCCCCAAATATTACATAGAGCGTGCGTCTTAAAAGGCGACCAGGTAATGTTAAACTTTGTTAAACCAATATTACTGAGTTTACCAGTTATGATAGAGCCATTGTATTTACATTTAGAGCCTTTAGTGAGCCTGAACAGCTGCTTACGACCATCCGGCATGCATTCCGTTTAAAGCAAAAATAACTAAGGCACAAATTGTTCCTATACATATCGACGCTTGAAAGGCAAACGTGACTAAGCGACAATGCGTGAACTTTACAGTAGATTAATTTAAAGTTGAAATACCTGAAAAAAAATATATTTTAACGAATCTAGCTGTAGTAGAATCTAGCTAGTAGCTGTAGGATTGAAATGATTTTAAGAGACCTAGAAATATATTTTTTTTGTGCATCGAATATGGTTATTGCCTATCATTTATGTACAAAGCAGTTATTGTCGCTAAGTCACGTTTGCCTTTCAAGCGTCGATATTATATATTATAACATGTACAATATACTTATAGCTCGGATCGAAAGGTTGGTCAAATTTTAAATGTCCAACGTTATTCGTCAATAGAATTTTCTTATCGGTCATTTTGCTTACTCTGTTCCTACAATTAGAGTCAACATAAATTCCATTACAGATGTGAAAGATAAACGACTGATTATCGAATGATACTCGATTTCGCTTCTAATAAAGTGAATTTAGGTTTTCCGTTAAATTATGGAAAATCAATTGGAAGCAACAATACTAGTTAACACTGAATGAAATTAGAAATTAAATTTTACTTATTTGCAATTTGGTAATTTTTCTCAAAACCCCTTTGATGAAACTATAATTGTTTCGTGTCAATAAAATTGTGTCAAATGTCGAAGTTGATTGTCATGAGAAAATGACGGCATTCATATTGTATTATCTGTGGTAAATAAAAAGAAAGCCCTCATGTGGACTTTTTGGCGGGAACGCGAGGATTTCTTTTGTCTATTTAGTGTTTCTTCAGGTTTAAACTTGTAATAACGATAGTTTCTTAACTGTTTAATATCTTTGAAAGTGCACAAATGTGGGAAAATGAACTTCTCGGAATCCTCCAAAAAGTCCACTGAAAAAATCACAGTAAATGACCACCGTTGTACTGAGATTATAATTCATCCCATATCATCTCATCTCATTTCATTTAATTTCATCCCAGTTGATTAATGTCTCAAATTAATCATCTTCATTTCATTTCATTTCACTCCGTGTTATCATTTTTTATAAAAATAAGAATATAAATTAAAATAAGACATGACCTAAAGGTCTTAGTAACCGGGTCATAAAATCCCTTTAAAAAAAAAAGAATGTCCTCACGTTTATAATTTTTCTTTTTAGGCCAAAGTCGCAACCGGATTTTACAGAGAGGCCGAAGAATGCCTGTTGGCTATACAGGACGAGAACATGCGCAGCTCGTTTACTTACCTAGCCTGTCTCTGTCGATGTCACGTCATGAACAAGGACGCACATCTCGCTTGGCAGATATGTGCTAATGTAATCAATTTAAATACTCTATTCTCTCCTCCTTGCGTCGATAATCCTCAATGCTGAGTGAGGGACGTGGCCTCCTCTAATAACTTTTTGCTGGATTATTCTGCGCCACTCCTGCCTATTGTCGGCCGTGTAGATATTATTGATTATCGATTAATATTCCAACACTATTGTATTATTAATACCTAATATTTAATACCTAATACCTAATATCTCATCCCTTTTTTTTTTATTAAAATGTATAGTTACAGAATCTAAAGACGATCTTTGTCGATATTTTTTGTCACATTTTACAACATATTTTTTTCTGAATGCCTTATGATGAAGTGTTCAAGTAAATTAATTCAAAATTCAGTCCGCAGGCACCCCGGACAGCTTTGCACTGCTACAGCTGGTCGCGAACGACAGCTACCGAATGGGTCAGTTCCTGGTGGCGGCCAAATGCTTTCACATGCTGGATCGTCTGGACGGCGGCCCGGAGATGTGGGAGGGTCTGAGGGGAGCCGTGTGCGGATGCGCTCAAGCTGCTGCAGCCAACAAACCGGGAGCGGCTGCCGAACTGCGGGACGCACTGGCTCTGCTCAAAGGACCAAGAGCTCATCCGAGAGCTGACCACGTGGTCCGTCCTATAGCTAAATGGGCCCAGCAAAATAGAATACCGATTTGAGACATTTCTTCGTGCCTATAATTGTATGAAATATAAGAGTTCGTTTGTTGTCTGTGTTTTGTTCCTACTCTTCTGTTCCTGCCCCTATGCTTTAAGTCGTGATAAGAATTGGCACGCGTGCACAGATACCTTTTTTTTTTCTTTTCTTTTCCTACCTATGCTGATAGCCTTGAGAGGCTATTTCAGCTTCCCCCTAACATGTAGGTGAGCTTACGAGGCTCAAACCGGAGTTTTGCTAAGTGCTTGTTCACGTAGAAACACGCGGCGCGGCGGCGGGTGCGGGCGCGGTAGACGTTGCGACTCGCAAGAGTTGGTCCTAGCAAAAGCAGTGCTTCGCAGAATCTACCACCGGATCGGAAACGCGACCCACTGAGTAGATTTGCGGTAGGCAGCGGCTTGGCTCTGCCCCTGGCATTGCTGAAGTCCATGGGCGACGGTAACCACTCACTATCAGGTGGGCCGTATGCTCGTCTGCCTACAAGGGCAATAAAATAAAAAAAGATCCGGCGAGAAACTCAGTGGACTGTGTCTGTGGGTTAATTCGCCCTTCGTCGCAAGCGCCGGGTTCGGCGAGGACGGTGACCGGTGCTTGTGGTACCTAAAAGCACCGTTAATGGATCAGGAGGACCCGTAATGACAAGATACCTCGTTTCCAATAACTTGTACTACAAAGAAAAATGCTCGTACCTTTGATCATACTTCCAAGTGTAAGGCGGAATTTTAATAAAAGTTCAATGAATTCACACAAAAAAGGACTCGCAGAGAGATGCTATGAGGCAATCAAGCCCACTGAGTTTCTCGCCGGATCTTCTCAGTGGGTCGCGTTTCCGATCCGGTGGTAGATTCTGCGAAGCACGACTCTTGCTAGGGTTCGTGTTAGCATCGTCGTCAGGTTTGAGCCCCGTGAGCTCACCTACTAGTTACGGTTACGCTGGAATAACCTCTCTCTCTAGGCTACCAGCTTAGGCAGGAAAAAAAAAAAGATGCTATGAAAATTGTGTGAAATCGCATGTTTGTTTAATATACTACATATATTTGAAAACGAAAAACTCGCCTAATATTTTAACTGGCCGTAGGACCTCTTGTGAGTCCGCACGGGCTGGTACCACCACCCTGCCTATTTCTGCCGTGAAGCAGTAATGCGCTTCGGTTTGAAGGGCGGGGCAGCCGTTGTAACTGTACTGAGACCTTAGAACTTGTATCTCAAGGTGCGTGGCGCATTTACGTTGTAAATGTCTATGGGCTCCAGTAACCACTTAACACCAGGTGGGCTGTGAGCTCGTCCACTCATCTAAAAAAAATATAATAATAATAAAAATATGCCTTGAACTTGTCTTCTTAGAAATATATCGATACCGACATCATACATACCGATATATACATACCGATACATACATACCGAGCTGTGTAGCATTGCGTCTGTTTTAAAGTAAATGGCAGATCTAAGAAACGAAAAGCACGTTTATCAGAGACCAGTAATGGACTAGACGTGTTTTATCGAATGACTAGAAGAAACATTTGGTAAAATCAAAATTTAATAAAAATAGCAGCAAACCGTTATAAAACTAATAAATACAAAACTATAATGTTATTTATTCCTTAAAACTATATAAAATTAAGTATTTAAAAAAATGCAAAAGGACATCAGGGGACACCCGGGTTTGAACCGGGGACCTCTCGATCTGCAGTCGAATGCTCTACCACTGAGCTATATCCCCGTACGTGATGTGGGTTGAAAAAAAGATATAATAATGTTTGCATCAAACTTTGTGACGAATGTGACGTCATCAATGAAACATGATGGCGAAGATAATTATCACAAAATGTTTTAAGAATTTACTGATAAGCTGTGCTTGAAGAAAAAAAGGAAAAAAATACTTTTATTTCCATTACATTTAGATTAATTTGATTTAAAACTGCCATTTTCGATATGAACACCATTTATTAATTAATTAATATTCTCATATGAACTAGGATTTGGAGATTTGATTGTATCACATCGTAAGTTAAATGGTTAGCTCGATGTCATATAAATGTCCGGATTCGATTAGTCATAGCTAGTACACATAGCTAGTCATAGTTGTGAAACATATTTGTTATTCAGGGCTGGGCCTAGTTGTTTTCATCTCATTTGTGATTCCCGTACAGAGACAACCCTATCCATGTGGAAGTTTTTCTTCATGATATGTAGATTTATCACTACAGAATCATTATTGGGAAGTGCTGGGTCATGACCATGACGCATAGGGGTTTTTTTCATTGAAATCCTCTAACCTAAAACCTACTAATACTATAAATGCAATGCATACTATAAATGTTGTAAAGTAGATGTTTATTATTCTTCCAAGCAGAAACTACTGGACCAATTTTGCTATTTCTCAATCGAATAGCTTATACTTTAGAATAAAACATAGGGTATAATTTAGTACGGTAGATGTACGACAAGGGGCGCGCGAGTATTTTGAAGATGTTTTTCATATAATCAGCGGTGTCAAGGCAGAGCGACCCGGGTACCTATCTCATATTTTAGTGCTATACTAACCCGGCCCGATTTGCTGGTCGATCCTTGATTGACTTGGATCCGAACACTACCAAACTTCACAAAATGTGAAGATTATCTAAAAACCGGCCGTTGCCTTTTAAGGAACATAAACACACAAACCAAATCTTATACACTTATACATATTGTATCTATTGTTTAAAAAATTTAGAAGCGCTTAGAATGTATGTAACAACGGAGCGACATAGCTTAGATTTTGACAAATAAATTAAGTCAATGAAGAACTTTTCGATAAAAAAAATTATTGCTTATATGGGTGGACGAGCTCACAGCCCACCTGGTGTTAAGTGGTTACTGGAGCCCATGGACATCTACAACGTATGAAACTTTGTCTTTTTTTTTGGCTTTGTTGTTGACTGTGATCGTTTGGCTACGTTTGCCGCTAGGGGCGCTGTTCAAACTGCATACAAAATTGAGTTAACTTTTACGCTATCGAGAACGTTAAAAAACTCGCGCTAAGCACACAGACCTAAAGTCAATGTCCGTCAATGTGGCAACGTTGTACAGCCCGTAAAATAATATTTTCAGTTGCAGAAAAATCATGATAAATATCGACGCTTGAAAGGCAAACATGACTAAGCGACAATGCGCCAACTTTACAGTAGGCTAATTTAAAGCCTGAAAATATTTATATACCTTATATATTATATATTTATATACCTTATATATTTATATACCTGAAAAAAATTCTATTTTAACGAATCTAGCTGTAGGATTGAAATGATTTTAATAGATGTAGAAATCTTTTTTTTTTTTGCGCATTGATTATGGTTATTTCCAATCATTTATGTAAAAAGCAGCTATTGTCGCTTAGTCATGTTTGCCTTTCAAGCGTCGATATGTTTTCGATTCGTAGATACATTCTAAAAAAGAAAAGAAACTAAACACCATGTATTTCCTTTAAGGTCCGTTTGAAGTTTCGTAATTTTTTAAGTACGTTAATTAGACTGAATATTTATAGGTCCGCCATAACCGTACTGTTAAAGCAATGATAAATAATTCAGAATGTTTTAATTCGCAAAGCCTTTTAAAGGTATGGCTAACTCAATGGCGTATGTGGAAGTAGGATGTTGAAATACGTGCTATATGTTTCAAGGATAATCAATTTGAGCTCAAATCACAAGCAAGATTTATGTTATGGAGGTGTATGATGACCTTTATTTTTTGTTTACTATTTATTTTATGTATATACGTATTACGTATATTTTTTTTATTTTTTATTATTAGGTTCACACAACTGGATTAAAACTGCACACATAAACATTGAACTTATTTACATAAAATAATACATTATAGAATTCACCCTTTTGGGTGTGAACACATCTTGCTTAAGAGCGTTTATTTATATACATACATATTATTTTACGTATTACTTTTATACGTTTGTTACATTTGTGAATTTTTCCGATTTTTTCTTTATTTTAATATTATTTTTTGGTTATAATTTGTTGGATTTTCTATTGTAGATGATATGCCATCAGATCTAAGATTAGTATCGTGATGGAAAACAAACAAGCTTTGAGCAATGCCTATTATTCGCTGATTTTTTTAAAACAAATTTAATTATTTTCCAGACCATCTAAAATGGAAAATTCTATAATAAATAGAAAAATGGTAAACGATATACGAAAAATAAATTATGTTTTTTTTTGTAAATCTACTACGAACTTCGTAAAATCTGTGGTAATATTAACAGTTGTTAGTGAATCACTTCTGTTTTGCACGTAGGTACTCAGTGTATTTTTGAATTGATTTGCTTTCAATATTGATATTGATGATCTAGTCTATAGATAAAAAAATCGACGTGTGGCTGGACTTATTCCGAAAAAAAAACAGGAAATCTTTCGATTGGGTTAGCGTGTGTACTTGTGACGTGTAGAGTTCTTTGAAATTGGGTAGCTAACGAATTATAGTCGATGATGATGATGATGATCGTTCAGCAAAACAGGCCAGGTTGGATAGGTTTTATATAGGTTCTACAGATTAAAAGAAAACTAATACTTAACACAAAAGCAAAAATAACTTTGTGGGTTAAATAATCCTCATATGAAATCAAACCAAAAAAAATATTCCGCGAAAACTTCTTTATTCATTTTTTTTTACAACTAAGTACTTATTATATTTACATTCACGTAATAAAACGCATCAAGATCAAGTCCGTTACCAACAGTCAAAGCGTTTAATAAATAAAACCAATACGAAAAACAGGCTAGGTCGAGCTTGCCGTGTTGCGAGTCCTAAATATAGACTACGTCCTAAATTTAGACTATGGCTAGAAAGCAAAGAACTTAAACAAAACAAAGAAAATTAAAAAAAAAACACTCCTTTGAATGATTTACAAATCGTCATAGCTCTATTCGATTATCAAATTTATCAAAAAATAAATCTCCTTTACCTAATAGCCACTGTCTATGGACTGAAAATCATTGAACCTTATTAGGAGTTAAAGCCTAAAATGAATGTTAAGCAACACGGCATATTGTGGACGTTGTTTGTTTTAGCCCCAGGGGTGAGCCACGTGACCGATGTGGGCTGCTTGTATGGCCACAGGGGCAGCTACGACCTTAGCTACGGGTGCAGCGGCCACCTACAAAAACAAACACATTCCTTTAAATCAATATCTTTTGTTTTCGTATCATTCTGAATGAATTATTTCTGCCGTGAGCAGTGATGCGTTTCGATTTGAAGGGTGGGGCAGCCGTTGTAACTATACTGAGACCTTAGAACCCATATCTCAAGGTGGGTGGCGCATTTACGTTGTAGATGTCTATGGGCTCGCACGTATTTCATTAGAAAAATTGGTACCCACCTGGGATTCGAGCACCGGTGCATCGCTTCAACACGAATACACCGGACGTCTTATCCTTTAGGCCACGACGACTTCAATTGAAAATTTTCTTCAATTTTATAATTTTCACGCGCATCAAGGACCGATGACAATACAATAATTTTATAATGTCTACATTTTTTTTTAAATAACTTCGTAATTCAGTTCAGTTTTTAAATTACATATAGTATTTTTTTGTCAACTCACCGCGTGTGAACCGCCCGTCCTTTCAACTACAGCGTTGAATCCGTTGATCTTATCAGCGGTGTACGTAACCTTCCTGAGGTGGCCGTCCGGCTCGACCAGACTGTAAGAGCCGTGGACGACTCCGTTCTGTAACGTCTCCGTCGCGTCTTTGTGGTCTCCTGTCGCTGGATCTTGGACCCCGTACGAGAAGCTATAGGCCGGATTGGGATCGATGGGTTCCGCATGAACAGCTGCCACCTAATTATGCCGTGGAAATATGTTCAAATTAATTTATTATACCCACAATTTAGTACTAGACTTTATAATTATAATTAACTAACTGTACCCGTCCGCTTCGATGGCCATTTAAAATTAACATTATTTCTCACCCCCACAAAGATTCTCATCATTAGCGCCCCCGCAACTGGTGTAGGGAGACCAACACTCATATAAATATTAGCCTATCCATTAAGTACATGTATTTTCTACATGGATACCAAGTTTCAAGTCAGTTTAATAGCATGGTTCAGTAGTTATAACGGAACATCCGTAAAAAACCACTGTAGATTTATATATTAGTATAGATTAATTAAACGAAATCGCCTACTGTTTTGACTACCGGGGCGGCGACTGCATGCGCGATCGGAGCCGCATATGCTGGGGCGACAGCATGAGCCACCGGTGCCGCATATGCTGGTGCCGCATACCCATACCCGTCGAACAGACCCGGCGCTGCCATCACCGACGCACACGCGCAACACAAAAAGAATATCTGGTAACAATAAAATTAATCATGAAACACATTTATTAAAACACAAACAAAATTTACGCATCTCGAATGTACTGGTGGTAGGACCTCTTGTGAGTCCGCACGGGTAGGTACCACCACCCCGCCTATTTCTGCCGTGAAGCAGTAATGCGTTTCGGTTTGAAGGGTGGAGCAGCCGTTGTAACTATACTTGAGACTTTAGAACTTATATCTCAAGGTGGGTGGCGCATTCACGTTGTAGATGTATATGGGCTCCAGTAACCAGTTAACACTAGGTGGGCTGTGAGCTCATCCAGCAATATAAGCAGATTAAAAAAAAAAAAAAATTGAGGGACTTCGTCTTTGAACCTAGTGTAAAGTGTTTTAGCGATTATGCAGTACCATTGTGAAGATTAAAGAATTAAGGAATGATGAATAAAATATCGGAGAGAAATCGTTACGAAAATATAGGAAGAGAGCTCGCCTTTGTACATAGTATTTAGAATTCTTTAAATCTGTTTTTATTGTATTTTCTTTTTGTGTACAATAAGTATAAATAAATAAATAAGAGAGCAACTACAAACAGAACAGACGCTGGTGAAAATTAATGTAACTGATGTCACAATATAAAACAAATGGCGATAAATTAACGATTGAAAATTTTAATTATAACAAAAACTGCAGATTTTTTTTATCAGAGCTTAATAAATAATAAATACACACATTAATTTAAAAACTATAATATTCATTTTAAAAAAAAACTACAAAGTGCAATAATGAATCTGTAATCTGCCTGTCAGAAATGAAAACTTTTAATCGTTAAAGAAAGGTTATCGATTTCAATAATGATTTTATTTTTATTTTGAATGCAGTCGTCACCTTTGGACGAAATTCTATTTCTGTCTGTTTGATGTAGGTACGCTTAACATCAAAAGGTTTGCTAATTACAACGCATATAAGAAACGTGAAACGAAATCATAAATTATATTAATCAGACACCAATTCAATTACAAAATACTTTTACAGTTTAATCACGCATTCACTATAGTCATTATATTAATTCCAACCTTTTTTTAAACTTTACAGTTTTGGTGGTCACGGACGAGCCCGGTGGGAGTAAATGTTATTTTAATTATATCTGCGACTCGCGAAAACCGAAGAAAAAAATCAGATACCAATTTAATATTTAATTTCTTGAACTTTCAAATCGTAAAATATAATTATTATTTTACCTTAGCGATCATGTTAGATGCGCGCGCCCCGTACTTTGGTAGTCAGTCAACACGTGTGGTGCTCAATAGAAATCGCAAGCTATATAAAGGGCCCCGGCCTGCGATCGAATCTGATACAGTTTCGTAACTAGGGACACTAAGATAAGTCGGTCCTTCAAATGGCCAGACCCATACGTCAGTTTAATTGGATCGGAAACATTAGATTTGCTGATGTAATTAGTTCAAATAAACCAATAGTAATTTAAAAAATGAATTATAATTTTTATCAGTAGTTTATGCATTTACAATTGAGTGTTTTCTGTAATATTCTAAAATGAGGCGTGCAAAGGAACTCCAGAATGTACTACTACAATGAATTTCGGTGTTTAATATGCGGATAAATTGTAAAAGGGTCCCCAGAGATTGACCTATCTATTCTTCATAAGATAAGATGGGCTAAAAGTTTATTTGCCTCCGGAGACATTGCAAATTGTTGATCTTCTAGAATTTAATATCATTTGTAAGAAAATGACGTAAAGGTCCTTTCTTTAACTGAGATCGTAACGCCCCCAGGTTCTCTCCATATTAGTCTAAAGGAGAAAATATATTTAGAAACATAGATAATAAAAATCACATTTATAACGACAGTCGTCCGTGACCACAGAAACTGTATAGGATTTGAAACGTCGGAAAAAATATAATGACAAATAAAAAAGCGAAATCAAACCGAAGGCAGACGAGCATACGGCCCACCTGATGGTGAGTGGTTACCGTCGCCCATGGACTTCAGCAATGCCAGGGGCAGAGCCAAGCCGCTGCCTACCGCAAATATTACTCTTTCTATGTGAATGTCTAATTACTATGATATAATCCATGACATTTGGCAATACGATTTCACATAATACACGATATTTCTAAATGCATAAAGTAAATTAGACCATATTCCCATAACGGTTATCGATTTTAACAACTTTGTATGTTGGTTTAGAAAGGCGTTTCTTGAATAGGTGTTGAATGGTGTCAAATTTATTAAAACCGATCGATATAAATGGAAAATAATACTGACATCGAAGTAATCATTTGACTGTCGACTATAATGGCTATAACCTTACGATTATTAAAACTTTAACAAATAGGTATTTACAATTCAGCGGGACGCTCTCCTTTTTTGCTTGTATGAGTGTTAGTTTGGAGATTAACAAAAAATAGTTTATGAGTTATACATTCGTTATAAATAAATAGGGGAGTAAATATGCTATGTTGCATTATACATTGCAAGAATACTATTATACATTTAAGACAAAGGTATTTTCAATATATTTGGTTACCCATAGGACCCGTCGTCTGGTGATTTTAAAAAATACTCTAGAAACTAGCGGCTGGTCGATTTTTAAGCTGTTATACTGTTATTTAAATTACTGATGGTACTGATAAATTATAATAAAATTCCTACCTAGGCTAGCTAAAAACTTGCTGTATTAGATTTTTCGAAAAATCATTTAAAAAACCATTGTGAATGTTGCCCTGATTTATAATAAATTAATAAAAAATGAAAGTAGAAACTACGATATAAATTTAATTTACAACAAAAATCGCACAACACTAGTTAGGTATATACTATAAGTCATTGATTTCTAAGTAATAATCCAGTCTGTATTTGAACGAATGTACTTGACATACACAATTGCTCTAATTATTTCGTACTGTGATATATGCGTTCATTTTATATACATATGTTCAACAATTTGTTGACATGTTGCAATTAATATATTTATGTTGCTCTAAGCATTATGACGTGTATATGAACATGTATACGTCGTATATATGTAATGGATATTAATTTAATAATTAACCTTGCTTTCATGAAACTTAAATTTTTTAGTTATACATTTTTTTATATTTCCCTTCGCGTACAGAGAACAAATTGATTAATAATACGAGTTCGCACATAAAAGATTTTATTTTGAAATGTACATACTTACCAAAATTTTAACGTGATGTTAAAATTATCTACTTTCCAACAAATGACCGACAAATTCAAATTCAAATTCAAAATCATTTATTTCAACTTAGATGTCAGTATAACACACTTGTTGAATGTCAAAATATAAGTTACCGGTGGTAGACTTAACAATGTTAACTCTACCAACGGTTCCAAAAAAAGCCACAGTCCTGAGAAGAACCGGTGAAACAAACTCAGGGGGCTTTTTTTTGTTTTTTCTCAAATATTTACTTTTTTTTTTAAATAAGTAAAAATATTTACAATAAAGGAAAAAACAAGTCAAAAAATACAATTAAAAAAATAATGAGAAATGAAAAGGCCAGAAGCGAACGCTTCATTCCCACGTAGTGCCATCTAGTAAATAATCCTTAAATACTAAACACTAAAATACATCAAGCTATTTTACTGATCTGTGCCTTTATTGATTTCGCTGTAATGAAAACCGATCCAAATCAGATTCCTCCTCCTTGCGTCGGCTTCCTCATTACTGAGGGTCGTGGTCATGGCCTTGAAACAGTTTAAATGTTTCTCTGTCCATGACTCTCTTGGGATGTAATTGTTGTGGGTTCCCACGTCCTTCCACATCAGTATTTCGAAGGGATTTAGTCCTTCACGGCAACTGGTCCCGCTCCGGGTCTCTGGTTGGATCCAGGGGCTGGGTTATTTCCCGCCGCCCGGTGCTCGGCGTTGACGTTTTACGGTAGGAATGTCCAGTTCTACTCAACCCTCCTCTTTTCTCATCCGGGCTTGGGACCGGCAATGGCAGAGTTCAAATCAGATTAGTAATAGTAATAAAATTATCAAACAAAAAAATGTCAGTAATGCCAATACTTTTCGATAAGCAAACGCGCGCTCCTACTAACAGACGGAAGTCGAAACGAGAACTAGCCTAAAGTAAAATGAGAACAATAATCAGTTACATTGTAAATGCGTTTTAAAAGACTGAGTCGATGCGCCGAGGCTCGTGGGTTTGATTCCTACAACGGACAAACATTTTGTGCTGGACAGGTTTGTTTGCTCTTTGTCTGGATGTTTATTATATATGGAAGTATATATTTAAACGTATATAAGTATGTTTATCAGTCTCTTGTACCCATAACACAGGGAATCCTAAAATGGGACCCTAGGCCATGCGTGATTTGTTTCAAATTATTGAAATATTATTAAATTAAAAGTTCATAATTTCCCGCGCTCTCCGCGGTTTATGTTTTACGGGATTTAGTCAGTTTTTTGTGCGCAATTGTCTTCCTTTTTAAGAACAATTCCATATATATCCTGTATAAAATAATAATAAAAAATAATGAATAAAATAAACACTAGTAGTTCAATTGAAATAATAATTTTCACTTTGAGTTGTCTACAAATAAGGCCGTCAGCAGAAAAGTGGCTTAACCCACAACTTTTCATATTCGTGCTTATGTATTACATTATTTAAAACATAATAAAATTTGATGCAAAACGGGCCTATACCTCGTTTCAACCATAGATAACAGATGGCTTTGTAAACATTTTATTTCGCGCGCATTGTTTTTGCCTGCGATGCAGTGTAAAAGTAAATTCAAGCCTCGTTATCTCCATACTAACAATAGCAAGCTTAATCCACTTTTGCGCTGACGACCTCAAATATGATTTACGAAATGCATTCAATCGAATCGATTTTCGATTCGAACACCGCCTAGCTCCCTCCGTACAGCCGCCGGCTTGCAACACACTATCTCCATATCCTATGCACCTGAGTTAATTCCACGTAATGTGGGTCACACACGACCGGACCTAATATTCGAGTAAATACATGTGCAGGCTTGTTTTAAAATTCATATTGGCCGCGCCCTAATGCGCTTACAATTCGTAAGCTACGTGTCGCCATTGAAGCCAGGACTTGTTGCGTTAGAACTAATCCACTATGCGAATTCAACGTCTGGGGTCCGTTTTATTAGAATACACGCGGTCTGTGTTCACCTGAAATAATTTTTTAAATCATCCCACGCATTTAAGTAAGAATCTTAATCTGATTTATTCGAATTCAATTAACTCTCTTTTTTTATTGCTTAAATTGGTGGACGAGCTCACAGCCTACCTGGTGTTAAGTGGTTACTGGAGCCCATAGACATCTATGACGTAAATGCGCCACCCACCTTGAGATATAAGTCCTAAGGTCTCAGTATAGTTACAATGGCTGCCCCACCCTTCAAACCTAAACGCATTACTGCTTCACGGCAGAAATAGGCAGGGCGGTGATACCTACCCGTGCGGACTCACAAGAGGTCCTATCACCAGTAAGTCTCTAACATTGTATTAATACAATTGGGTAGTAAGGTACTTGGTAAAATATTTATTTGTAATATATTGTGCTGATAACGTGTTGATATCCAATAAATAAATAAAAAGTGAAAAAATTTAAATCAGCTTTAAAAATTAGGGAATAGTGACGTTATAACCTACACTTATATGTTTAATTAATTATACATAATAATCAGAGAAACGAGACGCGGTCACTTGGCTCCTAACTATTAATCTGTGTACCAAAAAGTGATTTATAAATTTTATACCTTTAAATATAATGATGAATATAATATAGGTATCATAGACCTAGACAAACAAAACTGTACGTCATAAGAAAGTTTGCCCGAAGCGAGAAACGTATCCACGACACTTGGCTCAGCATCACGGGCTCTAAGCACTGCGCCATCGGGTCAGTTAAGCTAGAGCTTAAATGACTCTCTCTTTACTGGTGGTAGGACCTCTTGTGAGTCCGCACGGGTAGGTACCACCGCCCCGCTTATTTCTGCCGTGAAGCAGTAATGCGTTTCGGTTTGAAGGGTGGGGCAGCCGTTGTGACTATACTGAGACCTTAGAACTTATATCTCAAGGTGTGTGGCGCATTTACGTAGTAGATATCTATGAGCTCCAGTAACCACTTAACACCAGGTGGGCTGTGAGCTCGTCCACACATCTAAGCAATAAAAAATAAAAAGCTTATGACATTGATCAAAAATGCGTTCTGGTCTGAACGCTTGTTACGACACTCGCAACTCTGGTCTGCCCAATTAAGCTAACAAACTTCAAGACATTTATTTCTATATTTTTTAATATTTTTTATTATTATTTATAAGTAAATCATACATTGTCATTCTCAAGACACAAATCACACATTCGACTTCGGGTACTGTCAAGTTGTTGTTTTTGTTTTGAACGCTTTTCTTCTTCCTATTTACACTTAAAAACCCTTCAGTAATACGTTTCTTTTTCAAGCCACTTGGAAATATTATTCCTAATTAAATACCTCCTAATCTCGTCCGCAATTATCATAAGCGCCATGAACGGTACCGCAAGGAAAAAGAAATACCAATCGATGGGCTCCGTGCCGAAAATTTCGTTGCACAATGGCAAATAAGTGACAGTCACTGCTGCAAATATATCAATAACTATACTAGCATTCAAAACTTGGTTCTTCATGCCTTTTTTGAAGAGCGAAATCCGCCTTGTCTTACATATTAAAACGTCAGATATTTGGGTTAAGCAAATAGCCACAAAGTAGGCTGTCTGCGCTTTCCTTTCGATTCGTTTTCGCTCNCCGAAAATTTCGTTGCACAATGGCAAATAAGTGACAGTCACTGCTGCAAATATATCAATAACTATACTAGCATTCAAAACTTGGTTCTTCATGCCTTTTTTGAAGAGCGAAATCCGCCTTGTCTTACATATTAAAACGTCAGATATTTGGGTTAAGCAAATAGCCACAAAGTAGGCTGTCTGCGCTTTCCTTTCGATTCGTTTTCGCTCCGAATAAAAATATAACCGTCCAATTGAATCTCTGATTACTTTAGTATCAGATTCCCAATCATCACGTATGAACAATAAACTAGACGGAAAGAATCCTTCTCTGGCGAAAACTACAAAGTACGCATACATTCCAGCGAAAAATTGAATTAATCCTATTTGGAAATAGGCCATGAAAAGGAGAACTTTGTTAACGAGATGATCGGTCTGTTTTCTGGGAGGGATCGACATGATGTCCTCTTCGGAATCCTCGTAGGCCAAACTCATGGCTGGTAACAAGTCGGTTCCAACGTTGATTACCAAAATCAACATCAACGTTAACGGTAAAGGCATTCCGACACAAGCGTACATAACGAAAGGCAGCATTTCAGGAGTGTTCGAGGTAAGCGTATACGCTATAGTTTTCTTCAAATTATCGAAAATGCGTCTTCCTTCTTGCACTCCTAACACAATAGACGAAAAATTATCGTCCAATAAGATCATGTCTGCAGCTTGCTTTGATACCTCTGTACCGTTGATGCCCATAGCTATTCCAATATCAGCTTTCTTTAATGCAGGAGAATCGTTCACGCCGTCTCCAGTGACGGCCACGATATACCTCAAAGACTGATAAGTCTCCACAATGAATAGCTTCTGCTGCGGACTGGTTCTTGCGAATGTTATTTCCTCGTACTTAGCTAGCGCTGACTTCAATTCGTTGACGGACATTTTACGCAGCTCGTCGCCTGTAATCACGGCCGCTTTGAACTGGTTTTTTATGTGCGATGGAACATCGGACAGTTCAATGTGATGCTCAAAGGCATAATCGTAGACAGTGGGCTGTGTTATGGTACCGCACTGACGTGAAATAGCCAATGCCGTTACAGGATGATCACCGGTTATCATGATCACTTTGATACCTGCTTGTCTACACATCGATATGCTTTTCGCTATATCCTTCCTAGGGGGATCAATCATCGATATACATCCAAGAAAGTGTAAATTTTCAATGGGAAAATTAAGTTGATGCGTGTCAAATTGGTATCCAAGAGGATAATCAGTTGTCGGTAGTTTCAAATCGCAATACCCAATAACGCGTTCGCCCATATTCGCCAATTTGACAAAGTACGCTTTCAGTTCTTTGATCGTTTGTGTCGTCAACGGCTGCTCTCCTTCGTCGGTGNTCATCGATATACATCCAAGAAAGTGTAAATTTTCAATGGGAAAATTAAGTTGATGCGTGTCAAATTGGTATCCAAGAGGATAATCAGTTGTCGGTAGTTTCAAATCGCAATACCCAATAACGCGTTCGCCCATATTCGCCAATTTGACAAAGTACGCTTTCAGTTCTTTGATCGTTTGTGTCGTCAACGGCTGCTCTCCGTCGTCGGTGTGCACAGTTGTGCAATAATCTAGTACAATTTCGGGAGCACCCTTCATTGTCAAATAGTAGCTTTGAGAGGCTTGCATTCGATGGATCGTGACTTGGTATTTGTATGCTGAACTAAAAGGAATCTCCGCCTCCTTAGGGTTATCTTCGCGCGTCAACGTCGCTGAACGATGCAGTTCCATGTAACGCAATATCGCAGATTCCGAAGCGTCACCATAAATCTTTCTCTTTGCAATTGGAGCGTCGTAGTAGTCAAATCCAAAAAACGCCTTAAGGTTTAGAGAAGCTGCTAAACACAACGCACTGTATGTAGATTGAGATACGTGACTAAAATCGTCGCTGTCGTAAATGTTAAAATTACAGAACAAATGAGAAACCTTCATTTGGTTTTCAGTCAAAGTACCGGTTTTGTCCGAGCAAATACACGATGTGGAGCCCAATGTTTCCACAGCGTGCAAGCTTTTGGCCAAACAGTTTTTCTTTTGTAGCTGGTTGGCCGACAAAGTCATGCACACTGTCAATGTTACTATCAGGCCTTCTGGTACGTTGGCAAGTATAATTCCTAACATGTATTGAATAGCTGATATCCAACGGTGTTGCGTAAAAAACACCATCGCAAAAAATATTATACCAAAGACAAACGCAACTCCGCAGATGAGTTTGATAAAATGTGTTATCTCTTTAGCGATCGGTGTCTCTTCTTTTTTCAATCCGGTCACAAGTCCTGCTATTTTACCTATTTGAGTCATTTCCCCAGTAGCGATAACAACGCCTCTTGCTACACCATCTGTTATGGGACATCCAAAATACGCCATATTTTTAGACTCCAACGGATTAGTATGCGTACACTCCGGTTTATGCTTGACCGGTTCAGATTCGCCGGTCAACGAAGACATGTCCGTTTTGAAATTAGTACACGTAAGAATTCGGACATCCGCAGGAACTATTTCGCCACTCATCATTTCAACGATATCCCCTATTACAACATCACTATTCGGTACGACTTTCTTGACACCATCACGAATAACCATTGCATTCGGCGGAACGAGTTTCTCAAAGCCGCTCATTACTGCCATGTTTTTAGCTTCCTGATAGAAACCGAAAATACCGGTACCGACGACCGTTGCAACGATTACGAAACCCAAATAAAGATATTCATTTTCGTAACGACCCTTGGTCCTGCCGTGCTCCAATTCTGCAGCGAAGAAGAAAGACACGAAATTGAGCAACGCGCCCATCCAAAGCACGCACTGGAACCATCCGAAGAGATTATGACGGAATAGTTTCCAGTAGCTCGTTCCGCTGAGCTCTTTGAGGGCATTAGGCCCGTATAAATCCAGTAATTCTTTAGCGAAGATGTCACTGAGACCGCTGGCAATATTTGTACGGTAGACAACTTCGAGCTGCGAAGGCGTAAGGAAGTGATCACCAGTGTGGGTCTCTTCTTTGAGAAAGTTTATAGTTGAGGTTTCGGCTGCGCCATGAACCACGCTTGTCCGACGAGCGTTTACTAGAGACGCGCTGGACATTCTCGGAGGCGCGGAGGGCATTTTAAAATTTGTCTATAAATATTGAAAAATTTTTTATTTTATCGTTAATGTAATGTTTAGATGTAATCTTCGTCAAAGCACATCAGAACAAGTATTTTTCTAAACTAATCCATTCACTTTGCCTTTTCGATAATTCATTCTGATCACTGAAATAACATGACATTTCTAATTTTTTAATTTTCTGTCATCTATTTCAATTTCGTCTATCATAATGATTATCGTCCAAGAGTTTTTATATAAAACGTAATTTTATTACTTTTATTTAATTATCACAACTGACCTCTACTTCTCACCATAAGGTCTACCAACAATTTCATATTAATTAAAAATAACACATTTTTTCTTCTTCTAAAAACATTTATTACAAAATTTACACGTCTTACATCCCTTATTACATTAATATGTAGGTACATTAACTGTCTTATCCACTATATCTAATGTGATACTACATAGTGATATAAACACGCTTATTTTAAGACGTTATTTATCTTCTCCTATAAAGTTTGGCACCAACAGGAAACCAGACTGCATATTTAATAAACAAATAATTATTACAATTTTGTGATGGCTAATGAAATTGTATCATAGGAATAGAAGGCAACAAAGGAAGAACCTTCAAAATGCAATTGTTCCGAGTTACATGAGCAACAGATATGGAATTTAGATATACAATTCGAGTGAGTTTCAATAAAATAAAAAATTCCGCTTCCAAATAATTTTGCAGGGTATTTTTGTTACAAATGATAAGAGAAACTGTCTCGGACAATTTTGCGGTGAGTAAATAAGCGCTTCACTCATATAAAAAAACTTCATTAGAATAATAGAGGGCACCTTAAGGAATGTTGAAAATTGAAATATCATTTTTATTCCAAAAAAATAAATTCCAGATAACAATTATTGAGTTGTGTAAAAAAATAAGCCACCATTTTTATCAAAATTTTCTTTCTGCTAAAATTCCTAAGAAACTAACATTTTATTAAAATATAATAAAATAGATTTACACCATAATGAAAAAGTTAAATTGTACTTATAAGTTGTATTGTGTTATTTTCACTAAAATAATACAATGAAAACATTGTTATTATGCATATTATTATGTTTATATTTTATAGCTCTATTTTAACTAATATTGGAATGCTTTTTAGAAATTTTCAATAATTAACAAAAAAGTCTAAATAATTCTTAAAGAAAAGTTTTATTTATTTCTATTTGATTTCAATGATGTTAAAACATTTTGAACAGCTACATATTTTTTTAAATAAATAAATCGCATTTCTTGCTGCTTCATAATTACTTAAAAAGTATTTTGTTCACTTACTGTTATTATGTATTTAGAATCTAATTTTGTAATCCTTAAAACTATTTTTACGGATTTTACTCGTGTCGTTCGTGACTAAGAAAACTGTAAAAAAGCATAATTAAACCCAAAAAATAATTTGAATTATTTTTACGACACGCGAAAACCCTAAAAATACTAACCTTGTGATATTTGTTTAATCAAAGTGTTTGTTTTAGTGAAAGGAAGTACGGTGTCCGACATAGAAATAAGTGTCAAAAAATTAAATTACTTTTTATAATACTTTTATGTACATAGTATCAAGTGATGAAGTAATTAATTCTATATGAAAACTTTAAACTTCACAGGGTTGCCGTTTTAAAATTTAATTATAATTAGTTTAATTATGTAGTAAGAATATTAATGACTTTTTTTTTCAACAAAAGAACACGTCGGCTTGCTCACAGCTGCTTTGTTGTTGTATTGTTCTATTTATTTGATAGGTACTTGCTTAGTTAGTACACGCATTTGAAATTCTACTAATCTTTGGTACATTTGATATACACAGATTTGTTGCCATTTAGAGATTTATAAAATTAAATGATTATATAAAATTTTTATTACTATTTGATTATATTTAATAATCATATATTTATTTGAATATATTATTTAATAAATTAAGTAATCTTTATTGACATTTTTATACATGAACATTTATTATAATGGAAGTTATAGATGCGATCTCGTAGCTCAGATTCTGTGATTCTATTTTGTACTTTAATTATGTATAATACTGTAATAGATTGCTGCCGTTTGAGTTTGAGTCTCCCCAACTATTGTCTTGACTGAGGCTTTTCTTGGAACCAGTACTTGATATTGCTTTGACAAATAAACATGTTACAACGTGGTGTACGATTTATTGTATTTCTCAATAAAATAATATTGCAGAGGCCATATTCAGCAGTGGGCAGCTATAGATTAAAATGACATGACATCCAAATCGAAATAATTGAATTTGAATTTTGTATGGTGTTGAATGTTTTCTCTGTGATTAATTTATCTGTGGAATCGCGGGATCCAAGGCGAATCTGTTTTCCCTTGGGGGTTATCTGGGTCAGATCGTTCAGTCGAATCGTGCGGTCACCTCAGCTACGACCTCAGCTACGACACCCGATGGTAACAGCTACCATCGACCGTAAAATAACAAAACGTCAAATACTTTATTCCGGTTATCGATTGCTAAGACGGGCCAATACTTGTGATGCCTAATACGACATTAATATTATGATAAAATTGTGATCGATGTTGATTTCAGACACCGCGCGCAATGTACCACGAATAGAAATCATAGGTCAACGACCTCGCTCGGTTTGCTTCAGTTTACTCAGGGAAACGAATAATAGTTTTAAAATATTCAAATAGTAAGTCTAGTGACATAACATTAACAATTTTAAGATTTCGTATTAAAATAATCGAATATAAAATATTTTTATGGTGAGATCGATTGCGCGTTAATAAAATAGTTCTAATTGTAAACGTTGACTTTTAATTAATGGAATGACTGCGATTATTGTTAAAGTCGCATTAACTCTGGTATACCATATATATCGCATTCATAGAATAATTGAAGACATGAGTGGATGAAGGGGTTAAGTACCATTTTTAAAATTTAATATAAGCCATATTAGACCTTAAAACTCCGGGTTTAAAGGCTATTTTTAGAAATTGCATGTGATGAAGAAGTTATGTCTGAAGAAAAAGTAAAAGTAACAAAAGTTTGTTGCTAGTTTTCTCAAATTTAACGAATTGCATCATATCCCCTTCATCCACTCATGTCTTCAATTACTGGCGACTTCAATTGTGCTCTATAATAAAATGGAAAGATTTCTTTATTGCTTAGACGGGCGGACGAGCTCACAGCCCACCTGGTGTTAAGTGGTTACTGGAGTCCATAGAAATCTACAACATAAATGCGCCACCCACCTTCAGATATAAGTTCTAAGGTCTCAAGTATCTCAACGGCTGCCCCACCCTTCAAGCCGAAACGCATTACTGCTTCACGGCAGAAATGAGCGGGGTGGTGGTACCTACCCGCGCGGACTCAGAAGAGGTCCTACCACCAGTAAATGTGTTGTGTTCAATCAGCACAGCAGACTTATCGTTCCGTTGTCGCTTCCCAAGAGCAGCAATCTGTTCATCGGCAGCACGGACATGCAGGTGAGGACTCCCTTGAAGGTGTCCGAGCGCAGCTTGGTGCTGGAGAAGCCGGCGTCCTGCTGCAGCGAGGTGTGCACTCCGATCCGGTTGTTGGTGGTTCCGGATATGAGCTCCTCGTTGTGCACGGATAGGCAGTGCACCGGCTCCGGGCTCCCTCTGAGCGTGGAACAACATTTGCGTTAAATAAAAACCGTGCAAGACATCACTATACTATACTGGTGGTAGGTTGTCTTGTGAGACAGCGCGGGTAGGTACCACAACCCTGCCTATTTCTGGCATGAAACAGTAGGCAGACGAGCATACGACCCACCTGGTGGTGAGTGGTTACCGTCGCCCATGGACTTTAGCAATGCTAGGGGCAGAGAAAAACCGCTGCCTACCTGTCTATACTGTTAAAAAAGTGAGACCTTAGAACGCATGTCTCAAGGTGGGTGGCGCATTTGCGTTGTAGATGTCTATGAGCTCCGGTAATTACTTAACACCAGGTGGGCCGTGAGCTCGCCCATCTATCAAAGCAATAAATAAAAACCCGGTTTCGTTCCCGGACGAAATCCATATTGGAGAATGTCTTTTTTTTATTCCTTGGATGGGTGGACGAGCTCACAGCACACCTGGTGTTAAGTGGTTACTGGAGCCTGTGGCGGGTAGCCATCATACAACGCAAGATAATTGACAGATGTCTGAATCTCGCTTACGACATTTTCAAGATAAAGCGCATATATACAAGTTCCGAACAACAACACCAGGACCGTCGGTCTACCGAGCAATATCACCCGCTCGGTGGAAGATCTTTCCTTTCGTCGTTCAGCCTCCCAAAGAGCCCATAGACATTTACAACGTAAATGCGCCACCCACCTTGAGATATAAGTTACAACGGCTGCCCCACCCTTCAAACTGAAACGCATTACTGCTTCACGGCAGAAATAGGCGGGGTGGCGGTATCTGCCCGCGCGAACTCACAAGAGGTCCTACCACCAGTAAGAGAGAGAGATTCTGAAATTACTTCAAATATGAGATGAGTTCTCCATCGTCCGGCTTCCACAAGGCAGTCACTTGGTCCAGCCCGGAGCTGAGCAGCCTGTGCTGGTCTACTGCAGCCAGACGCAGCACCTTCAATCAAACCAGCAATGGATTAATAAAACGAGGAAGATGTAGAGATCACAAATGTCCCCATAGCAACTAACAATTACCAGACGATGACCGAGCATTGCTCGATTTTTTATTTTTTTGATAACGCCATCTTGTTGTGTCTTTAAAGCAGTTAGTTGCCCTCAATTAAGAAAAATAGTATTATTATTCGCCAATAGATGTCGGGAAGAGTCATAAAGTTCATTATCGATAAAGTTGATTATTGAAAACACGAACAAAACAACATTTTCTGAACATAAATCGTAGCTAGATCGATTTATCGCCCCCGAAATCCCCTGTATACTAAATTTTATGAAAATCGTTGGAGCCGTTTCCGAAATTCAGATTATATATATATATATATACAAGAATTGCTCGTTTAAAAGTATAAGATAAGATATGTATATGTTAACGGTAATTATATTGCAATGATGCTTTTTTTTTATTGCTTAGATGTGTGGACGAGCTCACAGCCCACCTGGTGTTAAGTGGTTACTGGAGCCCATAGACATATACAGCGTAAATGCGCACACCTTGAGATATAAGTTCTAAGATCTCACTCAGCATAGTTACAACGGCTGCCCCGCCCTTCAAACCGAAACGCATTACTGCTTCACGGCAGAAATAGGCGGGGCGGTGGTACCTACCCGCGCGGACTCACAAGAGGTCCTACCACCAGTAATGCTACGACAGTCTCGGTTTTGTCGGGCTGTCGATAGCACGTTAGGTTGTAATCCCATTATACGTTAGTCACTTAACTGAACACGTGTCTCATTAATCCTTACCCGATATAGAGACTCAACAGTTACATTTATTGAAGAAATATTTTAATAAGTATTCACAGATAAGCCTTTTAAGTTATTGGTAGGTTTGGAAGGAGTGCTCTGTGCCATTCCCCTAAAAATAGTGAAGTAAATAACTTAAATGGCATACGTGAATTATGACGTTATGATTCCATCTAGCGCGTCCTTTAGTCTAAATAAATGACGGATGAAACTAAAATGCTTAAGACTTTCTTATTTCGAAAGTGATTTAATTATTTTATATTCTTCGTTCAGTCATATTTGTGGTTAGTTTTTTATGCTTTAAATATAAATAAAATGTATTTAAATATGTGTAACAAAGAAAATATTGATCAAAATCCAAGATGAAATAAATCTGAAATTAATTATTAGTTAAAGTAACTTTGCCCGTATAGGGATATAGCGCTGCGGTCCTAGCACAGGGTGCCACCTGATGGTGAGCGGTTACCGTCGCTCTGTGTGCTTACTGCGAGTTTTTTTATGTTCTCGATAGCGTAAAAGTTAACTCAATTTTGGAATTGGAACGTTTGCCTACGTTTGCCGCTAGGGGCGCTGTTCCAACTGCATACAAATTTGAGTTAACTTTTACGCTATCGAGAGCGTTAAAAAGCTCGCTTTAAGCATGTGGGCACGTCGCGCGGTCGGTGTACCTCTCCGTCGTGCGGCTTCCAGGCGGCGAGCGGCAGGCCGGTGCGCAGCTCCAGCACGGCCACGTGTCCGCTGGCGAGCCCGCACGCCACCCAGCGCGCGTCCCACGCGCACATGCAGCGGATGTACGTGCTGCCGCCGGACCACAGCTGCGGACCGCCCAAACACACTTTACTCCAAAACATTCCGACACTTTTTTTTTCCTACCTAAGCTGAGAGCCTTGGGAGGCTATTTCAGCGTAACCTTAACTAGTAGGTGAGCTCGCGGCGCTCAAACCTAAGGACGTTGCTAACACGAACCCTTCGTCGCAAGCGACGGATTCGACGAGAACGATGACCGGTGCTTGAGGTACCTAAAAGCACCGTTAGTGGATCGGGAGGATCCGATATGATGTGTTTTGGGCGACGTCGACTGCTTCCATTCTGTCCGCAGGATCGGGAATGTAGTTACCGGCGGCCACGATGAGAGGGTTCTCGTGTCGTGCCGCTTTATCAAAGTGGCTTCCACCACTATATACTGGAAAAGGTCTTTATTCGCGGGCTATATATCACGATACAGAAACTGTCATTTTTTTTAAGATTGAAGGGTTAATGGTGGCCCGGAGGCATTTCGAGTTTCACCAGGTCAGGTGGGCGAGCAAAGGCTGAGCCAGAAGCAGTGGGATTTGCTAACAGCTGGCCAAGCGCCTCCGAGGGAGACCTTATAACTCAAGAGCAATTGCTTCGCGAATAAATCAACTACCGGATCGGAATCGCGACCCGCTGAGAAGATCCGGCGAGAAACTCAGTGAGCTGATGCATGGGTTAGGTTAGAAACCGTCAATGGAATGGTAACTTACTTAAATGGCGCGGCGAAGTAGGCTTGTGTCAAAAGCGGCGATATCATTTAACAACATACTTTAAGCGAGGTTGTAACAAGGTCTATTTTACTTTTTGAAGTGAAACTTCTAATGCGACTTCCGACAAGGTTGCGTTAAACGTTTAACGCTACCACGGAATAGAAAGAGACAGAGTGAGAGTGAATGCGTGTCATTCTAATGCACGCGCGTAGTATACCTGTTACAGGCCAGCGCGAGCGTTAGCAACGAGTAGCGTCCAATATTTTAATGAAGTATTTAAAAAGATACACATATATTTACCTATCTATAATTTAAAATATACATAATATAAATATTGAAGATGTCGCATCTCTTATACACAGCATTCTCTATTACAAGAGCAATCTGGTTTAAGGATGAAAAATTAAGAAAACCACAATACTACACATCGACAAAGAAGTTTCACTTCATTCCCGTGCACCAAGTTACACGCGCACCTTTTTTTTATTAGTTCTTTTGACCGCGCCTTTAAAAAGGAAATTCATTTGGATACCTACATATTGCAATCCTATTTATCAAATTATATGTACCGATATAACTAGTCAGGTCATAAGTATTGTCACACAGTAAAAACTTTTCTTTTAGAATGCTGGCCACAAAAAAGTTTATTGAATTCGAATTTCGAATTGTTCATGAAAATAAAAATGGATACTTTTGGAATTTTACTCATTTTTTAAATATGGAGTGGACGCTTAAAGAAGACCGTGTTGCAGTTATTGCGTTGCATCGTTGCGGTTACGCGACAATTCAAATTTTTAACATACTGAAAAATTTGAATATAACCAAAAGATTCGTTTATCGTACTATCAAACGATACAATGAAGACTCTAGTGTAGGTCAAGAAGTGGTCGCCCTCGGTCTGTTAGGACTCCAGCAGTGATAAAAGCTGTGAAGGCGCGAATTCAAAGAAATCCCAAACGTAAGCAGAAACTGTTGGCCCTGCAGATGGGGTTAAGCAGAACCACGGTGAAAAGGGTGTTAAATGAAGACTTAGGGCTTCGGGCATATCGAAGAAAAACAGGACATCGTTTGAATGCTCGTCTAATGGACCTGAGACTGAAGAGATGCCGCGCTTTGTTGAAGCGGTACGCGGGAAAAAAATATCGGGAAATTCTTTTTTCGGATGAAAAAATTTTTACCGTAGAAGAGAGCTACAACAAACAAAATGATAAGGTGTACGCACACAGTAGTGAAGAAGCGAGCAACCGTATTCCGCGTGTCCAACGAGGTCATTTTCCATCCTCGCTCATGGTATGGTTGGGAGTTTCTTATTGGGGCTTAACAGAGGTACATTTTTGTGAGAAAGGTGTAAAAACGAATGCAGTTGTGTATCAAAATACAGTCCTGACGAACCTTGTGGAACCTGTTTCTCATACCATGTTCAATAACAGGCACTGGGTATTCCAACAAGATTCGGCGCCAGCTCATAGAGCGAAGAGCACACAAGACTGGCTGGCGGCGCGTGAAATCGACTTCATCCGGCACGAAGACTGGCCCTCCTCCAGTCCAGATTTGAATCCGTTAGATTACAAGATATGGCAACACTTGGAGGAAAAGGCGTGCTCAAAGCCTCATCCCAATTTGGAGTCACTCAAGACATCCTTGATTAAGGCAGCCGCCGATATTGACATGGACCTCGTTCGTGCTGCGATAGACGACTGGCCGCGCAGATTGAAGGCCTGTATTCAAAATCACGGAGGTCATTTTGAATAAACTTTAGTGTCATAAGAATCTATGTTTGTTAAGTTCATTTTGGTATATGAATGGTTACATAATGAATAAACTTGTTTCAATTATTTTACATTAAACATGTGACAGAATTTATGACCTGACTAGGTACCAATTAAGTCTACGAGTATAGGAATTCGGTCGCTTTTTTTTAATACGCGAATAGTGAAAACGCGATTAAGGAGTTTTTAATGTACTCTAGTTAACGTTTAATAGTAGACTTATATCTGATAGGGTAGTTGAGTCGACTATTATCAAAGCCGGCAAGGTGACTTTTGGACAATTATTGGTAAATCAGAAAAACGAATTATTGACTTTGTATTCCATTGGCAGTCACAAAACTCTTCTGAACGACATCTTAGATAAATAACAGGTTAACTATTAACCTTTATTTAATGCAGGTTTTGAACCGTATTCTTTGAAAGAGACGATTACATTCAAATCAATCTGTATTGACATATCAATAACATTTTTTTGTCCAAATTCACAGATTGCCACCTTTGATAATAGACGACTCAGTTAACAAATTATTTACCTTAAGCTCGTAGGAGTGGTTGGGGTCGCGTGCGTCTATAACCCTGACGGTGGCGTCGTTGGTGGCGGCCACCACGGTCGAGGAGGCGCCCGGCAGCGCGCGGACTATACTCACGGGACTCTTGATGCTGTCCAGCTACAAAGTCATCACATCACTACCACAACACTATGCTTTGACAGTGAATCTATTTAATGTTATGCCGGTAAAAAAAATTTAAAATAATAATAATAAAATTACCTTACCTGTGAAACAACACTCTCCATGAACGGGTCCCATATGTGCACAACGGAGTCGGTTGAGACGGCTAGACGCTGCGACTCTATGAACGAAAGAGACAGAACGCCCTTCTTGTGCCCCGTGTACGTCCAGTTGCACTGCGTTGTGGCATTGCCGTCGCCCTAGGCATAACAAAGGATGGTGTATCCTATGGTGCTAAATTCTGCAAAGCACCATTCTTGCTGGGGTCAGTATTAGCAACTCTCTCAGATTGAGCCCCGTGAGCTCTCCAATTAGCCAGGGCGTAAATGGAATAGACCCTAAGGCTACCAGTGAATGGTGCATTTATGAAATTATAGATCTATAAAACTTTTAAACAGTAAATTATTATTGTAGATATCTATGGGCTTCATTAACCACTTAACAGCAGGTGGGCTGTGAGCTCGTCCACCCATCTAAGCTATTAAAAAAAAAGCTAGGAATCCGTCAGTACCAGTCACCCCGTACCTTAGGCACCACAGACCACATCACGCGACCCCTCTTTCCACCTGCAGAAGGAGCCATTACCTGATTCCTCAGAGACCAGAGCTTGACCGTTTTATCCTTCGATCCGCTCATGAAGCTGTGCTCGTTGTCTAGACAGTGTATCGACTTGACCGAATGCGTGTGCCCCGCGAACGTCTGTAGTTTGATCTGTTTTAAATTGAACCCTGTGTCCTTATCGGCACGGCCTATTTCATGTTCCCAGTAGATCAGCCAATCGCCACGTAAATGTCTGTAAGCATACAATCGCGTTTTGCCGATAGGTATTTTATAAATAGACAATACGTGATATACTTAAGGTCCGTTTAGATATATCGCATTCAAAGCTTCGAAATTGGATTCTCCAATAGAGGTAGCTCTATAGTAATTAAAACACATGAAAGACAACAAACCCAAGAGTCTTTATTATAGAAAGCCTGACGTTCCGTAATCTTTTACATTCACAGTCACTAATCAACAAGGCAATCTGAATGTTTTTGGAACGAAGTTCCTTATGGGACGATGCGGAGGGGTACCCTAACCGGAAAAAAACGTCCGTAACGTAAGATTTTTATTAGTAATGCACAGAGTGTACTTAACTTTGTAATAACGTACAAAAATTAACAAATTTTTATTATATACTTTTTATAAATCATTGTGAATAAAATAAAGTTGATAACCTTGTAAAGTAGTTTTTTTTTATTAATAAAAAAATCATAATAAAAAATTTATACCCGAATAATTATTTTCTTTATAATTCGGATAGAACTCAAAATTATTTTTTTTATAATAAGGAACTTCGTTCCTATCCGGTGTCCCACGAAACTACACATCTTTTTTTTATTTTTATCAATAAAAAAATCGTAATAAAAAATGTATACCCGAATAATTATTTTCTTCATACCTCGAATAGAACATAAAATTAATATTTTTATAATAAGGAATTTCGTTCTTATCTTCTTATCTGGTGTCCCACGACACCACACATCTTTTTTTTGTTTCATTTTATATCAGAGTTTGTTTAGAATTGTTTCTGTTATACAGTAAAGAATGTCTGTCTTCACTGTTTTGCCAAATTAATATATGTATTTATTTCAGTTATAGCAAATATTAAAAGTACAAACGAAGACTATTTCAAACACTTCGCAAAAAAAATCCAACTAGAGGTAATACAAATAACATTATTATTTTTATCGTTTTTTTAATTACCAAATCGACTGACCTTTCGCTTTTAACACCGTTGTCCATTTTGTACGAGACCACGTCGAAGCCCTCCCCTTGTCCGGCGAGTTCCGTTCCCGCGTCGCTGGCGACATCTATTCGATTCCCGACCAGGGTGACGTTGGAACCGAAGCTGTTCGAGCTGGAGATGTGGTCCGCGGGCGCGTCGTGCGGGCGGCTGGGCGTCGCGCCGGCCCGGCGACACAGCGGCTCGTCGCTATACGAGGACTGGACGCGCTTGTCTGCACGCGCTATCTGAAGGGGGGAGCTGAAATCGTTTCCGTATACATTAAAGATGTGTAGCTCCTGAGTGAGTGATATAGAATATACTATACTATATATATTACAGGTGGTAGGACCTCTTGTGAGTCCACGCGGGTGAATACCACCACCCCGCCTATTTCTGCCGTGAAGCAGTAATGCGTTTTGGTTTGAAGGGTGGGGCAGCCGTTGTAACTATACTTGAGACCTTAGAACTTGTATCTCAAGGTGGGTGGCGCATTTGCGTGATGTCTATGAGCTCCAGTAACCACTTAACACCAGGTGGGCTGAGAGCTCGCGCACCCATCTAAGCAATAAAGGTAGAATGTATCAGTAACTCACACTAGCTCCGAATGTATCAGTAACTCAGCTCTAGCTCACTAGAGCACTAGCTCATTTGTCTCGTGACATGTATCGTGAATTGATGAGCGAACGAAAGAAAAATGAATGAGTGAGATAGATGCATTGTGTAGCCGTTCACTTCACGCTAATTTCATTTCGACGTATTGGGTTGTCAAGGAAACATGTACATTATTTCTATAGGAGCAAAGCTTAACATAACTCATGTATTTTTAAAAACTAAATTTATATCTGCTTTATTCTTACATAGAAATGAACAGAAATGAAAAATGACGTAATTTACCCGTAAAAGTTATTTTTAATTTTGTTAATATGAAGTCGTAAGATCACCTTATTGAATGATTCTGTTCGTATTTTCTGCATAAACCTTTCACGGTGTCCAAGTTTTTGAGGCAGCGTTCCATGGTCTCCGTGCCGACCAGACGCGTGAAACTCGTGTAGGTTTTGTGAGCCAACTCTTCGTCGAATACCATTAGTAATTCCTCTTGAGCCTGGAAATTATTCAACACAATTCTCATCACAGATATTCGACTAACATATACGATATCTAAGTTCTTAATGAGATCATCGTGTGTATTATATATTTTTTTTATTGCCTTTGTAGGCAGACGAGCATACGGCCCACCTGATGGTGAGTGGTTACTGTCGCCCATGGACTTCAGCAATGCCAGGGGCAGAGCCAAGCCGCTGCCTACCGAAAATCATTATATCAGCGGAACATTTGATTACTGTTAACCCTGTTATCTGTTTGGGAAACGAAGAGTACAAGTTAAAGTCGTCGTAGCCTAAAGGATAAGACGTCCGGTGCATTCGTATGTAGCGATGCAACGGTGTTCGAATCCCGCAGGCGGGTACCAATTTTTCTTATGCAATACGTACTTAACAAATGTTCACGATTGACTTCCACGGTGAAGGTATAATATCGTGTAATAAAAAGTCAAATCCGCAAAATTATAATTTGCCTAATTACTGGTGCTAGAACCTCTTGTGTCCACATCCAATCTAATATCCAATCCAATCTAATATCATATCATATAATATTTCAAGATGGGTGGCGGCTATTACGTTGTACATGTCTATGACCTCCGATAACCACTTAACACTAAGCTGTGAGCTCGTCCACACATCGCCTCAATAAAAATTAAAAAAATCTCACGGTGAGCGTCCCTGAGTCTAGCTGCGCGGTGACCCTGGGCGGCGTGCAGGCCAGGTCGGGGCGGTCGGGCAGGTCGGCCCGCACCACGCGCCCGTCCTGCACGCGCCACTCCGCGGTCGTGCCGTCACGACATATCTCCAGGAAGCCTTCCTTCGGGTCTTGACCGTCGGGGTCTTGTGTCTGATAAATTCAACAAAGAATATCTTATCCAATTTAAGAGATTTTTTGGTATTTGATAATGACAAGCTGCAACGTATGGGGAAATATAACCTTATGACGATTGACGGGTCATAATGCTAAATCCCTATGCAGAATGACAAGAGAATATGCTACGCCAACCTCACATAATTTTGGATAAGGACAAAAAGAAAAAAATACCTACAAACCACTCCACACTTCGGTCTTTTATAGGTCTTTTCTTTTTCGGTGCCCTTTAATCCAGTTTCACAAAAGCATACATTTTGCCATAACGTTAGCGGACAGGATCCTATACACTGATCCGAGAGTCCATCACCCAAGATGTCATATCAAATCCTTGACAGGCTGTCACAATCACAGTTTAAGTGATGTAAGGTTTCTGTACCTGTTTTTACGCAGGTAAGAGTCGCCTATCGCCGAATAGTCGAACTAATATCGAAGGATCTAGTATCACCTAGAACGCTCGTTGTGGCCTAAAGGATAAGACGTCCGGTGCATTCATATGAAGCGATGCACCGGTGTTCGAATCCCGCAGGCGGGTACCAATTTTTCTAATGAAATACGTACTCAACAAATGTTGACGATTGACTTCCACGGTGAAGGAATAACATCGTGTAATAAAAATGAAACCCGCAAAATTATAATTTGCTTAATTACTGGTGGTAGGACCTCTTGGGAGTCCACACGAGTAGGTACCACCACCCCACCTATTTCCGCCGTGAAGCAGTAATGCGTCTCGGTTCGAAGGGTGGGGTAGCCGTTGTAACTATACTGAGACCTTAGAACTTATATCTCGTCGATGGGTGGCGCATTTACGTTGTGCATGTCTATGGGTTCCAGTAACCACTTAACATCAGGTGGGCTGAGAGCTCGTCCATCCATCTAAGCAATAAAAAAAACGCTCGAGAAGTACAACGCCATCTATTGTCAGATAGCGGAAACACAATACTCGAAATGTGTGGAATATTCTAGATAATTATGGGGTGTGGTATCGACTATAAGAGTTGCAGAGATGGTACGCAGTGAGTCAGTAATCGGAACTACATCGAAGAGAAACAGCGAACGGATCACCTGAAGCGAAGCGGAAGAAGCGAATTGACAATTTTAAAGTGTTTTAAGTGCTCTATGTACTAATACAGTGTTAATTTGCTCTTCGGTATAATTTTTTTATTTATCCCGAACCCCAGCGCGTAGCACTATTCAATGCAAAATCTCCATAGTAATCAGTTAAGTTAATCTTACAAAAACCTAGTACCGAAAGTCCAGTGAGCGCTCCAAGCACATATCTGGATCGACTTTTGCAAAGTCTTTTGACATTGACTTAGGAACTCTTTGGTGTGCCTTGGCCCTGAGGTAATCCTCAATTTCAGTCAAGTTTTAGTTTTAATGTTTTTTTTTTATTGCCCTTGTAGGCAGACGAGCATACAGCCCACCTGATGGTGAGTGGTTACCGTCACCCATGGACTTCAGCAATGCCAGGGGCAGAGCCAAGTCGCTGCCTACCGCTTAATACTCTCCACAAGCCTCGTTTGAAGAAGGGCATGTCATAGCGCTCGGGAAACATCGTGGAGGGGAGCTCATTCCATAGCCGGATGGTACGTGGCAAAAAAGATCTCTGGAAAAGCACTGTGGATGACCGCAGTGGCTCCAGGTAGTATGGATGAACTCTACTCCGGTGGCGGGCGGTGCGATGGTAAAAACGAGATGTCGGTATCATCTCGAACAATTCCTCAGAGCACTCCCCATGGAACATATTTAGTACATAACAATACTTTTATACTAATACACATTGTAGTATATGGTTTGGGACAGTATGGTATACATATTATATTATAATACATGAAGCAAACCCTTTGTAGCCCTTTTTACGAAAATTGCGCCAACGGAGGAGTATGTAATTTCCCACACTTATAGAGAATATAGAAAAGAAATGCAGAATGCTATTATTTTTTTTATAATGCATAATAATACATTAAGTAAATAAAAAAACATTACACACACTACCATGTATTTGACACAACACATATAATAATATATAAAGTCTTCGTTTATTGTCAAACTTCTGTTATTGTTTAAAGTCTGTGATCAAATTGAGAATAGATTAATATTATTTGCCTATAGGTTAGTCTTGGCGATATCCGTGATTATAGAATTAAAATTGTCTTTAAAAATAGAACCAAAATAATCATCAAACTTATATTATAATTTCAATTAATTATAGTCGAATTTCGACTACTGGGGAACCACTAGTATTATTATATCATATTATTATTATTATTTTATTATGACACAATAACGCTCTTTGATGATAATAAAAAAATGTACTTACAGCCTCAGGATACAGGTCGTCTTGCTTCGGCCAGTTATCGATCTTACCGGTAGCTTTGTCGAACGCTAAGAAAAATCTGAAAAATTTAACAAATTTGGGTCACATGTATCAGTTAAATGGTATTTTCTGATGTAATTTGTCTTCATCTGATTCCGTATATGGCATTGTCTCTTTCGCAGCGTCCTTAGTCTTTAATAGAAATTAACAGGTAGAATGACTTAATAGCTAGATATGAGTAAGTTCATAACATCACTAGTGTCGATGATACTTTAGTAAAATAGTAAAAGTAGTTATTCGTTGGTACAACAAAATTGCGTGATGTCTCATAAGCAAACTGATCGGGAAAAACTAATATAAAATCTTTTTAGAAATTAAGGGAAAGACATCGGAGCTTGTGCTAGACAGAGACAGCACTATGTATAATGAACAATGATGTCAACGTTCAAAGCCGTCACACAATTTTTCTCGCCAATCAATTGGCTAAAACTAGACAGGGCATCTTCTTTCGATTCCCACAACCATATAGATGTGTGGCGGGAGCCATCACAGAACGCAAGATATTTGACAGATGCCTGAATCTCGCTTACGACATTTTCAAGATAAGTGACGATGTGACTTCAGAAATGCCAGGCCGCTGCCTACCGCTTAATACTCTCCACAAGCCTCTTTTAAAGAAGGACATGTCATAGCGCTCGGGAAACACCGTGGAGGGGAGCTCATTCCATAGCCGGATGCTGTGTGGCAAAAAATACCTCTGGAAACGCACGACATCAACAATCAACTGACGTAAAAGGGAACGTTAGTTTTCGTTGCGTCCCTCCCCTCACCTCTGCAAGGCCGGCACGCACAGGTGTCTCCTCGTCATCTCCGGCCCCACCCTCAGCGCCAGCACGTGCAGCGCGGAGACCAGCTTCCGGCAGACCGCGCGCCGCGCCACCGCGCCGTTGGGGTACGCGCATCGAGACGTGGACGACAGGCGGAGGGCCGGCTGGAGGATTATTTTCAAAAACGTGTCCTGGAATTTGAACAAAGGACAATTTTTTTTTTATTGCTTATATGGGTTGACTAGCTCACAGCCCACCTGGTGTTAAGCGGTTACTGGAGCCCATAGACATCTACCAACGTAAATGCCCCACCCACCTTGCGATATAAGTTCTAAGGTCTCAAGTATAATTACAACGGCTGCCCCACCCTTTAAACCCAAACGCATTACTGCTTCACGGCATAAATAAGCGGGGTGGTGGTACCTACCCGCGCGTACTCACAAGAGATCCTACCACCAGTAAAGTACACTGAATAAACCCTACAATTGAGTCTGGACGTCGACCCAAAACCAGCATCACTATGGACGGTCTTATTGTTACACGAAACAGTTTTTTTAATACGGTTCATACTGTTTAGAGCAATCCTAAACATGACACTTTATATAATTGTTGCTAGAGTGGGAACACACTATACTCTACTCCTATTACGAAGTCCCTTTGAACACTTCTTAGAACGTAATTCTTAGCGTTTCGCATAATTATAATCATTTTTTGTTCATGGTCGTAAATCATCGAGATATAGACAAACTTTTATATTAATAACTAACACATGATTCGTTTTTTTTAGATGGATGAAATGGATGGATTGCATGAAAAACGATATGTGTCCGCTCTTACACATAGTGAGCGAAGAAATAGTACATGATAGAAGAGTATGGAAGGAGAAAACATATTGCGCCGACTGGTGACTGGGAGAAGGGCAGGAGATTGATGGTGTTTAATTATTTTAGAATTACAAATGTTTAGATAAACCATTGACTACCTGCAGTTGCTCCATGATCTTGACATCGGACATGTAAGGCACCAAATACTTGACCAATTGCAAGCAGGCGACCACCCCGCCCTCTAGCGGGGCGGACAGCCTCCTCCTGCAAGACGCTATCAGCTCGCCCATGTGCGGCAAATATTGAAAAATTATTAATTGTTCCCCATACATAGCTGGAAGTGGAAAGCATGCGGTAATTAGAATCAAATTGAATTTTTCTCCTACCTACGCCGAAAGTTCGGTTTTCCTCCCGCTGTACAGGGAAGAAAGTCTAACATTTCCTCCCTGGGTACAAGTGCGCATGTGCGTTAGTGTCTACGTCTGCTCTCACGCACCTAAAATTCTCTGCCTTTGTTGCGCTCGGGTAATTTGCAATATTGTGTTTAGTGTAAAAGCGAAATAAACAAAAGGCAATAAAATTTAATAGTGGAGTATTAAACAAAGACGAGTTCATCAGACAGTTCGTATTCAATTAGTAGTAGTTTATTTAAAAAAAAAAAAACAGTAAATTTGTTTTTTTTATGAGTGGGGGGGCTCCAGACAAACTTCTTGTGGAGCAGTATTAAACAAGTTGACAACGTTAATTAAATTAGTGTATTTAGCAAAACAGAGAAAGGGCGTGACAGAATTTATTAGTTAATTATCAAGTACGGTTTTAACTAATTTAGTGATACTTACCGACGATGGAAGTAAGACAATTTATTACTTTCACGGCACTCTTATCGCCCACGACTCTGCTGTTCACTATTGATATATCATCGAAGTCATCTCTCTCGTCTCCTTCCCACGGAACTAAGTTATCTTTCCCAATATAGCACAGCGTCAGCATTTTAAGTAAATTCCTCGTGATGTACCTGCAAGTGAGCACTGGACCGAGCCTGTGGGCCAGCCAGATCAGACTCTCCGAGCTCATATCTGATATTTTACACGAACTGTTCTCTTTGAATCTCATATTGCCTTCGCAGAAATTAAAGGTTTCCATATTCTGAACGTCTGTGTTCTTCGAGAACTCTAAACTCTTCACTTGGCGCGAATGAGAATCCCTCCGCACCTCGACTTCTGAAGGATTCTCCTCCGCGAAGCGCAGGTAGCTAGTGAACATTGATTTTGTCGGTATGTCTATCGTGGGAGATGTCGGTTTCTTGGTGACCGACGCATCAATGTTTTCTTCATTCGTGATAAAAACGCTATGATCTTTTGCGTTAGGAGTCAAATATTTTGTAGTACTCGGGGATATGCGATCTCTCGATGGCGAAGGAGTGTGAGCCTCCTGGACGTTGGAACCATACGAATCAATCGATTCTGTGGGGGACTTACTCCGGCAGTTTGTGCTCGGTCTGTCCTTGTCACTCTCGAAGTGGAACAATTCGTTTTCGCTGCGATTATCAATGTCCTTCTCTTTGCTATTGTTCACTTCTATTGCCTTTTCAACGATAGGAGTAGTAATATTCTCAGATCCGTACGAAGTGTCCGGTGAGAATATGTCAGTGGCGGTCGACAAAGCGCTTTTTAGATTATCGTCAGAGTACCTCGGCTTCTTGTTAGCCATTGCACGTTTGTGATTCAAATGTCCCGGCGAATTAATTTCACTGCACACGTCTTTGTAACCCCCGACAGCTTCGACTAAATGCTGCGTGAAATTGTCCAGGAAACATTGAAGACCCAACCTGACCATTAATTGTAGCAAAAATATGTGATGATATAGTTTAACAAGTTTCTGTTTGTTTGTGAGTGCCGTCGCGGCTGTGTCGTCGGCGTCAGTCAGCTTGTGCTGTTCCGGCCGGTCTACGACAAAATCATCATCTTCATACAAATTGAGGATGTATTTCATCAACTTCTTTCGTGTCTCGTTCGGTCCCAGAGCCTTGCTGACAATGTCAAATAAATACCAAGCTGCCAGCACCGAAGTTTCCTTATTCTGCAGTAATTCGACATAGTGTGCCAGGAATATGTCCATGACATCGAATTGAGTGTTCCTCTCGATCTGATTTAGAAGAACGTCTAAATGTGTGACGCACGCCATTATCTTCCCTTCGGCGATCTGCTGTGCGAAAAACGTCTTCGCCTTATCGATGTTCTGATATTTATCACACTGAATTCCATCGCATACGTAACACGAAAGTATGTTCAATTCGTTACTAGTTAACTCATATTCGTGTAAAGCGCTCAGTAGCTTGTACAATACTGTGAAACTCTGAGGGAACGGGATCAAGTGTTGGGCCAATAACGGCTGCAACGTTTGCGCTGGGGTCGGATAGGGGAGACCTTTGTCGGTGACGGGGTTCTTTTTAATGACCTCGTCTCGTATACACAATCCGTCCTTGAAACTTAAGCTCGGTTGCTGTACGTCGAGGAGTAGGGAGGCCATGTAAGTCACGCATTTAGGTAACGCGTTAAAATTGTATTTGAATACGGTCCTGCAGCATTTGTATCTATCGATAAAATCTTCGTGGAACGTCCTGAGCGGGCGCATCTGCGCGTGCAGGAATATCTCGACGATGAGACAACCGATAACGAGCATGTCTTGTTTGCGATTTTCAGTTATGAACTGCTTGTAGATCGCGGCGTCCGTCGTGTACCTAGTGACGAACGAACGATTCTTTCTCTTCTTAAAAATCGATTCTAAATGCGTGTCGTGATTTAATTTCTTTATATAATCGTACGAGCCGAGAAACATGCGATTAGTAAACGAATTATCATCGTTTCGCTCCGAGTTTTTAATGGCGGATCCCTTTGCTTTACCGTCCTGTTGGGACTTGAATGAATCGAGATTTTCTTTTTCGTCCTTTTCGTTCGCTTTGCTGAAAAAGCATTTCGTTTTGAAGTTATCCAATGCTTCCAGGGCCTGTATTGAAGCGACCGGGTTAAATTCTTTCGGTAAATAAATAACGCCTTTTCCCATTTCCGATCTTTGGACCCTGTAGTGCCTCGAATGGGAGGAGGCCCTACTCTCGGTGACTTGTTGGGAATCGTCGGTGATGGGAGTTTTGGAGAGGGAGCGCGCGCGACTGCTGCCCTTGTGTCGGGATCTGTGACGTTGCGGAGGCACGTGCAGACAAGACACGTGTTGGGGGACGCCGGCCGGCTCCTCCTCATCCTCGGAGACCTCATCAGAGCTCTCGTTTTTAACTGATTTCTCTGTGAAACAATTAGAAAACTATTTTGTCGAAATTTGATGCGAGCGGAGGATCTTATATGATAACGGTTAGTTAGTTAGCTATTCATCGGAAACACCCGGCTTTCATTTGTTTTTTTTTTATTGCTTAGATGGGTGGACGAGCTCACAGCCCACCTGGTGTTAAATGGTTACTGGAGCCCATAGACATCTACGACGTAAATGCGCCACCCACTTTCGAGATATAAGTTCTAAGATCTCAAGTATAGTTACAACGGTTGCCCCACCCTTCCAACCGAAAAGCATTACTGCTTCACGGCAGAAATAGGTAGGGTGGTGGTACCTAGCCGCGCGGACTCACAAAAGATCCTACCACCAGTAAATGTTCTATGTTCTGATCGATGGGGAGGAGGATGTCACTGGTGACGCTGTGTGAACTATAGCTTCTTAAGATCCCTGGAGTGTGTTGATCTTTACAGTTAAAGAAATTCGAATCACATTTTTAACGTAACAAATGGAATAAATACCGAAATCTTAGAAGGAATGGGATGGTTTGTTACCTTTTAACTTATTATGTAAGCTCGGATAGCGGGAGCTTCCGTTTTTAATCTCCGGGCTACCGTTCTCGAGGAGGAGGACCATAAAGTGAACCTAATCGTCGTATATGAGTACATGTTGCTAATGAATATAAATATAACATTTTTTGCACTAAAGAGCAGTTCATAATGTACCATAAAAAGACTGTTTCCCTATTTCCCTATTTCCCTATCTACGTGGAGGTAGTTCATAACTCTCGAGGGGTCACTCAGAACTCACTAGCGTCCCTCGGCAGGGTCCAGTGCAGCGCGGGCGGCGCGGGGGGCGTGGCGCGGGGCGCGCGGGGCGGGTGCGGCGCCGTGAACAGCTGCACCGTGCCGCCGCGCCGCAGCCGCGTGTGCCCGTCCACTAGCGACAGGCAAACGTTCTTCGCTTTGACAGACGCTTGACCTGACAACCTGGTGGTCAATAACATGTTTTATGACAGACAATCCTTGGCAGTTCCAGGCGCAGAGTCGAACCGCTGACTTCTCAGCATTGAGACTTCTGATACACCACTTTTAAACTCAAAATTTAGGTCCAAATGCATTATTGCTTTATGGCATAAGTCTATAGGATGGTGTTACCAACCTATGCGGTCTCAGCTCACCTCATATCACAGATATCACAAAATGGTTAATTTTTTTTTAAAGAATGTAACGTCATTGCTCATAAACTTTCCAGTTCGAAATAAATTCATTGAAAGAAGACATTTTCAAACGGATGTGAAGCATTATTGAACGTTTTTATAAAACTACGCGGTGATTCATTCCTTGTATGTGACTGACAGTTTCACAACAACCACACATTACCGAATAGCAAATCGGGTCGGTGCTTACTTGTAACCAAAAGTGATGTCTATCCAATGGTGCAGGTTCTCCGACACGTGGGTGCTCTCCAAGGCCTCTCGATGTTTAGTCATAAAGTCCTCGACGCACGAAGCCCATGATGGTATGCCTAAATCCTAAGATTACATAATTATAAATAATTGAAGACAAGAGTGGATGAAGGGGATTAAGTACGATTTTTAAGATTTTAGAGTTTTTAGATTGTTATGTGCCTATAAACCATATTAGACCTTAAAATTTAGGTTTAAAGGCTATTTTTAGAAATTATATGTAATTAAGGAGTTATGTACGAAGAACAGTAACAAAAGTTTGATGCCCGTTTTGTCAAAATTAAATTTTTTTATCATATCCCTTCATTCACTCATATCTTCAATTAATCTATCGCAAACCCGACTGAGTTCTCGCGGGGTTCACTAGTGTCGTATGTATCTCCCATATTCTAGGTTATATATTACTGGTTTAGTACAGTTCAAATTTTCTGTTTCATTATGTACACAGGGAAACTCATTACTTGGGTGGAAGAGTTTGCTAGCAATATTAACATTGTCAAAGTATTCTCAACCCAATATAGGAATATGTTAATGGAAGGAATAATATATGAAGCACTCGAGCAGAGTTCTTCAAACCAGTTTCCAAGAATCGTCAATGGCAAATAGCAGCTGGTCTGTGACCCGGCACACTGATATCCAATAGCAACGGTGACTAATCAGCTTCAGTGAAGTTGTTTGAATTGTTTTATTATATAAATATAGCGTTTCTTTAGATTTAAATGTCTAAAAACGTTGTGAGAAAATGTAATGAAGGCCCAGACGTGGCTTCTTACAAAAAGTTCACCAAACTCTTACTAAGTAATCACCATTTTATTGAGACTTTATTTCATCCCAATTGATTAAAGTCTCAAATTAATCAAGATTGTCTCATATTTCTTTATATAATTTTTAATATAACACAATTTTTATGTATTTAATAAGTTTTTTTTTTTTAAACTCGACAATGGCAATTATGGCATTGCATGAAGCCAATTGCCATACTTAAAAAAATAAGAATGCTGCTAGATACCAATAATGCTAAATTAACTCACCGGTAAATCTTCATGTATACTTTTGAACACGGTCGGATCAGTGTAGAACTCCGGTATGCACTCGTCAGGGGTCCATTCTTGCATTCGTTGTATCGAAGCAGGATATTCGGCTGGCACCCATTTGTTGCGTACATATTTACATAATAACTCTTTAGGAGTCCTGTTGGGGATTTTAATCTTAATCGAATCTAGTTTTGTAACTTTATTGAGCAAAATGTTTATCTCATTAATTTCAAATTTCGTATACTTGTTACTGAAATTTTAGGGAAAGACTTTGCCGTTGTACCACTATTTTCTGAGGTTTAAAACAAGGGGAGGAAAGGGCGGCCCGAATATGAAAACTTTTAAATGTGTTAAATGATCATTGCAACAAATAGTGACAGAATTTGGCATGTTAATAGTGTAGTATTTTAATAATTTGGTTCCCTACCTATTAGCTGGTAACTTAAGGGACTATTCCAGCTGGACGGGTAACACCAAGAGCAGTGCTTGGCAGAAACTGCCATCGAATCGGAATAGCGAACCACTGGGAAGATCCATTGGGTTAATTTGCTCGTCGAACGGCTTCGACGAGGACGGTGACCGGTGCTTGAAGACTTTAGTTATGAATAATTTATAAAGTGCAATTAAAAAGCACCGAAAGTGGATCCAACAAGACCTGTTTAGAGCAACGGCGGCTTAGCGTTGCCCGTCGCCTGGGTTAAATCTATTACGGTTCAATATCAAGTTTTTAATTCTCATTTTATTACTTCAGATACCTCAAATACTTTACAATTTTCGTGGTCACGAATACTAATCTATATAAAATAACTATCGATACATATTTTAAGGAAGATGGTAGGACAATTAGGACTTTCTCATAATGAACATATTTACAAACACACTTTTGCTGAAAATAATTTTGTAATGTACATAAATTAGTAATACGAACCTACGAGCCAAGTATACATAACAAGTGATATCAGATAATGCGTCTGACACATGATGCGGAATTTGATCAGCTGAGCTCGTGACGTCATATGTCATGTCCAGCTGATGGTCACCTTTGTTTAGGCGGTATTTTGATTTAGTAAGATCACGCCAATTTCGACCTGAAATGTATCCAAATTATAATAAGGTTTCGATTGACATTCGTTTAGAAATGGCAACTATATTATCTACTAGATATCTACTATTGAGGCTTGTCCTAATAAGCGGAGTTATGTATAATATATATAAGGGTTTATGAAAACATTGTTATAAAATGTGACAATAATATTTATGCCACAGCTTGAGCCCTGGGATTGCTACTGCCCATAAGCCACAATAAGCGTAGGTTAAGACAGGTTAGCATGTAGGATGTAAGACTGTTTACTGTGAAAAGCAAAAAATGCGATAAAAAAATAAATATGATCTACAGTTACTATCAGACAATGAAATACACAAAAAACTAATTATATTATCTCGTTAAAACAATATGTATAATAATTACCACATCTAGATGAAAAATCAGTTACCCAAGGAACCATGAAATGTGTTTGCGGATCACTAGGACTTCTTCCAGCTAACACATTGAGGTGTTTCAAGTAATCCAAATTTGATATCATACCATTTAGCCATAGCATACAAATCTTCTCCAATTTAACTGCGTTTTTACGCCAAGAACACTCATCATTGGACTGCGAAGTCTCTGAGTTTGGTAAAGTAACTTGATTCAACTGAGGTCTTCTTTTACTCTGTTCATATATGTCAGTAGGATCGAGGCAATGGATATTGTTCACAATCATGGGTACAACTTGTAGCCATAAGTTTTCCGATAAGTAAATATCTTGCAATGTCAAAGCTCCCAAGCTTAGGCCTCTGTCGCTCATGGCCTTTGCCAAGTTCAACAACTGATAAATGACAAATAATCCTCTTCCATAATTTTTGTCAATTAAATTGGGAGTATAATTCAAACAATCTAATAGATTGTTCTCATAGCTACCTCTATAAACTATAAAGAAGTTATTACTTGTTTCAAATATAAACATAGCAGCCAACAGATTATTATGTGTCTCATGAGGTTTTAGAACTATCATACTGGGTATAATTTCTTCGTAACTAAAATCTTTGATCTTGATTAAGTTACAACAGTACAGTCTAAATAGTATCTCAGATGTTAGCTGATCGTGCTCAATTAAATTAACAGTAGAATTCTCTGTCCTGCTACTATCTGTATTTTGTGAATACTTTTTATAAGATTCTTTCCAGAGGCTTCTCTGGTTGCTCTGTGATACATACTGGAGTAATTGTGAGAATGTCAGTGGAGTTTCTGAAGTGTTTTCATTCAACTTATAGCGGGGTAGAGGTAGTACTTTAGATGATTTTTTACGTATAACCTGAAATCATTAGAATCATAAAATTTTTATTGCCACTGTAAGCATGCAAGCCTTCATTGTTACCATGGACATCAACAAGAGGAGGAGCCCAGCCAAGCTGATTCTTTTAATGGATATTTATTTAATACAAACTCATTGAACTACCTAACTTCTACATAATATACAAACAAGGTATTAAGTCTATTGAAATATCTAATAAGGTAAATAATACACTGTTGCTAGAAGAAATCAAAGTAGATTGATTGGTTTTTCACTTTTTGCATTGACATTTACATCTTATACTTTATTTTGTACTTAAAAGTGTTCATCAAATGTTCTTTATTGGTGCTCGCTTTGCTGATACATAGAATTACTATTAAGAAACCAATTAAAACTTTAAATCCTATGACAGATAATAAATTTCTGGTAGGCAGCGGCTTGGCTCTGCCTCTGGCATTGCTGACGTCCATGAGCGACGGTCACCACTTACCATCAGGTGGGCCGTATGCTCGTCTGCCTACACAGGCAATAAACAAAAATAAAAAATAAAAAACATAATTCGCAATCATATTTTTCTATAATCTCAGTATCTCTTGAAAAAAGTCTTATATTGATATTTGAATGCCATGTATTTAGGAGTTAATACGTACTTTAATGAACATTCTTCTGAACTGTTGATGCGTACTTTCATCGGGTTGCGAAACATAAGAAACATTTGAAAAGTTTTCATTTTCGATATTTAACCACTGTTTAATCCAACGTGTATGGACAGTGACTGCATAAACTCCAGGTGTTGACGTGGTTGTAACATTTTTACTACTTATATCTAATTCCTTTACGATATATTCCATTTCAAAGAGAAACTACGATAATATTATTGTTTTTGTTTGTTGCGAAGGAAATATCATTTCATTGTAGGTAGGTACCTACTTTATCTTTGCATTGATAATTTTGACACATTCATAACTAACAAATTGTCAAAAGTCAGCACAGAGTAGGATGGCAGTGGCTGTGTGTCGTTCGTGAATGACCGAAAAAAAGACTTGGGTTCCAAATGGTTTTGTACACGAACTAGTGACGCTGAAAAAACCAGTTAACCAGTTCATAAATGGATTTAGGAACAAGAAATGAACGATAAAATGTTATTATAATAAAAATGAACCTTAGTTTTAAGAATAAATATTTATTTGCAATTAATCGTTCATATCATTAATTTCATAAATATCTTACTAAACACATTACAAGCATGAGTATATCATTGTTTAACATATCGCACCCTTAAAATATAAATGACACTATACGAAAATGTTCATTTTACAGTATGGCCGTTTTAAGTTTTTTTAAGCATTGTATGGGTGATATGGAACATAAAAAATGTAAATAAAGCTTCGTGATCGGCTTAAAATAACAGTTTAACTAACGCTGTTTCAGAATCCAGTGGCGTACCATAAAATTATTGATTATTTATCAATGAGGAAGCATTTAAAAAAAAAGTTTGGTATAGTGTCGGTTATAGTTTGATAGTTATTCAATAATTTTTGCTTAATGACCTCTAAGTCGTTATTTTACCTACAATGTAATGATAAAAAAGAGACAAATAAAACAATATAATTATTGAAATATTAAAGAATAGTATTTATTTGACACACGCTCACAGTTTTAGGTCAAAACTACCGCAAATAATCATAATAAAAAATCTGTCTAAATCTAGACAAAGATATTGTCAAAAAAACAGAAACTTAGGATTTGTGTTTGAATAAAATTCGTAATTTTATCATAATTAACATTATATGTATTAGAATCTTGTTCTTACCACTTACTAATAAATACAAATTAATAGAGTTAAATTATTACAAATTAAATACCAAGGTTAAAAGTCTTTTAAAGTACGAACTGTAAAAGTTACGTATAAATAAGCGTATTAAAGGCTTAATCACAAGAGGCAGCAAAAATATTATTTATTATAACTTACAGTAGGTACTTAACTTAAAAATATTGTTTTTCACAAAAAACCGTAAGTAATTATAAAAAATATTGTATCAACATCATGTAGGTAGGTACATCCTATAAAATCTTGTAAAACTGAATTTAAAACTGAATTATGTAAGAACCTGTCGTCTTTTAGCAATTCGGTCTTTAAACATCAAGTTCTAGAACCGAGAAAAATATTATTAAAGTGACAGTAACTTAAAAACATTTCCGCACAAAAATCCGTAAAATAGATCACAAAAAAAACCTATCAAAAACCTCTTCTTACAAATAATAATTAATCAACTACATTTTTAAAGGGTGGACACTACCCACCTAGTTCAAAACTCTGTCAAAATAGGAATTGTAAAAGTTGAGTATCAAACCAGCATCTATAAGGCTTTTCACGTCACTCTTCTTTCTTTCGGATAAATCTAACTTTTGGTTATACAGATGTTGCAATTCTTCAGTCCTCTGGTTCCTTGCACTGGCTCTTTTAGATCCCGGGTTAAGTTCTTTGAAATCATCAACATAGGATGTTTTGTAACAAAATTTTACCTTATTATCTTCAACTTTCACCACTTTGATGACTTTTATATCAGACACCTTTACAAGCTCACTTTCAACGCTTTTGTTCAGTCTAGGAACGGGCAGTTGTTTGATGTCAATAAAATCGTTATAAGCCATTTCGTTTACTTTGAATGGTGTGTCCACTTCTGATGTCGGTTACGTACTGGGAAGGCAAATAAATGGGTCCAGATTTAAGTATTATTTTTATTTGTTGCTCAATCGTTGAATGTGCTGCATCTCCTTCGTTCTGTGTGTATCCACGGATTTAAAACTCTTGTGTTATAGATGTTACTTTTCAGTTAAGTGCACGTCATCGGTATGTACATCTATGCAAGATGATGATGATGATGAATTGATTTTTCTGCTGGCCGCAGCAGTTATCTGAATAGAAAACAAATCTATGTTTTTGTCAGCTAAAGAAGATTTTTTTGCAAGTATTTCAAGACACAACTGCCGATTTCATTTGCTCCACGGTTACCTTGCGATTCGTCCCAGAAAAAAACATTCAGTATTATGTCTTGCAAGCTCAGAGATGGTAAAATTCAAACAATTTATCTTTGACTTGTAGAAGACAGAAAACAAAATCCTAATTAAAGTTATTAAATAACTGACGTTAAACTCAAACTGCCACTTATGCACTTACTCAGTGTAAATATTCGAAAGTATATTTATTTAATAAGTGACGCTTAACACAATGTGCCAGTTTTTTACTCACCTCGACAAGAGATCCCTCCGGTGACTTGTCGCGATCTGGCATAGTGCCGGTTTATTAATTACCGACCGTGCAAGTTGTTACAAATTCATAAGTGACACTAGCAACATCTAGCGAAAATTAAGCGCGTTAGAGCTACAGGGGTCTTTGCATTAGGCGCGTTTCGTCTTACGCATTTTGACACTATACTTAACTAAAAAATAGCATTTTTTGTATACCTAGTGCTATTTATGTTTTAAGGGTGCGATATTATAGCTGCGTTTATGCTATCTTATTATTTATTTGTTATTACTAACAAGAAACTGTTATTCTACTATCTATAATATTTATTAGACAATGTTTTGATATGAAAATGTTCGGATGTATAATTTATTCTTTAAAAACACAAACAACTGAAAAAATACTCAAATATTAAACATAAGTGTTAATATAAATTACATTAATACTTTGAATGAATATTGTAATTGTTTATGTAAATCATTTAATTAGCGCCATCTATTATCAGACTAGGTAATGATAATGTTTGCTAAAATGATTTAAAAGCAATAATACTATGTAAAATAAATTCATCTCAATCATGTAAAATGCACTAAAATATTTATTCTGAATAGTTCATGAATCGTTGCGTGGTTTCTTAACCTTATTCGATTTGTTTGTCTAAAGAGATCGTAGTTGCTATCACTATCAAAAAATGGCTAATTGTGTAAAAATTAAAGACAGTCCTTTTTGTAGTACTCACGCAATATTATTGTTTCGTAGTATTGTATTGTATCGTTGTAATAGATATTACCTATGAAAACCCTGGCTTATCGCCGATATGTAATATCTATGGTGCTAGCTACTGTTCAATTGTGTATAAAAAAAATTTCCTACCTGAGCTGGTAACCTTGAGAGGCTATGCAATATATTAAGTGTATAATCTATGGGCTATGCTAGCGTAATCAAGCCACTGAAGTAGGAAACCTATGGAAATGAAACGTCAACAAAAAATTCGTGCCACTGTGACGTCATCTGGCCACAAAACATGGCGGTGTTAGTGCTGCCCAGAAGATTTTAATGTTAGTAGGTTTTATCGATAAACGTTCTTGGTTTATTTTATTTTAAATATTGTTGAGTATAAATGTATTTGTAGAATTTATACTTTAATAGGAATTAAGTATATTGTTATGTGCAAAGATGATGTGATTTAGATATTATGTGAAATCTAAGACGAGTTCGTGCTTCAAATTTTCCAAGTAAACGATATGACGATTTTTAAAATTTGCTACACTGATTTTATAAAGTTGTCGTTTGCCGCAAAACATAAAGATATGGCATAGTACAGTGCCATCAGCCCATTTCTAGCATGCTGAATGTTATCGTATTTTGAGTACGTGTTTTTCTTAGACTATTACAATCTATTTTAATTGTTTTGCTGACTCTAAAGTCCGTAACACACTACCGCAGTGCACCTCAAGGAAGGTGCACCGCACTACCGCACCGCACGCAAATTTTAAACTTATCAAGGGACCGCCTGATAAAAAAAAACACCTACAGAACATTTATTCGTTAATGAAATTACAAACGTCATTCCTTGTGACTTCCTCTCTAAAATCACTTAATTATTAAATATTTAACGAAATTTACAATAGTGTTTTACTCACTGCGGAATAAAACTATTTTATTTAAATAGTTCCGAAGAGATTTTGTCGGTAGCCTTTTTCCCGAAATATCTAAACAGAATGTCTAAATATGTTTTGATGACATATTTTAAAGAGGTATTTATGATTAGTGTCATGATGAATAGATTCCGACCGAAAAATGGTGTCCGATATTTCGGATTCAAATATATTAAGTGTATAATCTATGTTTCGGTATGTATGAGGGCTCCATAATGAATTTAAATATATATAGATAATAGTTTTGGGGCATCGACTTTCTTGAGATCCTATAAAATATGTTTTAATTATTATTTTTGTATGTTTTAAGCATGATAAAATTAGAAATTTTATATAAGCAATCATATTAAATCGATATCAAAGTCAATAAATAATGTACAACCCAAAACAGAGTAGGAAACCTATGGAAATGAAACGTCAACCTAAAATTTTCGTCCACTTGACGTCATCTGGCCACAAAACATGGCGGCTTTAGTGCTGTACAAAAGATTTCAATGTTATCAGGTTTTATCGATAAACGTTCTTGGCTCATTTTATTTTAAATATTGTTGAGTATTATTTATTTGTAGAATTTATACTTTAATGGGAAGTAAAGTAGGTATATTGTTATGTGCAAATATGATATGATTTAGATGGGTGAAATCTAAGACATCGTCCTT